GGCCTTACATGGCGGGTTACTCGGTACTTTATGTACCTCGAGAGACACAGCCTATGCGGTAAAGAAATGGGATAGAGATGGAGTAGGGGAAACTATTGATCGCCTGCTAACTATGTAGGTAGGTATCTACGTACGAGGCATCATGTCCAGCCACCCCGGCTGCGCGTACTGTACTCCGTAGGTCACTAATAGTCATACTGCTGCCTAAGGTACCAAATCTCAGGGAAATCAAGCCGAATATTCATTGAGTAAAAGACCTTCATCGTCTTGCACAGGATGGGGAGCTCCTCGCTGGAAACTCGTACAGATGAGCTTCTCGGGCCTCTTTGGAGCCCGTTCGTGCCCCCGTCGATTGTCAAGCGACAGTTCCTAAGGAGACTTTGGGACTGTGCTCTGCAAGGGGCCATTCACCGAGAAAGGGCTGTGCTCTGCCAGCGGCCATTCGCCGAGAAAAGGTAGAGTCGATCATGGCTTCGACCTTGAACATCCCTACAGCAGCTGCCATGTTGTGCCAGGGCTGAAGTCGACCTGGCGTGTAGAACTGGTGTAGAAACCGGACGACCTCCCTTTAGTGACTTCTGGCTCCCTTTATCAAGCCCAGGCCGAACAATACCAGGCTTCTCTCATCTTCTCTTCAGGCTTGCTGCTTTACCATCTGTTCCTCGGTACATCGTGCGGCATGACTCGCCCAGAATACCTTCCAGCATTCAGCCAACATCCCATGAGCATCTTCGTATCTGCCCTGGTTCATACGGTACCGGGCGAACTTTACTTCCAGCTGTTTCGCTGCCGAGAGAGCGGTACTACCACCACGTCCTCTTGCTGGAAGAAGAGATCCGCTTGTTCGTTGATCTGTATTCAAACTTGGGTCGACGATCAACTTGCCTGCACAGAAAGTCTCGGACGCGGGATTCTGCGAAGTCGCTGCCCTCACGATGTCTCGTTCGGTGAGCTAATCATGCGTCGACTACTTCCTTGGCTCTCAGAGAAGGAAATACATTGAAACAACATTTCGTGCGTTTCCCCATTTTACTTCCTGTCTCCTTCCCGTCCAGAAAACACTATCCAGCGCACGAGTAGACGCGGGTGTCCCAAAGTCTGGGATTCATCAGCCAGCCAGCCAGCTAACCACCCCATACAGCGACATTATTATGACGAGGAACTCCAGCTTCTCAAGTCAAGTCAATGGTTGATGGCGAGAGTATGGCGGCGGCCCTTGCGTCAGCCTTGCACGGAGCCCAAATCATCACAAGCCGGAAAAGATGCAGACGGAAGTACAGTTACGAGGAGAAGAAGAAGCCAGCGATCTCTACCAGTACACGGTTCGACGGAACTCGAAGATGATTCGGATCCCGACTCTGTCATAGGGGGGGCACCTTTCGATGTGTGGAAGTGGGCAGTGGGCGGTGGAGCTAATCAGGACGAGATCGTCGTGCCCGCCGTTGTTCATCCTCGCCCCGGATAATAGCTTACGGTACTTCGCAAGATGGGTCAAATATGTCATGTCATGTTGGATCGCGCACAGGTGGCTGAGGACAAAAATGGGTGGATGGATGGATCTGGTTGGGAAAATGATGAGAGCGTGACCTCGGTGTTCGCTTCAACCTAATCATTACAGACGAGGAATGGGACACAAACACGCAAACGCTCTTTCGAAGAGAGATCAACGGATATGGCAGGGAGGAGGGAGCGGGTGGTCTATACCTGGAGCAAGGGGGATGAAAGTACTGAAAGTACTGTACTGTAGGATCGATCGTCTATCGTCCGGTGTGCAGGCGGCAATGGTGGGGAATTGAGGAATTGGACTCTATTTCATCGCGAATGAATTGAATCTGGCAGGGCAGAGAGGTATTCTGCCAGCGTGTTGTGTGGACTGATCAATCGATCGACTCAATTCGACAGCAGTGTTTTCCGTCAAAAAGACCGGGCGGCTGGTGACGACGTTAGTGCCAGCAGTACAGGTATAGTATAGGGGGGCTTGAAACCATTTGAGCGGTGCTTCTGCTGTATTTGCCAAGTAAGATGGATGAAGTGACTATTCGCTGCTCTCTCTTTCGTGGTGCTTCCATTTTTGCTTGACTTGGGCTGCTTTCGATCCTCATCACGACCATGATTCACTTGGACATCTGCCATGCTCGCCCGGTATAGTTACTGTTGACTTATTTGACTAGTAAGTAGGTACCTTGGTAGAATCTGACCAATGCGTGTGTGCGTGCAAAGATCTTGATCTCGTTCTTATTCACAAAGTTGAGTTACCTGGTGCTCTACAGTCCCGAGTCGTGTACTGTAGCTTATGCTATAGTGCCACCTTGGAGCCGAGCGATCTACCTCTGTCCTGTATCTAAGTACTAAGTAGATGTACGGGTGAAGCACTCGCTATACTCATGGCCCATGTTCCATGCTGGGTCTAACGCCAGGCAAACGGCCTCGAATGTCGAGTCTCAACCCGCGATGGTTTTCTTTGTCCCTGACACTGCATCTCCTTGCTTTTAGGCGGTCGCGAAATCCAAAGCCCCCGACCAGACTCTCAAGCGCTTGCCAAAGAACTGCAAAAAGACAATCAAGCCAAAGGCCGCGGCGCAGATGGCCGCCTGGATGCCAAAGCTGGTCTTGGTGCCCTGCGCGTTCGCCCACGTCACCTGGAAATACGAGATGATGAAGCCGCCCGTGGTGCGGCAGAAGTTGACCCACGCGGCCGTCTCGCCCGACGCCTCCGGGTACGAGTCGAGGTTGTACGCGTTGAGGCCGACCGTGGTGATCATGATGCCGAACACGTAGAGGCCCCAGAACAGCGACGTGACCATGTAGTGGTACCCGTCTTCGAGGCAGAAGCCCAGCCCGACCAGGCCGGCGAGGATGAACGGCGTGGCCACCCACATGGCGCGCAGCCGCACCTCGGGCTCGAAGTGCCCGGCGTGCGTGCGGATGTAGCGCGTGGCGATGAAGTCGTGGAGCCAGTGGCCTGTGATCTCGCCGAGCAGGGCCGCCACGATCGGCGTAAAGTAGAAGTATCCGATCTGAAGCGGGCCGAAGTTGTACAGCGGCGTGAGGAAGATGGCGAGCGTGGTGTTGATCCCGACGACCCACGCGAACGTGAGGAGGTAGTACATGCAGGAGAGGAATACCGTGGGTTTCAGCGCCACTTTGACCGGCCGCATGCAGGCTTGGGCGAATGTGTTACGCAGGTGGCGCGATTTCCACTGCGCGACGCCCAAAAGGCGCGAGATGTGGGTTCCCCGTGGCGGTTGCGAGGCCGCGGGAATGCGTCGGTCGTAGTATGTTTCTTCGGCGAAGAGCATGATGAGGACGAGGCAGAGTGCCGTCTGATGCCAGTCAATTAGTCATGTTGTCAGTTCGTATGGAAGTCGGTAGTCAGTACTTACCTCGGCGACGTATACCCAAAAGGGAACCTGCCATTTCTGGGTGCTGATGATGAAGGCCGCGAACAGGGGGCCAAAGTACGGGGATAGAATGATAAAGGCCGCCCAGATGTTGATCTTCCTCGCTCGCTCGTGGAAGAAGAACATGTCAAAGATGAACATCAGGCCGCCTCCCTGGGCGACGGTGCTGAAGAAGCCGTTCAAGATGCGCGCCGCCATGAACGATTCGAAGCTCTTTGCCGCGGCGCACCATATGGCTGTCGCGGTAGCGAGGACCATGAAGTAGAAGAGCACGGGGAGACGGCCGAAGTAGGCGGAGAGTGCGACGACGACCACACCGCCGGCGCCTAGCATGAAGACGTTGCCGACTTGTGAGTGGTTGACGTGGTCGGGAGACATGTTCCACACAACTGATTGTGGCAGTAGTGTTACTGCTCCGGTGGCGCTGCCGTAGTCTGGGAGGAACGCGGTCATTGAAATGATGATCAGGATGAGGTGCTTCTTGAAGCGGCTCCAATTGAGGGGGTCGTTGGGATCCGAGGACGGCTGAGGAAGGAGGATCGTGTGCCCATCGCGGGCTCGCTTGAGGTTGGCATGCTCGGGGTCGCTGGCGTCGATCACATAGCCTTCCGCGTTCTTGAACTCGTGGAGGCCTCCGACGCTCTCCACCGCTGCGGGATGGCCCAGCTCTTTGTCTTCAGCCATGAAGCTCATAGTATAGGTAGGGCGCGTGGTCTCGTGTGATGGGTTCAAGTATTCTGGAAATGCTGGGGCAATAGTCCTTCCATCTGACAGGAGGTGTGATTCTCTCCAGCCGGGGGAGGGGCCTCTTCTTATCTGACGGTGAAGACGGCTTCTCAAGTGGAGTTGAAGGCATTGTCTAGGCTGGGGCAAGATCCGCCAGGAGTCCAGAGTCCAATTGTCGCCGCCTCAATAATATGGAGAAGCAGCATCGACGTGGAGAAATCTCCAGCATTCCCCGGATAGGTACGGAGTAGTCCAGCAAGTGGTCATCGGATATTCCCCCGCCACACCCCCTGTGTTTTCCGGGGCTAGGAAACAAGCTTGGGACAAGAAGGGGCCATTTGGAGGATCCTTCAGCGAGCTGACTGGGCACTTTCGCTGCTTGAGCCCACCGAAGCCGACTCCGCCTGTGGCTAGCTTCGGTAGAGGAGAGGTCGGCGGACTGGACAGCTTCCGATGGGAGAGGTCTGCTTGAGTAATGATGATGAAGCGGGAGCGTTTCTATGCCGCCATGTCCCGACCGTTGCGTAGAAGGCGTCCCATCTCGCTACGCTCCGCTTCTGATTGACGGGCTCCTGATTACAGTAACCTTTCTGCGCCACGTGGATGGATGGTCGTCTCGTCGCGCGACCCCGGTGTTTGTCGGCATACCCTGATAGAGCCGACCTAGAACGCAGCCCATTCTCTGCTTGGGCCAATAATTCGGACTCTCCCTCTGTGACCACTACCCCAGTACGAGTGTTTTGTACAGCGTCGATCATGATCTGGAAAGGGATTGGCCGTCGGCACAGCTCTTCCACCAAAGCAGAGGCTCGCTGAGAGAGCCTGCGAACGGCACATCGACTGCACTACTGCATTGTTCTGCTGCTTCTTCCCTCATTCGTTCTCAAGTTCTGGACTATCGGCAAAGCACATGGCCGCAAACGCGCCCGGGTAACGAGATCCCTTTGCACCACCGATGGCTTCAATTGCCTTCCTGATTCTCTCATCGTCGCCTCTGGAGAAGTCAACATTGACTGCGCCAGCATTCTCCTCCAAGTACTTCACATGCTTGGTACCGGGAATAGGGATGAAGTCTGCTTGCCTCGTCAGCATCACTTAATGATTCCGGGTTAAGTCCCCTGCGTAAAAGGGTGTTTCGTCCACTCACCATCGCCTTGAGACAGAACCCATGCAAGCGCAACCTGGCCCGGTGTGCACCCTTTCTCCCTCGCCATGTCCTCAAATATCCCCACAAGCTTGAGATTCCCAGACAAGTTCTCTTCCGCAAAACGAGGAAACATGATGCGCGGGTCCATTGGGTCAAACTCCCCCCGGCTCTTAATGGCGCCGGTCAGAAATCCACGACCTAGAGGCGAATAAGCCACAATCTTGACGCCCAATTCGCGGGCTGTGTCGAGAAACTCGGTCTCGGGTGACTCAATCTCCAGCGCGAAAGGCGAGAATTCCATCTCCGCGGATGTTATCTCGTGGACCGCGTAAGTCCTGCGCGAATGGACATGCCCATGCATCCCAGACCTATGGCAGAGACAAGGCTGTTTCCGATTCTACGGCGAGGGATCTTTGAGGCCATCATAGGAGGAAGTGGACGACAAGGTGGATGGCATTCATGGATTGCTTGTTGAATTGGTATGTCTTCTGTCATGGACGTTGACAAGAAACTATATATCTGTTCGTTACCGGAAATGGCTGCGCCTTTCGGTTCAATGAAGTCTTTGACCCCTAGCCTGGAGCCAAGAGGTCAAGCAGGAGGTTTCATGAGGTCAGAGTTCTGACTGTTCCTCGAGCCGTATGCGGACGACTGCGGCGGAGGAGGCAACAAGGACATCGGAACGTCCATCCCATGGAGGGAATGCGCAAGAGCGGAGTACAAGAGAGCCGCTCATGAGGCCTTGTGGTACCACGAAGCGCACGGAAAACCCGTTCGTGCATGGGTACAACGCTCGACATCGCGAATCTGTCCTATGAAACCCTCAGCGGGTCGAACTGTCTTTATTCATACATGGCTGCTTTGTGTCGTAGTAGCCCAATCCATATCTCCGAGAGACATGCATATGCGAGGTGCAAGGACTCGACGGCCATCGGGCTCGGGTTCGGATTCAGCGTAGATGGTGTTGCGGGTGAACATGCTGAGTCTTTATGTCCTAACTCCAGCTGCACCAAATGCCGCAGGAGCCATTTACTTGTTGACTCCTCCGATCGTGAGGCTTGGAACATCACAACGGGGTTGCCGGTCGACAGGAGGGCAGGAGCACCGAATAGAATCATCATAAGAAAACTCGGATCACTAAGGGCAACTTGCTAAATGTTGGCCAGTTGTGCCAGTTGGAATCTCGGTACCGGCGGAATTTTGTTCCTGGACGAACGGGTCATCGAATCCCTGTCGGAACTGCACGCTTGGTTTGCCTTGCTTGCACCACTTCTCATGCTACTGTACTGGAGAAGCGTAGATTGACCATCTCCATGATGCCCAAGGACAATGGCAGCTATAACAAGTGAGCACTGCGCGTTTCGTATGCGCAAGATTCATCCACGATGTCATCTATATGGTTGAAGACCACGCTTCGGCTGGTATCCCATCACACTCGAGGTCACTGGGGAGCAGCTCAGAAACATGCCTCCCCGTGGCTGCTGCACCGGGGACAATCCACATTGTCTCGACCGCTCCCCCAGGGCACGTGGGACAGCCACATGCACGTTGTTGATCCAGCACGCTTCCCGCTCGCGGCTCATGCACAATACAAACCGTAGGCGCACACACTGGCCGATGTAAAAGCATTTTACTCCCCGTTCGGCATCCAGAACATGGTGCTGGTGCAACCTTCCATCTATGGGAACGACAACTCATGCATGCTACAAGCGCTCGACGAGTTGACACCGAAGCACGGACGTGCCGTGGTGGGCCTGGATCCGAAGACGATCGACCATGAGACGATGGAGAAATGGCATGCCGCCGGCGTGCGAGGGGCGAGACTCAATCTCGTCAGCGTGGGACGAGAAGTCAGCGAGGACGAGCTGCGCGCCGAGCTTGAGAGTTACGCCAGGGTGTTGAAGCCTTTCAAATGGGTTCTGCAGCTGTACATCCCCCTGGCGCTGGCCATGTCGCTGGTGAATATTGTGCCCGGTCTTGGAGTCAAGGTATGCATCGATCATTTCGGATCGCCTGATTTGCCTCAGCATTTCGACCCTTCGAGGACGATATATCCCTACGATATGCAGGGATTCGCGTCGCTAGTGAGTCTTCTGCAGGCTGGGAATACCTGGGTCAAGCTGTCAGCCCCGTACCGTCTTTCAAACGATCCTGAGATGAGAGATCTGGACCCAGTTGGAAGGGAGTTGATCATCAAAGGTGTAAATCGTGTTGTGTACGCCACGGACTGGCCGCATACACGGTTTGACAATATTGATTCGGTGCCTTTTATCGAAAAGTGTTTTGAGTGGTGTGGTGGCGATGAGCATGCGATTGACAGACTATTTCGTGGGAACGCCGAGGAGCTTTGGGATGTGGCTGTGGACACGTAAAGGCCATCTCAAGCTTATACAGTTATCTCGAGCACAGTCAAGCACCAAGAAGACCGTGTTGTGAGCCGTTGCCACATGGTCATTTCTCGACACTGAGTCCTGAGGGTAACAAACTCCTGGGAGGCATCTGCGGCCAACATAGATTCCACGGCAAGGTCAGCTTGGTTTCATTAGCTATCCAAGAGGACACTTCAATACATGGTCAAGCATAGAAATGGATGACCGGTCATGACGCTTTTCAAAAGGAATTGACGGATGGGTGTGACTCAAATTGTGATCCAATGCGCAGGTTTCGGCGAAGGTCACCATACCTACCAGAAGAGTATCATGTGGTCGAAGTGGACAAATTGGCAGAGCTTCTGAGACACCAGCGCGTGCGCGACCAATAATCATTACTGGCGAATACCTGAAGTATAATCCTTGTAACGCCCAGCAGCAAGACAGCAAACACATATATGCTCAATTTCGTCCAGTGATCGCTGCCACAAGTTTCCCACCTGAGGATGTCGTGGCTCAAGATTGTCGCTTCCCACCTAGATCCACTACGATGGCCTGCTGAAGAAAACAGTGCTCTCCATGCAAGTGACCTTCTCCTTGTCCACGGTGTTGACGTCGGCAAGGACGGTGTACTTCCCAGGTGGCTGGACCAAATGTCAATTGCTTCACTTGGTGTAAACAGGACCAGCGAAACTCACCACTTGCTTGGGGATGTCGACCTCCTTCTTGAGAGTGAAGAGTCCCTCCTTCAGCGGGCATGTTATATCGATCTTGGGCAGGTTATCGCAGAGGTCGGCTTCTTGCTTAATGAGCGTAATTAGGCCGTACTTGACCTGCAGGAAAACGGTGGCACCCGGGTCAATGTCCTTGGAGAACGTGCCGTTACCCGTGATGGTCAACTTCTGTCCCCTAATACCACAGTCAGGTCGGGCATCGTAGAGAATTTGGAGGAGGCACGTACGGCACGGGAGGATTGGGCGACAGGTCAACGTAGTCCACAGTCAGGATGTAGTCCTTGGGATCGGCGCAGAACTACAACCTGTCAGAACAAAGCTCGTCATGTCTATCAAGAGCTGCTCACGTTCAACGGGTTCTTTCCAGGAACAGAAAACTTATCCTCGTCCACCAGAGCATTCTGAGAGCCACCGAAGAGCGACCGCGATGACACTGCAGATGCGGCGCTAAGTAGGGAGAGAAGGAGCGCTGTGATCTTCATTTTGTCTGAGTCGACAATCGAAGGGTCAAGGAGGATGAGGAGGTCGGGTCTGAATCGACCCCAAGTTGCTGTTTGCGAAGGAAGATATTGGTTGTTGATATCGCTCGGAAGGAAGACGAGATAGAGCAGTGCAAAAGAGAGGCTTTTCGGGCCAGGTGGGCAGTGATGGGGATTGTTAGGCGATCATAATTGGGTGGCAAGCACGGCGCAGGGCCCGCATGACTTGCACCCAACTTGCCGTCCCCCGGCCGATTATGTCAGGCACCTGCGTCATTCGTCTTATTACCCGGTGCCACCAACGTGCGAATGCACGTGAAGCTTGCAGTGCACTTTTTGCGCTGTCTGGTCGACAGTAGAAGTGCTCCTCCGTACTCCCAGCCCCAAGAAGAACAGGGGCGCAAGGACTTTGGTCGCAGTGCGTCGCTCCTCCTCAACAGTCTCATGCCATCTGGCGACACAGTCCGTATGTTGTCTTGTTGAGCGAGACACATAATTTCCATCTGCGCTCTCTACTTGAACCTGGGTTCTCCTGACCGTTCACCCATCCCCTCGTTTCCCCTTGCGGGTATTTCCCTCACACTACTTCTGGATCTGCTCATCCGTCGCCTTGCTTACGATAACCCAATTTTCGAGCGCATCATTCGATTCTCGCCCTAGAAAGCGCAGCCTTCGTAATGAGGCCGGCTTTGCTGGCATGGGCTCTTGCAGCCGCTTTCTCAACCTCCATCGCCGCGCCACCGGGATCCAAAGGAGGAGCCACCACGTTATCAGACGATGCCATCAATGGCGAAACACCGGCAGAGGGAGGAGAAGCTGTGGACTATACTGTTTTTAATGGCATCAAGGTGCCCCCGATGAAGGAGATACAGGGCGACGAGTTTGCCGAGACCATCAAAGACGGGTATTGGTGGGTCAAACACTATTCGCCTTACTGCGGCCATTGTAAAGCCATTGCACCGACATGGCAGACACTTTACGAATTCTACGCGACCTCAGATCCTCTCCAAGGCATGACGAAATCCGGTCAGCCCGACCTATTCTCCCCGAACAGCTTCCACGGATACTACAACTTCCATTTCGCGTCGATAAATTGTATTGCCTTCGGTGATGTTTGCGACAAGAATGGTGTCAGAGCATGGCCGACTTTTTTGCTGTACAAAGATGGCGAATTTGTTGAGAAATATACCGGTGGCAGGTCAATGTCCGACTTCAGCAACTATGTCGAAGAAAAGCTTGAACAGATAAAGCCGGGCTCGAGACCACGAGGAGGCGTACATGTTCCTCAGCCGGGTGCGAAGGGTGTTGACCGAACCGCCGAGCCAGACGCGCCTCTAGCAAAGGACAAAGACACTGCTGCCGGAGCGGCGGCCGGGGAAAAGCAAAACAAAGTCGCCGCCGCCGAGTCCGAGACAACCACTGCATTGCTGGCTTCAGAGACGGCCAAATCTGGGAAGACTCTGAGCGCGAAACCCGCCGTTCAACCAAATCCGAAAGGCACTTCCGTCGCGCTCACTCCGGAATCATTCCAGAAACTAGTCACCACTTCTCAGGACCCATGGTTCGTCAAGTTCTACGTCCCTTGGTGTAGTCATTGCCAGCACCTGGCACCGACCTGGCAACAGATGGCTAAGGAGATGGAAGGGAAACTCAATATCGGCGAGGTCAATTGCGAGGCTTCACCGCGATTGTGCAAAGATGCCAAAGTCAACGCCTACCCTACCATCTACTTCTTCCGTGGTGGCGAGCGTGTCGAGTACGAGGGTCTTCGTGGCCTTGGGGATCTGCTTTCGTTCGCGAATAAAGCCCTGGATAGTGATGTCAAGCATGTCGACGCAGCCGCGTTCAAGGAGATGGAAGAGACCGAAGAAGTCATCTTTGTCTATTTCTTCGATGACGCCACAACTTCTGAGGACTTTGCGGCTCTTGATCGTTTGACTCTCAGCTTGATCGGACATGCCAAGATTGTCAAGACTGATTCTGAAATACTGGAAAATCGCTTCAAAATCTCCACATGGCCTAGACTACTCGTCTCTCGAGATGGACGGCCGACCTACTACAATGCTTTGGCTCCCAAGGACATGAGGGACTTCCGACGCGTACTCACCTGGATGCAATCAAATTGGCTTCCCATCGTTCCCGAACTCAGCGCTACCAACGCCAAGGAGATTATGGATGGGAAGTATGTGGTGTTGGGTATCCTCTCGCGAGAACGACCGGATGAATTCTTGCAATCACGACGAGAGCTGAAGAACGCCGCTCTGGAATGGATGGACAAGCAAACCCAAGCCTTCCAACTCGAACGGCAAGAACTTCGCGACTCTAAACAACTGAGGATCGAAGAGGCCGAAGATCGCAATGATCAACGTGCGCTGAGACAGGCGAAGAGTCGGGTCATCAGCATTACAGAGGAGACCTTTAGAAAACAAGTCGCCTTTGCTTGGGTCGACGGGGTCTTCTGGGAAAGGTGGTTGAGATCTACGTACGGCGTTGACGTCTCTAAGGGAGAAAGGGTTATAATCAACGACGAAGATGTGAGTCTAATACTAGCGTCTGTATCCTCCGAGTTGGACTAACAAACAATCTCTAGAACCGCCGCTACTGGGACGTCACCGACTCCGGCGCCTACATCATGCCATCTCGGACCTCTATTCTGGAAACCCTCCCTCGCATCGTCGCCAACCCACCCAAACTAACGCCCAAATCTACTATTGGCGCTTTCGAAAACATCTTCTTCCAGATCAGAAATTTTGGGACGTATCATCCCTATTTGTCTTTTGGTGTGCTCATCATCAGTATCTTCTTACTTTTCTGGGTCTTGAAGAATGGAGCGACGATCAAGAAGAGTCTCAGTCGCACTTCGAGCGGATATTTCCATTTGGACGGGAAGGAAGGACTGTTGGGGACGACGAATGGCAAGGCCGATTAGGCGCAACTACACCTCTGGTGGCGGATTCTACGTGTATAGTGCATTGCAGGGGCGTTTAGGACGTAGGGACATGACCAGGCTTTGGGGGTGGGGCATATACAATACAACCCAGATGCATTGAATCCAATGTTGGTTATGTCCGTGCATCATGCAGTAAGACAAAACGAACATTACGCACATCGCATCCTTCGGGAGAGCTTTAGAAGAAACACTGTGGCTTGGGCCTGCCAGCGTTCAGAGAGCGCCCGCACGTATACAGTTCCGCATCGACGGCGACATGCAGGTCCGGCAGGTCAGCCAACCCGGGACGAAAGCTGGTCGCGCCCGCACTAAATTCCTCGACGTAGACAGGCAATCAACCAGGGGCAGCGGGGTTGGGAGGGAAAGGAAGAGGTTCTGGCGATCAAGCTTCGTCCATGACAGACTAGGCGACACCTTGAATTTGTTCAATACCTTTGCGGCTTCTCGGGAGTGTCTGCTGCGTATCTGAACCGTATGAACTTGTCTCGTGGCGGCTCAAACCACAAATATGGCAATGCCTTTTTGCGATAGACCGAAAGGCCGCTCACAACCCGGCTGTGACTTTGGCGAATCTCGTGCCCTTCCAACGCCGTCGATGTATGCGTGATATTGGGAATGACTTTGCCCTTCTACGTTTGAAGACTGGGCTCCGAGGACGGATGACGGACCGGTTCCTGCTTGTGTGCTTCCGTGAGGATGATGCCGCCGCTCGCTCGCTGATCGACCGCTATCATCAAACTCTTTCTACTCCCGCCGTCCTGGTCTATCGGTGCCGAAGACCCGACGACCGCCCCGCTCCTGCGGCGCCTGCTGGCTGACCGGCACGACGTTGACGGCAATGCTGTCGAAGCCCATGCTCTTCAGCAGATCTTTGGTATCGCTGTCCACATCCAGTTGTCCACTCTCGGTGTTCTGCGTGAAATCAAGGGCCGAGATCTCGGGCACGTATTGATCTTTGCGCTCGCGCTCCTCTTCCTGGAGCTTGAACGAGATGCCGCGCACGGGACCGCGCTGGATACGTTTCATCAGATGGGTGGTGTAGCCGGCGATCTGTACCAGAAGAACGTGGTTAATACAAATTAAACGCCTGAGTAACGGAAAGAGGTTTTGGGTGTGTCAAAATCTGGACCCGGGATATAGGCAAGGTATAAGCATGCGTGGGGTGCGTACCTTGTTGCGAAGACGCTTCGAGGCAATGATGGCGATTTCATCGCAGATGCGCTTGTTGGTCTCGAAGTCGAGGGTGAGCTTGGGGTAGTAACGCTCGATGATGACTTTGGCGGACTTCTTGACGGTCTGGTGACGGATGTCGAGTCAGTTTATCATCGCTGAGATTGTGGCTGTACGGGAGGGCCTCTACTGACCTTCGTGCGAACGCGACCCATCTTGACGGCTTGGGGAGGATGTGGTGGGAAAGCTGAAGTCGATGGCAGCGAATTCGGAAGACGCTGGTGGACGGAGTATCGCAAGATGAATTTGCTGCAGCACTGGTTGTGGATGCTTGGCGTTAGCCAAGAGATAAGATTGACACTCGCTTCCCGTGCCCGTGGCCTAGGCACGTGACACCTTCAGGAGGAACTCGGTAGAGTGTGTTAGGGCAATGGGTATTCTGTCATTCTCACCCGCGAGTCATATACCTCGTACAGGGTACCCGATGTCCAAGAGGTCTGACTGTACGAACCACGTTTATTTTATGTATGAATTCCAGGAGTCTGCGGCGATTGCCCCGTGGACCTAGCCTCGCTAGCCTACTACGAAACCCCACGGCACAATTCTCGCTCAATAGCAGGAACGGCTATGTTGTCTCAAGATCTGCAGGAGTCTTCTTGTTATCAAGTGCAATCTCTCAAGGCCCAGAGAGAGTACTCCGTACAGCGAAGGATACCGGGCACATGAATCAATTTCAGCCGGGAGTGACTTGGACAGAATATGACATGGAGCGTTGGAGAATCGAGTATTTGTGTCTATACATTTTGTACATCTATTTGAGGTTGCGCTTCGTCCACTTCGGGCTAGACATCGACTTCAAAAGGTCCAACTCTTCGTCGATGTCTCGCTCGGGTTCAGGGGGTGGCCTGGTTCTTCTGGATGCAATACTATCGAGACTCGGTAGTTGCGATGACATCCTCCTCGCCGGAGCAGTCGTAGCCGTTGTTGTCCGCCTCTTTGTAGGATCAACTGGTAATTCGTTCTCCACAGCCCAGCCTTGTAGTCTCTTGGTCTTGATCTCGACTTTGCCAGCTTGCGAAACACTGGTCGAGATTGGAGTAACCACCAGCTTTGGTCCATCCTTGACAGGCTCCCATTTCCAAACCTGCTCAGTTATTGCAGTGGCACCAACGGGTTCGGGGACGACAAATCCAGCGACGCCCACGTAAGGCACGTGTTTGTTATGCATTATTTGTCTTGATTTGAGCAATCGAGCCGCAACAGGATCACGGCTTGCCCGAGGGCCTGTCGTAGGGCTATTAGCTGCCGAAGCCTCTGTCTTGAGATAGGAGAGCCCAGCAGAAGGGTGGGTACGGGGTGGTCCGGACTCTCGGTACAAATCTGCCGCTATCGTGTCGCGTCCATAGGACCACGGGTCTGTCATATCGGATGACGGGTTCGGACCGTCCGCGAGGTCGAAAAACTTGGCGATTAATGGACCAAACTTGCCAGGCTCGTTTCGTAAGTATCGCATGTGCTCTGTGACATCTTCTTCTGTGATTTCAACGGGTGACTGGGAAGACACATCAGGCTGTCCTTCGTCAAGTGCTTTCAAGCGCTGGTCGTGGGCACGTGTCTCAACCAGGTCGTTCTTCACTAGTTCTCTGAAAGCGGCTCTCTTCTCTCTTGTGATAGTCTTCAGAAAGGCATCGAATTCCAATCCATTCAGACCAGCCAGATATGGACCAGAGTAACGCCATCTGCGTAGACTCTCCACAGATGGTGCAGGTGCAGAGTTCGTTGGCTGCGACTGATTCAAATGCTTTTCCACCTCGCCCTTATTCTTCTCAACCTTCAGCATCGCATCCTTCAAATGTCCGGGCATGCGCTGGGCCCGCTCGGATGGACTCTGATCCAGCCATGATATGGAAGTTTTCTGATTCAATCTCGGAGGCGGCTGGTCGGCAGTATGGTCAAGCTCCACTTCGAAGGGGCTAATCTGTTGATCCTGCACTGACTTCCTCCTCGGGGCCGGCAAGGTCACTCTGAGGTTAAGCTCTTGATACTTTCGCAGTGTTAGGACATGATCAGCCGCGGATTCGAAATCGACAACATGTTCAGGGGTGTCAATGCCTCTTCGGAAACGGACCAGGGGCGTCCCGGATTTCGTTGTGGTCTTGATAGGTAGTGGTCGTTTCAAACCCCAATCTCCTTGATTCAGAGACGCAAGCGGCGTTTCGATAGCTGCTCTTGTGGGATAGGGAGTTGTGGCAGAGTCGGAGTAGGAGATGGGTTCTGATGAAGGTTCTACTGCCGGGAGCGATACTGCAGGAGGAATCGAGAAGAGTCTGGAGGTGCGGAGCAGATTTGCTGCTGGCGACAGACGCGCAGCCGTCATTGCTGCGATATCTGGCCAGGCTGATGCAAAAAAGCGTGTGGTTGAGCGCGACGCAAGCTATCGGAAAATGCAATCACCTGCGAATTCCAGGTTGAACGGGCTCGGCAGACTTTCTAGTTAGGGTTCTCAGTTGATCTCACGTGACCCTCGAATCTCGTTCGTTTTCCAGCGGATCTTCACCAGCTTCACAAATGTTCTGAAATGCTAACAGAATTTCAATTTTACCTGCAAACCCGTCTCGGACACCCTGTACACTTTATCCTCTCACATACGGCCACAGCCGATATCGGCAGGACACGCATTCTCGAGGATGATGCGTCTTCCGACCCCACGATGGCCCCAGGCAATCGAGATCAGAATGAATTTGTTGACAGTCGCATGGCAGCAGTAATGCCCACATTACTATCGACAGTGCCTCTTCGACTCCCATACAGACGGTTGATCTGCCACGACATGTTTGTCCATGGCTTGCACAAACACGAGTGACGCACTTCGCGCTGAACCAGTCGTCGTCGCCTGTATCTATATTAAGGATATGCATCGTGGAGACCCCGCACACGAAGTCGGCTAACCACCATTACGCCTCTCTTTCAGGGCGCACAGGGCAAACCAGGGAGGCAGATGGGCTTGTTAGCGATACGAGCATCATCGCTTTTCGGGGTCCGAATACGTGGAGGTCTGTATAACTGGGCTGCAGCCCTCTTCTGCTCGAACGACAATCACGCCGGGTGGACTAGATTGACTGTGCTCTCTAGCACGAACTTCTGCCCTCCCTATTAGAATCATCAGGCGTTCAGGTGAGCCTCTTATACTCCGTTAGTCGAGACACAAGACCTCTATGTTCCACCTCCGCTACCGCCAGAGGATATCCGAAGCAGAAATGAACATCCTTGCCTACAAGATGGCTCGATTCTTACTCATGTTCAGCCTGCCTCTCGCAGCCTGGTGTCAGTTGAATGCTCTACCCTCTCCCCCTGGGTCAAAGGTATACGTCAGTGAATTTCCCCTGACGGACCATTCGCGTGTTGACCCACTGGCGCCGTGCTGCAACGAATCTCGCCGGCTGATGTTGTCCCTCTTCCAGCCAGCCAACTGCAGCCAGACACATCAAATCCCATACATGCCACCTGCAACGGCAGCGTCCCACGATGCCATGTTCGGCTTTTTGGGAATACCGAACGGGACGTTCGAATCCTTCCGCCTCGAGACGTGTCCCGCACCTCCCAAGAATACCGACTTTCCCGTATTGCTATTCTCGACAGGAGCGGGGACTTCCCGCCTGGTATACAGCGTCCTCTGTCAGTGGGTCGCTTCCATGGGGTTCAACGTCATTTCGATCGACCACACCTACGACGCTCCAATAGTGGAATTTCCAGAGGGCACCATCATTCCAGCCGCCAACCTAACGCTTCTAGAGGATCTGGAAAAAGTGCTTACCGTCAGGACTGCGGATGTGCTTTCCGTGTTGAAGGCGATCTCCAATTCCACCACGACAAAGGAACTTGGGATACCGCTCTTCAGGACCAAGCGTGTGGGAGTGTTCGGACACTCTCTGGGCGGCGCAACTGCCGCAGACGCGATGCTGCTGGACACCAGGCTTGTTGGAGGCTTGAACATGGACGGTAGTGTCTATGGGCAAGCGGTGAATAAGACCCAGAAAAACCCCTTCACGATCTTCGCGGCACAGCACCATAATCAATCCAGCGACGCGACTTGGGCTGCGTTCTGGCAACAATTGAAAGGAATCAAATTGCAACTCGAGGTCAATGGCTCAATGCATGGCACATTCGTTGACTATCCTGTGTTGGCCAACAGCCTAGGCATCAATTCGACCTCGGTGCCTGCCGTAGCAGAGTTCATTGGGAGTATCGGCGGTGCCAGAATGTTCAATATCCTCCGATCATATATTGGAGGCTTCTTCCAAGAGGTGCTGGGGTCGAAACAGGTCAAGCTGCTCGAGGGCCCGAGCCTGCAGTTTCCCGAAGTATCGTTTATGAACCGATCACTGAGCACAGCAGCAACAACTTGAGAGGTGCGGGCTCCCCGTGTACAGCGATCGGACTTGCCTAGGGGGTTTCAGGGTCGTGTGTTATCCCGGCGAGTTCTTTATAGCTCTTCAATAAGCTACCTTGATCAGTCTTCCAATTCAGGAGGCCAATTGACAGCGCGACGGATTGGTGTTTATGACAGACAGATCACTGCATTCTCAATCGCTTCCACCTAGTCGCGTGTGGGTTGTGGCGGTACGTGGACGACGTGAGTAAAAGTTCAAAGTGAGGCGCCAGAAATATCTCGGGAAGCCTCACCGCCAAATCATTGCCGTGCGGCCTTTGTTGACCAGTGCCAAGTGAAGGCGCACCATGGTCGATACAGGTACCATACGTTAGCCTTGCAGTGTCCGTCCCAGGAGGCGGTCACAGGACGTGTGCGTGATGCGGCCATAGGTTCATGGTGTTGAGGGTCGCATCGGGCCGCAATGCTCGATGATGGCTTCCTCAAACCTACACTCTCAGTGCTCTCGTCAGTCAGGGTCCGAAGCTGAGTCGACATCGGTCCCGTCGAACGAATGAACAGACGACATTGTAAGATTTGGTCCGTGCGTGATCTGTGAAACCTCAACAGCGCGGAACTTTCATCCCTCTCTCAGTCGCCCTTGACACTGACACTGATACAAACTCTTTTCTCGACCTGGTCGTCACATTCACAATCTATACTCCTTGCCCTCTCGTTTTTACAACGCTCATCGAGATGCCACATTTCTCGTGCTCGCTCGACCGGCCGCTGACCACAGAAGTGGCATTGCAAACCCAGTCCTACGTGCTGTGCAGTCAATCGCACATAAGGAATGACGATCAACGCTCACTCAACTCCTTCCTTGTCTGCCATCTACCTTCATCGACTCCCTGACCCTCTTGCGAACCCGTACCGTCATGGGCAGCCGACTACCAGGTCCAGAAACCTTGGTTGGAGCTCACGCCAGCCTCACAGATTTGTCGACAACGCTAGATGACAGTCTGCAAAAGATTGCTCCACAATCCCAGCTTGCAGGGTTCGGTCAGGTACAAAGGACGGGCCTTCCAGTACGGATGCGGCCTGTGCCTCACAAGATCGACACCTTTTATACGAGTTTCCAGGACCAAAGATTGGTTAGTTGAACCTGGGCTGATTAATTAACTCCTCTACATCGAAAGTTTGGTCCTACACATCGCTCAGCTGCGCCCTGTATTCGTCTCTACATGCGAAGACACCTTTCAGCATGCAAGAGGCATTGCCAACTATCTGAACCGGTGTGTCTTGTCTCTCATAGACCTGGGCCACGAGCATTTCTCGAAGATGCCCGTTGTCAGCCTAGGCGGATGAGCAAGCACTTAGGCCGCTGCACTTAAGCCACAATAGGAGGAGCTCCACACATGTCAAAGACGCGAGCAACCGCAACGCCCGTTTCGACTGCCTTCTGACATCGAAAAGAGGCTTTGCTCGGGCAAGCAGATCACAGCCTAGGCCGTGACTGCGATATTGCGGCTGTTGGGCACCAACTCCTCTTGTCATTAAGAGCGGATATGTTACGTTTCAGACTAACCCGATGATTAATATGGGCCATGCGCTCCTTAGTCAGTGTACTGTAGGAGCTTGGAGACAGTTCAAAAGTCGATGACCCAACTCCGGCGGCACAGCATTCAAGATCCATGGGCACGGATGCACGGACCGTCTGCACGGATGTCAAGACTGAGTTTGGCAGATTTTGAATCTGAAGATGAGCTCGGGTTACCGTTTGCGATAGGCCAAACCCAACGGGTGAGCTCAATAAGGCATCCTCTAAAGCAAGGCCTGCGGGTTCGGTTTGCAGAACCGGGGCGTATGGACTCTAGTGGAGCTGCATGCCGCTGGGCTTGTCGTGTTCGTTAGGCAGGAGAGGCACGATGCTACCCTTGACATCTGGGTGACGTTGGGTTCCCATTGGTTCCCGCGGCCTTCAGTGGTGCGGAAGATTGGGGTTGGGATATGGGGCAGAACAAGTGAAGAGCGCACGCGAAAGGGCGAAGAGTTGAGCTGGCAATCGCGGCGACACTGGGCGCCCTTGATCGGAGCGTCCACGAATGTTTCGCTGGCCTCAGGTGAGTTGCAAAGTGCAAAAGACACTAGCAACAGAAATCAATCGTACCGATCACGATTTCAAGTTGCAAAGTTGATTGCGGGTTCAACTCTCGCAGCCGCCTCCGCCACAGTCCTGGGGTTAGCACCACACAAAGCAACTGATATAGGGTGTCGGCGGTTTGCCCTTTATGCTTGAGCGCACCTCCTGCGTGCGAAACAGTCTTGAAAATATCTCACCAACCGTGCGGGCCGTTCTCTCTGTTGCCCTCTAGCCTGACTACCAGGCCTTCTTGCAAGCCTGTCTTGACTTTTCTTCCTTAGCCTCACCAAAATCCTACGGATCGGCCGTATCCAACTAGGTCACAATGGCGGCCTTCTCCACGCCTGCATACAGGACTCCGAGCGACAGACAAGGATTCCTCCCAGGGAAGGTAGATCTTTTCGAGTTTGTGCTGCCTTCCAAGCAGATGCCTTTCGACGTCCTCCTCCTTCTTGCACTGCTGCCACTCAAGCTTCACGTTGTTGGCATCGACCTCAGTTTCTTAAGTCGCAGCTTTTACCTCTGGGAAATCCACCAGGACCCTGTTCAACAACAACGAACGAGTCATGGAGCTTTCAAATCTACAAGAGGTCAAGTCCTCCATCGTGGATACTTCGGGTTCTCTTGCTGGAGCCTCAGTGTCTGCTGGCGGCTTAGGATACAATCGCAGGTATCTCAGCTTTGTCAGGCCCTCGGCAAGGATGAGGACAGGGGCCTGCTAGCTGTGCAATGGTTCTCGAATCCACATCTACCAATTTCTCCCCCGCTTCGGGTGCACACTAAGCAAACCACCCATCCGCCCCCTCCTGTGGCACTCTCAGAAGCCAGTGACTTCCACCGTCAAGATCGGTCAGAAAACATTGATGCAAAACTTGGGGACGGCCAGGAATCAGCACAGCTGGACCACATCCCGAATGCAGAAGGCAAGCACCAGAACAATGATTCTGATCGACACGCTGAAACCTTTGTCGGCGCCATACCTGGCCCCAAAACATACCCCTCTCGGCCGCTTGCTTTTCGTACTCGAGAACCGACCCCACTCAAGCCACCAGCGTCAGTGTTAACGCCGACGCAAAATCGTGCCTTGGGAGCTGAAGCTCCGCAAGCGTCGACGCAACACGCCTTCCCTTTACCTTGTCAGAAGTCCAAATCCATAAGGGAGCGCGGTCATCAAATCAAGACTTCGTTCTCAAGTAGCAAGCGACAACAGGAAGCTGCTCCAGAGAACCTCACAAATGCCCGTGCCACTGGAGATGAGAGACGCGGGCAGCATGTGCGTATCCAACCTGACTACAAGGCTGTGGGCGCTCACACAGCCAGCGTAGCCTCGAAACAATTCGAGCCTACGGAGTCAAAACCTTCTTTCAATACCAAGCCGGCTGAAAACAGGCGCCCTACAGGTGAAGCTGCCAAGAGGAAGCGTGGCGAGGAACGCCCACCGTCAGGTTCCGTGGCAGCTGCGCCAAAGAGAAACACACACCATGGTAAACGGGAGCGTGTGGAGCACTCGGGAGACGAGGGGGGTTCTGGCAGTGAGCAGCAACCTCCTAATCGGAACTCGCATAATGGGTCAAAATCAAACAAGTCAGCCACGGGACTGCCTTATCGTTGTCCCATGCTTGCTGCAAATCACAATGGGGAAGCCGGCAGGAATTGTAAGGAGTGGCACAACGCCTCCATCGCAGCTGTTACCAGGCATGCACTGAAAGATGCTGGAGCACATTCCGCCAAATGGGAACAAATCAGAGACTTGTCTTCGACCAAACTCGCCCCCAAAGAACGCTGGAGACAATACTTCCTCATTTTCAACGATGGCCAGGAGGATGCCGAGATGGATCGGCCGTACTGGGGAGGCACGAACACCAACGACACGATAGATTTGCTCTTCAGGTGTGCCAAGGCCAGTCTTGAACCTGATGGCGGCTCACCTACAGCACCAGTAAGACTACTACTCGAACATCAAGCGCTGCTGAGGAGGAGAGAGCAGCGAGACAGCCACACTAGAGCTCGGGCTGACGCTATGAGGGCACGCGCCACGCAAATGGAGCAAGCTGAGCTGTTGCAGTCGCAGCGTCAATTTGATGAAGACCTTGCGAGGCTGCTTGCTCAAGTGGATGACGTTTCTCTCGTTTCCGGCGCTGATCAACCGGACATTCCACCGACTGCTGCTCTTCCCACAGATTCCCAAGACCTACAGGGTCTCGCATGGCCCACGTCGCCAATGCACCGAACAACAAGTGGGCAGAGCGCGATGAACGCTACCTTTGGCACACCCTTCAATGAACTAGCTACGAACCCCGGAGCATTGACGCTCCCAGCCCAATCACCCTTTCCATCCAGTGGCCAGAACCCCGCCATCGGCGGGCCGAATACCCTTGCGACCGAATCACAATCGTTGACAGCTTTCATAGAGAACGTGAGCATGGTAGTGGATCCCAACACCGACCCAACAACACGCCAACAGGTGCAGTCGTGGCAAAACAGTCATTATCGACAGTCGCAAACGCTGCGGCCTCCGCAGCTGGATCGTCCCCGTCCTTCCTACTTGGCCCCCGGTCATTCAAGACGGAATGCGGTTGGGCTGCCCAGGTCCAGTAATTCGACACAACGACTCACTCCTACGAACAGCAGCACCACGAACAGCCTCCAACCACCCAGATATGTGGCTCCAACATTCGCATCCGATGATAATGCCGACATTTACATGGGATACAGTGAGACCGACGCACCCGCATATGATTACGGAGGCGAGGATCCATCGTACAGCCATACGCCGCGGACATATTGATATCAATGTTGAAGAATCGCGACTTGACGAAGCGAGGTGAAGACGAAGGTTTCCTTAGAAGCTACTGGCGTTATATACCCATCCTCTACGGCGATACGGGCGAGGTAACCTATTTCTGTTTGAACTAATGAAGTGAGGACTAGCATCAGGCCGGTCAGCATTCGCACCTCCTGTAGGTTGGACATTTCATCCAATGAATCATGAATGACACGATCCGAAATGTACGGTGCCCACATTTCATCCTTGATCTGCTCTTCTTCAGTCGAAACTGCTGCACTCCAGCCCCGTAACGTTCGTCATATCAGCATCTATAATGAATTCACCTTCGGCTGACGGTATGCAACCGTACGCGCGGGTTAACATCAACTCACGGTTATGTATAACCGCTCACCCAGCACGTTGAGTGGCCTGGAGAAAAATCAAAATATCTTCCATGATGCCCTTTCATCCTCCTCAGCTCTTGCAGTTCACAACGCTCTTTGCCGCAATGCGCCTGCACCACTGACTCCAGACAAGCACTGCTTGGCGGCGTCCATGACGGGGCACAGGTACTGTTGATAGCTACAGAAGCTTTGCAAAGTACAATTCACATTCTTATAGGTGATGTAGTTATCTCGACAATGGCTCTGCATGAAGCTGTCTCAGGAACGAGAGGACAAGTATGGACTAGGGAGTACGTAGTATTTAATTGGCATGTGCCTCTACGCATTCCTACAAGAGCCCCTCAGCCCCTTACCCCCTTTCCCACGCAGCCTTACTCCGTACAGTAATTAATTAGTTACTGTGTTTGGTTCTGCGCACCCGCTCCCAACAATCGATCAATCAATCTCGGGCTGATTGACGTTCAATGATCCTCACTCCACCACACGATCATGCACGGCGCGTCGCTTCGCTCCCCGAGTCGCCATCCAAAGCACTTTCCGCACCCCAAGATGTCCCTTGCTCGACAATGTCGGCGTGAAACCCTGGCCAGTCCACCATTTGCAAGGTTCTCTCTTTCGCAGCTCGACACTCTGCTCTGTCCTCATCCAAAGAAAGGCGCTCTTGCCGAGTTCCCGGTACCGTATGTCCGCCGCAGGATCCAGTGCTGTCGGACCCGGTCTTCAGTGGATCATTCGCCTACGCCGACCGGATTGCTAAACACAACGTACACTGATTATTTTTTGTCGTACGCAGGGAGGGCGCGGAAGCCATTTCATGGTGCCGTTTCCGGGCTTGAGGCTCTCGAACCCAGTCCGCGGATTGATTAGTAGACTCTCGGTCGTTGCTGTCCAAGAGAGATGGACTAACACTGCTGGTCTCGGCCTTTGTACATCGCATGGCATGTAAATTGCCAAATCTGGCGCGACCATCTTCTCGCTGAGGAGGGCCGTATCAGTGTCGGCGTCGAGGTCGGGGTCAGTTCTGGAGTCGTCGGATGCTTCTCAAGGAGGCCACTTAGAAAACCGATGTCGAACAAATCCCCTCACTATCGCGCAAACTGTGTGGATGCTTGGGCCAGGTTGACTCAGTGGATTAGCCACCTCGAGTAACTAGCCCTTAGCTTGCTCGCGAAAGTATACCCTAATGGTGCGTTCATGAAACGCAACAACTTGGGCGCCTTTCGATTTGGCCTGTGCTGGGAGGCGACGGATCGAGGATGAGGACTTGCTTTTGTCGTTGGACATGTTTTCGAATCGGGCCGTCGCTACGATGTGATCGTCCTTAGCCACACTTCTTCCCGTACACCCGTATATTTTGAGCTGGCTGGTGTGGTGCAGGGATGGTCACCCTCCGACTGAAAAGCTACAAGAAGCCGCTAGATGATGCATTTACCCTGGTTGGAAGCGCATCTTTTGCTACCACGTTCCCTCGAGTTCTCCTGGCGGAGGTGGTACTTCGTATTCTGTCCACCCCTCGGTCGCAGCACGTATCCGTCCGTCGGTGTAACCGTTGTCCTAGACTCTCCTTCCCTGATGGGCACGGGCGTACACGCACGCGGACCAGTCAATCAGTCAACTGGTCAACCAGTCAACCAGTCAAGCGAGATGATAGACATTGACAGCCACGCGTTTGATATCTGAGCCGACTATAGCGTTGATTACATGCGCCGAGTAGCAGCAAAAGGTCCACAACCAGTGGCCCGTCATGATTGACTGATTGATGAGGAGACAACCCTCAGCCACGAAAGCATCATGGTCCACCGATAGTAACAAACCAGCATAAGATTGACGGACAATGCAAGTGTCAGTAACCAAGACATCTTCTGCTTAAGAAGTCATCATGAAACCTACAACTTGCCTGGTGAAGTAAAGACTTCGAAAATGACACGAAAACTCTGTGAAAACAACAGACACTCTCGACATCCAGCGTCAGCTCATCTCTCACAGTTCCCTAGTTCCCAATCATGCTCACGCAAAGGGACCCGACATTCACGAAACACCTTGGCAGGATGCGGAAGCGCACAAAGTCGATTTCAACTGCTGCTTGCCGGCGCCCTCCCTTCTTCACCACCACCACGGGGCGCAGTGAAGGTGAGGCAGTCCAGTCCGGTGAAGAGTGGTCGCACCAGAATAAAATGCGCGGCAGCCAACATTCTTCAAACCCGCTTCGCGCACCTTGACAAATCTCTGTCTCGACAATAAACAACCGTCCTAGTTACCAGGCGGGCGATCGACTTCCAATTCTTCCTCTGTTCGCGACTCTTCAATTCCAAAGACCATCCTTCCGCTCTCTCTCGACATCGTGCCCCTCTGCTCTTGCTCTGTCGCACCGCACAAACGCCGCAAAAAGATGGCCTGGAGAGACGCAACCGTCGGCCAAAGCATCGTCATGGTCGCCAATGGAGCCGTCCGCGCCGCGCAAGTGGTGACGGGGGTGCTGACCATCTTCCTCTACGCGCCGGAGAAAGGATACTGGCAGGACCATGGGTTGCCAAAGACACTCGTAAGTTGCCGGACAGACAAGACTCAACCTTTACACCTTTCGCGGCATAATAACTAACATGATAACCCCCTCTTGCAGAACTTTGAATTCGTGCTGGGCTCCCTCGCCATCGTCACCGGTCTTGCTATGGGTCTCGTGCCCTTCAAATTGTCCTACCGCCCCGTCGCGCTCGCCTGCCCATGGGACATCGTCATGTTCTTCATGTACAGGTGAGTTGATTCGGCTCTTCGGGCTTCGGCTCTTCAGCTCCGGCTCTTTGGTCGGCCAAAAAAAATCCTATCCACAGACCTGCCAGCTAGGTTGCTAACAAGGAGAATATATTTAGCGCCGCATTCTACATAATGAGGAACGTCAACAGCAAGTTCCTCACCGAGCCGTTCCATCACGTCGATCAATACAACGACGGCCTCTTCTTGACCCACAAGTTGGCCATGTATGACAAGGTGTGGATTGATCTCGCCGGCATGCTTCTCTTCCTCGTCAGTGCAACCATGGGCGCGGTCTTGCTGTGGACTGGGAAGAGGAACAGGATCATCGGACGACACAGCGCTGTTTAGGACATTTCCGCCGCGAATGTATACCCTTTCCCGATGACTGGCCAGGCCGGTTGAGGTTGATCGGGCAGACAAACGTCCACGACGAGGTGAATGAAGCGTCAAGTTGTGTACAGCGCGGCTCTGGGTCTTCTTGGTTTGGACACACAAAGTACCGGAGTGGGGTGGGCCATGGCACCTGTACGGAGTATGTGGATTGTCGATAGCAGTTGGAGGGACGGAGATTGCTTCGGCGTCGAGGTCAGGCTCCGGCGTCGAGGAATACTGTGGCCGAGGTACTGGTCATCTCCAGCCAGAGCGTCGACGTTGGACGTGCTCTTCTGTTAGAACAGGCATAGAGGGGTCTTGGTACGAATGAGCGGAGTTGACACCCTCATGACACCTCAGGTTGCCCATTGTACCAACTCAGTCCAAAGTCTGAAAGTGCTTTGATCCCAGTGATCGAACTTGACTTGTGTTTGCTGAAATTTTCAATTCCCTAACCTCTATGTCCTCTGGTATTGAACATCGTGACTCTTCATACATGACCCGTTGTTGGTACAAGATATATGCAAAAATCAGTGGCATGTTTGCCAAGTCCGGGAATTTACAGTGCCAGAGCATTCCGCATTCCGTTTGTCGTACATATTTTACAGTAACCACCATCCCGCACCAACGACACTGAGCACGAAGCTGAGCACGAGCCCTCTGCCATTGCAGGCTACCGTGCCGGCGCCGGCCGGAGCTGGTGAACTGCTAGTCGCGCTTGAGCTCGGAGCGGACGATGCGCCAGTCTCAGGTGTCTGTGAAGCCGTCACGACGGCGGTTGAAGTCGAGGCTTCCACAGGTGCTGTGGTTGTGCTCTCAACACTTGCCGTCGGTTCACTCGTGGGGGTAGCCTCGGTCTCCGTGCCCGCAGCAGTTGTAGTGGCATTCGTCTGCGACGCAGTCGAACTTGCCTCTGTGCTCGTTGTCGTGCTCGAACTCGAATTTGAGACGGACTCCGTTCTATTCTGCACTTGAAACCAGTTCGCGCCCACCGGTTCGCCTAAGCCAGATGCGCTCACAAAGCCCGCGATATCAAAGTCCAAGCGGTTCGACAGATCGCTCTTCTCTTCAAAGAAGCTCTCGAATCCACTGGGAATGTTGAACCCCTCGGGCTGCCGGTACATGATTATGGTGTATCGATGAGCGATGTCTCCGCCAGGAGGCGTGGGAGGGATGTAAGCGAGGGGTGTGGCAGAGGTGAAGTTCTGTGAGTCGCTATCGAAGTCGAAAAGCACTTCGCTGGCTCCAGCGAGGTTGGGCTGATACCAGTGGAGGAATTGTATGCGAGTGGACGGATCAGAGGGTGAGGTCACGTCTTGATCCACCATGAAGACCATGTAGTCAATTGTCCGGGTCGAGTCGGAGGGGCCCACGATTGTGGGTTCCTCGAGGACATCTGTGATGTGGGGTGTCAGTAATGAGATATGCATTGACGGTGTCTGAACGCTAGGATGCAGCCGTGACAAGACAAGACTCACCATCGCGGTTTAACAGCACACCGGCTGGACTGACGCTGGTGGAAGTATCCTGGAAATCTGCACGCAGGTTCGTGTCGACTTGGATGGGAAACCCGGGCGCGGATTGGGCGCTGACGAGGGCGGCAAGCGCGAGGACTGCAAGAGAGCGTAAGTGGTTCATAGCGAGTGACACGACTCAGGTCGTCCTAATGGTGTAACGGAATGAGTGTACGGAGTAGATTAATCGTGATTTGGGGTTGAGTATCCCGGAAAACAGCGAACAGCGACGGCGATTGCTATATAACGTATACCCATCGTTCTGGGCCACGGGGTCGACAACTGCCAGCCAACGCCGAGCATAGCATCTTAGTAAAGAGTTCCGCATCGAGGCTGGTCATGTTCGAGATCGTCACCACCAGCTCGGAATAGCAAAGCGTCTGACCTAGCATCGATCGCCAGCGAGAGAGGTTGACTTCCGATTGGAGAGGTGAAGGCACGACGGTCATGGACAGGGACATTGATGGGCATCCAGACCAGCGATCAGGCGTCGGCAAGGTACTCCGTAGTCGCACCGCATATGGTGGCGTCGACCCCTTGGGGCGCAGCGCATGTGCAAAGAAGGGAGCGCTTACGTGACGAACGGGCGCGAGACGCTCAAGAGTTTGAGATTGAATCGCCGTGTTTCAGGAGAGCAGAGGAAAGCGAGTGAAGCGAAGTGCCAAGAGCGTTGAAACACGGGCGAAATTGCTCCCGTTGAAAGGCAAGCAACACCTAGTTCCCGCAGTTTCATGTCCCCTGTCCCAAGAGAAGCGCACAGCCGCATGAGGCGTTCTCGCACCGCCACGACCGGATCACTCTGCTAGGCACTCACGTCGACGCTCTGCTGCTGGTATGACCCATTGCTCCCTCGCGGTGTATACAGCACCCTTTCCCATTGAAGGGAATAATAGCAAAGGTTGTCCAAATCCATTCACTAACTATGCAAGCGCCTTTTTAGCTGGGGTATCAGAACGTCCACACATGATTTCTCCAGATCAGCTCCGAATGTAGCAAAGAGATCAGTAAAACAGAACCCCAGCCTGGAACTGAATCTCAGACGAGGCAAGTAGAAGGTGTCTTTATCGTCGCTTTATCGACCAAGTCTCCCAATCCAATCCCAAGACTTTCGTGTCTGTCTCGTGCCAGTCCCCAACTCCGCATACCCAACTAACGCCTTGTTTGGCAACACCAAGATGTCGATTCCAGTGTTTGAAAATAGTCTCTCTTGCTCATCAAGTATGCTCATAAGTCGTTTTGGATCGTTTCGAGCGGTATTCGAATCATACTCAGTAGGTCTAGCTCCTCAGGGGGTGGTGCCCGAGAATGCAGTTTGTGCACAGTTGGTAGCCGGTTGGGTTTGTGTCGCAGCTCCCGCTCACTGCGCTTTGTTCATGCGGTGTTCTGAGTTCCACCATTCTGCTGCCTGCCGGCTTGCGCCGCCGCCTTCGCCGCGTCGTCCTTTTGTTTAGCAATTCTCGCATAGTCCTCCCACCTTGTTTTCTCGCCGGATCTGAGCTTGCCAGGGAAGAACGTGTCGATCAGGCTGGCGCCAACATGGTGATAGTCTTCCTCGACTTTATAAAGAGCCTCCATCACCTTATTCTCACCGATGACCTTGACAAATTGGAGCGGGACACCAAAGGCTTTCGGATCGCGTCTCCATCCGGCGACGAAGATGTTCTGAAGGATGCCCACACCGCCAATAGCAAGCAAGAACCAAGTATTCTGCTGAATGCCAGCGGCCGTGATCAGAAGCAGGATCCAGAGCAAGGCCAGTGCGATCAGTGTGACCCGGGTAAACCAAGAAGCTGAAACGTCAACGTTCGTCTGACCAGCCGCAAGATCTTCAAGATCGAGTCCGTTTCCATTGCCGAGAATGACAACAGCGTGCTGGCTGCCATTCCCCCTTGTCAAGATCACGTTCTTCTTAGACTTGCTTCGGCAGGCCCACTTCTCCTTGGCCCACTGTGGAAGAGCACCTGTCACAACAGATAGTAAAATGCCAGCGATCGTAATCAGGAAGATCCCCCAGTCTCCGAAGATGCCTGCTGGAATGGCGGCGATGCCCAGTTGGACAAAAGTGGTGAGAAACCCGATCCAATACAGAGCGTCATAGCCAGGATAGCCTCTGCGCGCAGGTTCAGCCTCGTAGACGGACACGCAAAGCCCAGCTTGGGTAGATTTCTCGACTGATGCTGAAGAGCCTGTTTCTTGCAGCGCCTTGGCTTTGTCGAACTCGAACTTCTTCTCAACCAGCTCTTTCACCTTTGAGGTAACAGCTGCGTCCTTCCAGTGATCGAAGTCTCTGACTATTCGTCCGATGATCCATGAGGTGTTCTCTCGAACATAGCCAGACTCCCCGTTGATTACTTTGCAGGCGCAGTCCGGGAGAGGCATGAGTTTGTTCTCGCCCACGGCGGACACAACGGCAGTAACGGCGAAGGCAACCCATCCTGGCACATGTCAGTACAACTTTTCCAGCCTCAGAGATCACGAAACTTGCCGAAAGAGAAAGCAACCGGAGTCAGACGAGAGCCTGCCAGCTGCGCCAACGCACGCGCGACAACATCACCACCAAGGATCAGCAGTACTGAGAAGACATCTCCGGGGTTTTTCCATTGCGCCCAGAACTCGCGTGACGGCTCGCCAGGGTCGAAGCTGCGACGGACGATATCAAACAGAACAGGCGGCATAGCTGAGAGAGGAGAGCTGAACAGCAGGATGCTGAGGGCGAGCGCCGCGAGAGCACTCCATTTTATGGAGAATGGACGATAGGTCTGCTCGGCCTGCGACGGACTTGTTGTGTGTCCTTGCCGGGGCATTGCTGAAGCCTAGACGCAATGCGGGGGTGAAATGCAGCCAGCTGAGAGAAATCTGTAAGGCTGATACGGTGAGGCGGTGACGATTGTGGCTGGTAAATACAGTAAACGCAACGGTTTTGGGCTCTGCGGAACTCAACTCCGACCCCGAAGTCATTCTATCAATCAGCTTCAGAGAGTGAACTGAGCGGTTCTGCGAGAAGAGATCTTTGCTAGGTCTTGAGTTACCGTGGTCAACAGATAGGATTGTCTACCTTTGAACTCGGTAAATTGCTCCTTCCGGCAGTGACTCGGTCTAGGAATTTTCGAACCTTCACCTCACTTTCACATCTGCTTGATCCACGAATCACATTCATTCCAACTCTTCCCCAGCCAGTGCGCATTCAGTTCCGATCAATCTGACATGGTCCTCGCTTCGCGGGGTAATTCGAATCTGAAATGGCGGATGGTCGTGCGCCAGCGGGTCAATCTTCCAGTCATCGATGGGCGCCTCGGGCACTTCCTGAAAGTTGAAGCAATAAAGCAGCCGAGAGAACGCGATGAACATATTCCGGGTCGCGACGTGCCATCCCGGGCAAACCCGTCGCCCTGCTCCATGGTCAGACCAGGATCAGACCATCAAGTCGCTGAAGGATACTTACCCGTGCCGAACCCCAAATGCCCTTTCAACAGCTCCTGCAGATCCTCGTTCAGAAATCGTTCCGGCAAGAATACCTCGTTTCTCGCAAACTCCTTCTCGTTATGGCTGATGGCGAAGTGGCTATAGACGAATATGGTGCCCTTTTCGAACACGAAGTCGCGGTACGTGTCATCTTCGATCAGGGCTCGAGGCACTCCTGAAGCTGTCATGTTTGGTCGCCACCTCAGCGACTCTTTGACCACTGCTACAATGTACGGCAGGTGATCCCAGTCCTTACAGTCGTCAATACATGGGTTTAGGATCACAAGAGAATCTTCTTACATCGAAGGAAGGTAGCCTCGAGGCATGTCCACAAACCTCATCGAGCTGCTTTTGTGCATTGGCAACCCAGGCAGGGTACTTGGCCGCTGCCGCGAGCATGAGGTTGATCTGATTGCGAGTCGTGTCACTGCCGGCCTCGATTATCGACCCGGCTAATACATGTTTAGCCGTCAGTGTCATGACGTGGAAGAAGCCAGCAGCTAAGTTGCAGTTCCCTGGTCTTACCAGCAAAATAGGCCTGTGCTTTATCGAAGCCATACTTGGTGGCAAGATCCGCCATCCCTCGGGCAAAACATTCGGGATTCTCTCCTTGCTTGATGCGCCGTTCAAGGTCGTCAAAGAAAGCAGTGTACACGCTAATGATCCAGCTCAGCCTCTGCCTACCTGCATATTCACCTCGTGGAGAGGTGTGGAGTCCGTACTGGTCGATGGTCACTTACCCAAATGTTTTCCTAAATACCCGTTCTGCCTTTGGTCTGAACCACTGAAGAGACCGTGGCATGACCCTCACCAACCAGGGAAATTGCTCGACCAAGCTGGAAGACGGCGACGTTTGAGTTTCGAGAAAGTCGTCGATGGTCGAGAACAAAAGGCGGACGTTCTCGTCTTGCATGCTTGTTCGACGACCAAAGACGCTTCCACAAGGTCAGCCTATGACAAGCACGACTCACCATATCACCTACACGGAGAAGATTACTGCATATATCAACCATCAGCAACACGAGCACGGCATTGTCTCACATTCGCGTCATACCTGAGTTTGCAAACCGAGCTCCATGCCGGTAGAATTCATCTGGCCGCTTCAGATACTGCCAGACAAGTGCTCGAGACTCTACATCCTGAAAAGGCTTATAGGTCTCCGACTGCCGCGGAAATCAGCTCCTATACCCAGCTGTCGCCTTCAAAGAACTTACGTTGCTAGCCATCAAGAGCTGGTGCATTATCTTCCGAAGCTGCCTCCAGCGCTCCGTATGACCCATCATGACAATACGCTTGCCGCCGGATAGAATGTCTTGCGTGACGGGAAACTCAGGCCGGCTAATGTAGAGCCGTCCACGCCGGTCCAGGAGCTCTCGCGCCGTTTCCGCGGAGTTGAGGAACACCCATCTCCTTGCGCCAAGTTGCACTGAGAAACTATTGCCAACCGTGAGCACATACACACAGATGGACCCGGTGCATAACGAGCAGCACTCACAGATCTCCATACTGTTTTCCCCATTCCATAAGCTTGGCCCCTGGATACGCTGGTGGGAGTTGAAATAGATTTCCAAACACGGGTATCCCCTTCGGACCAGGTGGGTATCGATATTTTGTTCTCGGCTTGAGCGAGACGAGTTCGAACACCAGTAAGAGTGCTGCGCCGACTGCGCAGAGCACCCAAACATTTTGATGCTGTAGAGAGTCAAAAGGAGGCATCGCAGAATCTGCGACGGAAGATGAAGATCTATTCACACATAAGGTGGGATTTTTCTGCTCGTTCCTCGGCTGGCATTCAGTCAAAAAGCACAGCACCATCCATCAATCATCAAGACACTTTTAACACAGTCCAGGACGTCCTCGGGGCACGAGGCTGAAGTGAGTGCTCATCCAGCGACTCCGCCTCCGCCTCCGCCTCCGCGTGTTAGTCTTTGTGCGTTGTGGGGTAAGCCAGGACTCGACTCCAGCCCGCCAGCCAGGGACGGAAACGCAGGACAATCAACTACTCCACAATTGGGGGTACAATGAAGTCTATCCGCAGGCGAGCTTGTGTCCAGACTACCCAGGTACCTGTGGGGTTACAATACGAGGATACACAACCTTCCCTATGCGGTGTTAAATCAAGGAGGCCCTAGAGCCTTCATTGATCACTGCGAGTATTGAGCCTAACCACCGTCGACTCTCCAAGATCATCTTCGTACCATCATCGACATGGCAGACCCAGAACAATACAATCCCGCTAGATTCGGGATCTCGACACTCCCCCTGAATCACGAGCCTTACGGGCCAATCCTGCCGGAACGGCTCATCGGGGCTAATACGGGGAAAGTCGCCGTGGTGACCGGCGCTGGGAGAGGTGAGCCAAAATCCTCCCACCTTTTCACCCACATTACCTGTACCCTGCACTGTTGTTCCCCATCCTCTGTTGACACGGATGCGGTTGAAGGAATTGGCAGGGCCATCGCCATGGCGCTGGCCAACTCCGGAGCAAAGCTGGCGCTTCTCGACATCCTGGTCGAGGAGCTAGAGGACACGAAAGTGGCATGCGAGAAGTACGACGGCGTGACAGCCGAGGTCTTTGAATGCGACATCACAAACGTGGAGACCGTGCGGCGCACGTTCGCGAGCATTTCCGATATTTTAGGCCCGGTGGATATCTTGGTGAACAACGCGGGCGTCGCCATCGGGAGACTGGCCTTTGACGAAACGTTCGAAGGGTTCTGGAAGGCCATCGAGGTCAACTTCAAGGGCACCATGCTTTGCGTGTACGAAGTGTTGCGCGCCATGAAGGAGCGAAGGTCAGGCTGTATCATCAACATGGCGTCACGGGCCGCGACCGTCGACATGGCTGGGGGGCTGAGCTATAATTCCAGCAAAGCCGCGGTGGCGCGGGCGACGCACAGCCTGCAGGAGGAGTTTGAGCAAGCCGGGCTGGGTGAGCAGTTGCATACGTATTGCTTGCACCCTGGGGGAGTGTGGGGGAAGATGGTCACCGGTGAGTGAGCTAAGTTTACATGTCTTTTTGCTATGGCTTTTCCTTGAGCTTGAGAGCACAAGTCTGACAATGTGGGCGTGCGTCCTACTGCAGAGAATACGACACCTGAAGTCCAGGCCCAGATCAGATCGATCTTCAAGGACGTGCCGGAGCTGTGCGCCAACACGGTCGCTTATCTCGCTGCAGGCCGGGGGAAGGCGTTGCGAGGATGTTACTTTGACTGTAGACAGGATGTGGACCGGGTTTGCAGCTTTGGCCGGGAGACGCTGGACAAGTATGAGCTGTACAAGTTGGGGGTGAAGTTCTTGCCTGGGTATCAGAACGAGCCTTGAAGTTTATGATGAGCGCTGAAGATAATTTGCAAGCACGATACTGTAGGACTTCATGAGACAAATGGCTCGCTTGCATTAGTCGGCTCCCACAGTCACTCCTTTGGCGAGTGCTTCGTTATTGGGGTCAGGTCCTGGAACCTGACTCCCAACCGATTGTTTATACTCCTTGGTGAAGTCATACATGATGTCGTTGATTCCCTGGGTGATATGACTGTCAGCTTAACGACACTTGGGTCCGTGCGAGAGCGGCCACTTGTGACGGAAGTAAACATGTGAGAACATGTGTGAGAACATGGAGCCAACATCAGCCCAGGATGTCACTCACCGTAACTAAGCTTGCGACAAATTCTGGGTCGGAGAACTTCTCACGTTCGAGGAACAGCGGATCCTCCTTCATGGCGACATCTGGGTCCTGCAGAAGGTGGCGCAGGTTCTGAGAGGAGACAGGGTCAATGATCTTGAACCACATATCTCGCCGCACCGTACTGTATCGGTCCAGGATGCTGTCGTCTGCAAGACCTTGGTGGATTCCGTTCAAGCAGTCGAAGAGATTCCCCACGTCGACGAGCCCGCCTGTGAGTCCCAGGCCGCCACTGGCGCACCATAGGATCGTTGATCAGTTTCACTTCCGCCCAGGCAACTGACATTCAAGGACAGCAGCACTCACAAAGGGTTGCAAAGATGAGCTGCATCGGCGGCGAGAAGAAACCTCCCGACCCGGAAACTCTCGGCGCACCTCTGATGGATCTTGTAAGGATTGATCGTGACGAGTTTATAATCCTCTGGGCCCGGACTGCCGGGTAGTATCTTGCGAAACTTCTCAGGCTGGCGAGCAATGTATTCCTCTCGAGTCAAGCCGACAGTCTCGCCGTAGCTGACGCGGTATAGGCCATCCGGTTGCAAGAGTGCGACGAGGCAGAAGTATTCGGGGTCGACGATGAACGCGCCTTGGCCCCATCCGTACTTGGAGATGTCGTAGTAGACGTTGGTGGCGACGATCTGCTGATCCCATGTCCGGCCAGGGAAGTCGTCGCCGAAGAGAGCCCGGCGGATGGTGCTGTTAGCCCCGTCACACCCGACGATGTAGTCTGCGGAATAGATCTGCTCACCCTCGGGCGTATCGACAAAGACGCGGGCGCTAGCATCGGACTGGTCGATATTGGTCACCCTGTGTAAGTATCTAATTTTGGCATTGGACTTTCTGTCGAGATGCTCCCGCGTGAGTTGCAGAAGCTTACCCAGTGGGAGGCCGTGCAGTCTTCGGTCGAATGGGACAGCACTTATGTCCATTCTTGCCAGTAGAGTGCCGTCCACTTTGCGCCATGAGACACCATCGGAGACGACATAGCCTCGTTCACGGACCTCTGGCAAGAGCCCGGCCCGCTGTAGCTCGTAAACTGCTGGCCATGGGTAGAAGCTGGCTCGAGGCGAGTCGTCGAGCTTATCCGAGGCCTCGAGAAGTTCAACATTGATGCCTGCGTTGGCGAGGAGGAGTGCCAAGACACAGCCGCTTGGGCCAGCGCCAACAATGATAATCTAAATGTCGACACGTCAGCCTTGGGGTGGTGGCATGCACTAGGGCGACTGGTCCCTATCACAGATCTCGCTCACCTTCGAGAGTGTCATGACCTCCGACTGACTGCTTTGAGCGATTTGCGTGTTCAGTGGCTCGGGTAACGTCGCATATGTAGATCTTTGAGACAGGCTTAGATTCGGTGTGCCTTTCCACAGCATGCTCCCCCTCGACGTGACTATGATCTTACTCGATGAAGCTCCTGTCGTCCCTACCTCAACCCCACAATACCCCACATTCCCCAACAAGGCCTGTGTCCACGGGGTATGAACTGATGTATTCTCCGCCTCATGCCTGCGGTTGGTCAATGGGCATAGACGTAGACAATGTTGATGCCGGAGATGATCTTCTGTTGACTCAAGGCTCAATAACGATATCGACCAAGCCGTCCTTTCAGCGCAGCAGAAATGTGATAACACCTGCTGTCAGTGGCCGCCAGGGACGCTGTATCGCCTCTGTTGCGAGCCATTGCCATTATCAGTATCTGGTGTCGACATGAAAAGATATTCGAATCGGCTGTGTGCAGGTTTGTGCTTCCCTTCCGCTCGCTTCCAATACGCGCGATATCAATGTGCAGCGTAGCTTCCTCAGCCGGTTCCAGGCAAGCCACAGTCGTTTCAGGAATGGGGAAATCGCGAACTTCGTACTCCGCCAATCCGCGCGGGTGGTCTGACCCCTTTTCCGGCGATCAAGGATGTCACTGCGCCTACGGATATGCACAGGCTTCACCGACCACGGCACTTGCCATGGCCCGCGCAATCGGATGCGGCTCGTCGAGTCGATCGGTCACGCTCACATCCACGTACCGGGTAAGGCGATAAAGAAAGAGCGGGACATTTCGAGGCCACACTTTGCCCCAACGAAATGCTTGGCGCCAAGAGCCACGAGGAAGTACACCCAATCATGTCACGGCTCCCTCTTCGGCCCATTCCTGGCCATATTTGCAACATTGCAGTCCACGTCGGAACATCGACTGACGTCTCTGTCTTAGCCCATCCCAGCAAGATGGCTTCCTCATGCATCTGGTGATGTCTGCTGGAGGATCTTTCTGACAGTTGAAGCCCGAAGACCTTGCAGCCCTGGCTCTTGGCGTTGTGTCTCATTTACTCCTGCATCATGCTACGCCGACCGAGTCGGTTCGAATACGAGCACTGCTGTCTACACGACATCTTTCAGGTGCTATCAGCACTGATCCATGCCTAGACAGAGTGCTCTCTTGAGGAGCCCGCTCCGGCGAGTCCCCTAGCCTGCGATCCTAGTGGTCACTGGCCACTGACACTGATCATTAGTCGCCTGACAACATGGAAGCGAAAGATTCCACGTACAACCGAACTTTCAGCAAGCCATACTCCTGATATGTCCTTTTTACGAGCTCTACGCACTAGCTGCGTGACTATTAGGACAGGGTCTCGATTGTGGAAGGACAATTCGTGGTCCATGATAAGACAAGGCAGTAATGGAAACTCCAAAAATTGCTCGACACATGCAACAGCTTTGGCAACCAAAGTCCTCGTAGGACGTGACTTCAGAGTCACCAAAGTTGGCATATACCTCGAACGACCTCCAAATCTCAGCCAGCCAAATGTCCTGTGACCTCCTATGCTAGCATCTTGTTTCCCTAGCGGCCTTTCTAACGCTCCTCGCACGGCTCCTCGAACGCTTGCTTGAACCATGTTGACAACAGTCCTGAGCCCTAGCACCCAAGCTTGGAAAACCCACTATCCGCAAGACGAGAATCGTCGCCGAGAATTTGAGGGCTCAGCTAGCCAAAATCCTCAGCAGAGGACGCCTTCGCATTTTGCAGGATTCATGTTCGGTCAAGAAGACGTGCCCAGACCAACCGACACACAGTTAGCAACCCTTGCTCCTGGAAAGTCTCTAGATTCGTGACGCAAACTAGTCCTATGACCTGGTCGGATAGAGAACGAGCCTGGGGAGGAAAGGAGGAGGCCTCGATTCCGTTCAACGCGAAATCATCATGATCGCAAGGTACAGGATGGAGCCTCCTGATGAATCAACGTGCGCCTTCGCCTCGAATGGCCAGACCTGGCTTTGCTCATCTCACCGGCCGAGCCCTGTGGTGAAGCCCGAATATCAGGACTAACCCATGACAACTCTCTACCAGGCTGAACAGCGGTCCTTCTGACTTCAGCTGAGCCCGACACGATGTGGCTTTAAGAGCTGAGACCGCACCGTGGCTGCCTGATGTTGAATACTCGGATAGAAGAGCTGAATCTGGATCTCTTCCTGGGTATATAGGCTTAACTCATTCCCTGCCCTCGAGTCCATCGCCAGTTCTTCTTGTACCAGTTCATCGAAACCCAGTCACGCAAATCAGCCATGCCGACCACGATACAAGTCACGCAGTTGGCTGGATACTACCCTTAGCCAGAAGGCACGTACGGACTCTCGGCTGACAACCTCAGGAATGCCTTTGGCGGGCATGGAAATCCCACTGCCACAGGACGGCGACTACGAGGCAATCAGTCAACGGTGGTGGTATACCTACTACCAAATTGTCCCAAAATCCCAGCCTATGTTGACAAGATTCGTGTGCCGGTCGACGTCCCTCGCCCCGAGCCAGCAGACTTTAATCGGAATCGTAATTCAGCATGGGCTCAAATAGTTGCGCCCATGATGCGGCTCTGGATCAAAGTCATCAGGCTGTCGGACAGGAACATATCTCTGGAATTTTACCCGCAAGCGGAACAGAATGGTGCCTTGATCAAGGAAAGCATACTCCGAGTCAGGAAGACGGGTGATACCAAATGGGACGTCCTGTACAATTCAGACGGAATGTATCATACTCATCCTCATGGAGGGAACAAAGGCGACAACGCTGTCGCACCTCCCACGCCACCATTTGCGCCCGCTCCACAAGCTGTGCCTGTTCCAGACCTAAGATTCTTACCACCCAACCTCTTCAGTCGCTTCGGTGGATTGACGCGTCGTACGCATTCGGCTCTTTGGAAAGCTTCAGACCCAATGTCTTCGATCTGAGTATCTCCGATCCCGCTCTTATCAAGAAGGTTCTGGTCACCGGAACAGACGGGACAACACAGGAGTATACGGTGCCCAGTTTCCTCAACTTCACCTGGGGCACTGAATCGACCTTCTTCTCGGCAAGTGGATCTTCCAAGGTCGAGTTCATCCACGATCTCTCTGAGAAGGTAGACATCGGGTTCAGCTTCTTGGGCGTTAGCGCCGAGTTTGAGCGGACATTTAAGCAGTACAACCGAGAGGAGACGTTCAACAAGTACGTTGCTCTCTACGACCAGGAAATCATCTATAAGGTCGGCTTCAAGGACACAGAGTGTACCAAGCGACATCTCTCCGCTGCCATCAAGAACGCCCTTGCTACCTGGTTGGCCGACAGGCTGGTCGGTCAGTTCGGAAGTCATTACATGACCGCGGCATGGTTCGGTGGGCTCAGCATCCATTCTTCGACGACGGACAAGCTCGACACATTCAGCAAGACGGAGTTGATCGAGGCACTCAAGACAATGGTTTGCTCTCTCGCCCCTTTATATACCAACGATCTACAAGCTGACCGTGATTCCAGATCCCTCTTAAAGACCCCGAGACGAGCGTTGATGCCGGCGACGTCAGAAACAACCCAGACCGCTCAGACGTCAGTTCACACTCCCTCGCCGAAGCACTTGACGTTGTCCGCACGACAACCTTTGGTGGCACAGCGCCTGATGGTGAACAGCTCGAAGGATGGAGACGCACCCTGGCCACCAACCCGTCGGTCGTGCTGTACAAGTCCAAGACCATGGACACTCTGATGGACGACCCCGTGCTCAGGGCCGCCCTCCAGCAGGTCATCAAGGACCGCCTTTCCCGCGGCCAACCCGTCGACCGCTGCAAGCTACTGGCCATCCGTGTGCCGCTCGCGCCGTACTACTCGGACCGCGACTCCCGCGGCAAGCACGACATCAGCGTTGCGTACCCCAACGTGCCCAAGGGATGGTACGCGGTCGGTCATTCGCCCAGAGCACCGCGCTCGAGAATTCCTTCGGAGGCAAGAGCTACACCATCGCCGTGCGGCCGAACCCCAACTTTGAGCTGTCTGCGCGAGTTACCTCGCTTCCCACTGAAGATCTGGGTATGGGAGGCACCCCGGACGTCACCGTCATGGGCGCGCCAACCTTGTCATGCCGGACGGGAAGCCCAGCGAGCCCAGACAGATGGTCATTCGGGCTGCCGAGACGGCGCCCAGCTACTTGTTCAAGTGTCTCGCGCGGGGCAACGACGGGAGCCAGGAACGCTGGTTCACCCTCGACTGGGACAAGGTCAAGTTGCTGGAGAACAAGTGGATGGCAGATATCCCCGGGTTGAAGGCCCGGCTGTGAGGCGGACCATGGTTTCCTACACCGCTTTCCTAGTATTCTCTAGGGTAGAGTGTCACGTTGTGATGACATCAGTGGAGAGGTGCTGGAGGTGGGAGTAGAAGTGGAAGTGCAAAGTGGAAAATAGATGTGGCAGTTGAACGCTAGGAGAGTTACCTGACGACCTATCGTTAACTATCGTACCGTACCGTATCTTCGCGGCAGAAACACTTCTATCAAACCCTGTGCCGTTTTCTTTCCATGCATCCACACTGCACTTCTCGATGCCTAGGACTACTTCACGTCCGGTTTCGAGTTACGACGCAGTACAGCGCTGAGAGATTGAGATTGTATTTCCGACGCCAGCATGAAAACACTCGGAACTTTCTCCGTCTGCACAATAGGCCACGAATCGTTAACTACCGGTCGATGTTACGTTTAGATAGCGGGAGTCCTAAGCCGACTTCATCTTCCGATACGCGAGATCGCCACTCCGGCTGCCGCAGTTGACAACGTATGGACGGAGGAAGTACTCGTACAAGTGCTGAAGTCTGTATGAACCGATGCAGCAGAAGCCCACCAAGTAGAGATAGACCTCACGCGCGCAAAAGGCAGCACGAGTAGACGAAAGCACTCAGACGGTAAGCCCGGTCGGGAAATGTGTGGGTTCTGGGCACCCGATCTCCATCCCAGGTCGTAGGTACTCGTAGGGAAGCTGGAGGGCATGGCATGCGTCTCGGCTGCGTCCCTGGTCATAAGAATCTATGTAAGTACGGAGCAGTGTTCTTCGAGGATCGCTTCGATCAGCAAACACGCTCTTTGGGACTTAACCTCCATCTTCACTACAAGTGAGTCCGCCGTCAGCCCTGTACGAGAGGGGCAGACTTCTTCACGCCTAAACAACAGCACTACTTGGACATCGAATTTTGCAAGGTTTGCACAAGTTCCAGAGTCGTGCGCCGCGAAAGCGCCTGCATCTCTCTCCATGGCGCCCTGCATATCACCGTACTGGTTGCAACGAGAGAAAGGCCTCACCCTCAATTTGACGTTGCACCAAGGCGTGCAAGCTGGTGGAAATGACCAGCGGTCAATCGCGGCTCATCGAGGGAGATCTCGACATCCTCGTTATCTTGTACCGTGAGTGCCATACCGTGTTGATCACCCTGTCGGTCTCCCGCCAGTAGGGTTTAGGCGCTGCTTGGATTGTACTGTGTACCTCGTATAGGGTACAATACCGACGATTGGAACGAAAATCATTTCGGGCTTGAACCGAATGAGAGCTTTCAGTATGGAGTCAGTTGCGCGTACAGTGGACTTACTGTGTGGAGGCAATTACGCAATCCAGACGAAAAGAGTCGCGTGCACAGCTGGCGCCGCCTCAGCCATGCTGGGCTTACTGGTACTGGGTACGGTTCAACCTCGGCGATAAAAGCTCCGACCTTCGGCATTCCATCGCGAGGTACCGACAGCAAGCAATCTGTGCAAGCTCAGCCCCAAGCCACTGTGTCCTCTTGAGCAATATCGAACCCAATTCTGTCGACGCAAGCGAGGTACACTTGTGCGCATCTCACTTCGACATGTATTGTGACTACCAGTGCCTTGTCGGTGGAGAAGGAATCTTGACAGTAAGCACAGTCTTTAAGGCTGACGTTCCGGACACCTCGGTCGCCGGCATTCAGCAAAAGGAACAGCAGCAGAGGACTCGCAATGGAACTATGATGTAATCGGTCGGCAGGATATTCTGTTGTCACACTCCAGTGATGGATTTGATTCCTGCTATGCTAATACACGTTTGAATCATTCGTGTCATCCCTGGTCCAAGCTCATTCGATTCAATTGGTTGAGCACAGCACAGCAGCTGAATGCCTCGCTGTATTTGTGTCACAAGTTATACAGCCGTACAAAGCACCATCCTCCAGCGCCGTAGGTCGAGAGTGAAGGTTCCTGTTATCATCTCTCCGTAAAGGGTTTGTAGTGTTACAACTTCTTGTCGTCATCATCAATACTGCCTCCCAAGGTGCTGGAGTCAGTGCTGTCGTGGGTGGAAGCCTTCTCAATATCCTCTTCGGTGGGTCCATGCAACTCTTCCTCGAAGACGGGATCGGTGTCCATGGTTTCGAATTTGGTCTTGAAGTCCCCTAGAGCTTGGGTGCTAGAGTTGGATCGACGGCGAGCGTTGTTGAGGGTGTAGCCATAGTCTTGGACTTCCTCGCCATCACGGCCCCTATCGGCATTAGTATCCAGGCGCAGTTGCCAATTGCGAGAGTGAAGTCTTACCAGTTACCCTTACCACCGCCTTGCTTCTTGACACCCTTGGGATCAGCATCAACGTGGCCATGTTTGGCGAAGTAGCGGGGGAGACGTTCTTCAGGGAGGGCGGTACCATCGGCGATGGCACTGTGGTTGCGGTCGTTTCCTTTGTTTGTACGAGTCACTGGGCGGTCAATGGTCAGCGAGGGTCGCCATGGAAGGTCCGGAATGACTTACTGGTTGGATGAACGGTTATGGGGGACGGAGTAGAGGTGGTCGACAGTGAAAGAGTGAGTCAAGAGTCAGAGCGTTGGTAGATTGTGGCTGTCGAGAGAGCAGGAGTCAGTGAGATGAAGTTGGAGTAGAGGTACGGAGTACATTCAAGGGAACGAGAATGACACGCGACCCTGCAGATCAAAGGAAAGTGAAGCTCGGACCACCACTGGGATGATCGATCTCCGATGAATTGAAATGTGACTCACCTACTGATTACTTGCTTGCTGAGTGTCTATGAGAGATACGGAAGATCGCGATTGAGGAAAAGGAAGGGGGAGAAGGACGAGTGAGCTTTTGACGTGCTTCTAAGCGGAAGGGGGTTCGTTGGAGAGAGTTGATTAAGTCAGGGAAGATGAAGCCGGAATGAGGTGGCTTACTGGTAGAAAGCTCTAGACACTGTTTACCGTGATTGGGGAGAACTTGCAGAGACAGGCCGGTTGCTCGCATGACCCTGCGCTTTTTCTGGGCCTTTCTGCCCATCGCTCCAATCGCCAGGGCGCCTTCCCCGGATTGTACGCTCCGCCTTTCCCATTCGGCTTACTTAGCGCGGGGTTCGTGCTGGCTGTGTATCCACTTGACGCTAGTCCACTCTATTTAGGAGTCTTGATCCAGGTACCAATCCGCGTGAGTCCAGCAAAGCTCTCTAGAAGATGCACGGCGCAATGGTTAAGCCAAACGCACTGTGTTACTGAGCAGCTGCGGTATAGATGTATGGCGGCGAGACAAGCTGTGGTCAGAGGCCGCAGAGTGGATACCCTATGAGGCAATTCATGAGAGAATATTGAGCAGTGGTCCAATGATAAGGGGAACGATATTGCAAAATGGATCCACTGCGGTGGAAACAATCATGTTCCAGGCACATCGGGGCCCCAATCCTCAAGTAACTCGTAGGTACAAGGCAGGTACGAGTACACAGTGGCCTCACGGTCTCAAGCCATCTTTCGTCCTCGGTGGTGTGAGAGCGGAGAAATACCGGGGAGCTCCGACACGTGAGAGGTGTGACTCAACTATCATCACCCAGCAACAGATCCCATTGTGAGACTTGAAGAAATAAGAAAATTTGGTCCTGAGGGATATCATACTTGCACTCCCTGCCCCAATCTCAAAAACTGCGCTCCTCAATATCCCACGTGGGCAGAATACTTAAGACTCGCAGGGCAGAGAAAAGCAGAAGCGACGAATCGGGATCCTGCAGGGGCTAGCGCCACAACTGCCCCTCTGGTGCACGTCACAAATTCCGATTTCTAAGCCCTGGGTTTTCGGGTCAATTCCCTTTGTGTTTTCACATCACGTATCGAGACAGCAACACAACCTCGCCGCCGCCGCCATGTCGCCCTCGGTTCTGATGGACACCTCGGACGACTTCGTCATGCCGATTTCCAAGGCGCCGCAGTCCTCGAAGCGGACCCTGCTCCTTTCGCCTCCCTCGCTTTCATCCCACCAAGAGAAATTGACCGCGGTCATTGAAATGCATGACCGCGCCCACACCGACCTTCAAATGCTCGATAGACTCGCCCTTGGCCTCGTCTCTCTTCCACAGTCTACGTACGACGTTATAATTCTTCTCAGTGACGCTGATGGTTCACGGCGTGAGAGCCAGAATCTGTTGAATCGGGATATACTCGCTTTGCTAGTCAGAGCACTGAAGAACGGCGGACACTTGCGCAGCCAAGATCAAACATTCGGAGCCATTGATGGCCCTGAGAAGAACGAAGCCATTCTTGCGGGTCTATCCCCACAACCAGGCGTTGGATTTTTGAAGGTGGATTATGGTGCGCAGGTGTCTGTGCCGCTGAAATTTGGAAAGAAAAAGACATCAGAGGCTGCTGGCGGTCTCAGTAATGGTAATTCGAATGGGGGTTCCATGTCACTTCCTTTGAACGGCAAGCGGAAGAGTGTGGACGATACTATACCTGCGGGCGTGGGGTTTGACGATGGAACTGGCGATTCGGACGATGACTTGATTGATGAAGATACCTTGCTGGACGAGGACGACTTAAAGAGACCTATTAAAATCCGTGAGTCGAACCCTCTTGGGCTGTTGGCGACCTTTGACTGACCATACCTAGCGACTGAATGCAAGCCAAAGGCCAAACGGCGCCGCGCGTGCAAGGATTGCACTTGTGGCCTCGCACAAAAACTGGAAGCCGAAGACAAGGCGCGGAGGGAGAACGCCGACAACGCATTGAACACATTGAAACTGCAAGCCGACGACCTTGCCGAGGTCGACTTTACAGTGCCAGGAAAAGTTGGCAGCTGTGGCAATTGCAGCCTTGGAGGTAAGCTTTGATTAAATCCTCTTCATCGATGGTGTGTTTGCTAAATTTTTCTCAGACGCATTTCGATGTGACGGATGCCCCTATATCGGTCTTCCCGCCTTCAAGCCTGGCGAGGAGGTGCGCCTCTTGAACAACGACATACAATTATAGAGTCAATGGGTTTTAAAATTGTGATGGCGTTGAATGGGACGGCGATAATTCCCCCACATCCAGGAATCAGGACTTGTATCATTCCATAGAGGACTGCTAGAGTCGATTTATAGCCACATTCCGCAGATACACTTGAGTTATTGTTGTCTCAAGAGCTGATCGTCTGTACCATGTACCTGGAGTGCCTCTCAGTCTCTCACTTTTTTCTCTGGCGCGCGCAGATTCCGAGGCGCATCTTTCACCCAGCGAATGAGATGCTTCGGATTTCGCCGCCGTCAACTCACCTGCATTTCATTTCGGCTGACCGACTTTGCTGCCGCTTGCGAAAAATAGTTCGCCTCAGCTCTGGAACGACGTCGTCTCTTACTTTAAGCTGACGAAGCACTCCCTTCACACTGAATTCGACTCGACGCGGCCAAACCTGTCTCGACAACGACACTGAGCGCAAAAACCTCCCCTCACCCACCTCATCCTACCCGCCATGTCATTTTCATCCCTCGTGCAAGACATCGCTTTCCGCGACTCGCCGTCCCAGCCCAACAATGCTCGAACGAGCGCCAGCAATGTCAGCACCAATGACACCCAGTCGACCATCTCCCGGCCATCAATGGCCCGCTCATATACCTCTACGGCCGCCACCAGCGTGAGCATCGCAGGCGATATCTCCAGTCAGCTCCACGCCGGTTACAGCCACCCTCTGTCACGAGCATGGCAAGCAGAGAGACAATTGACCAAGGTGAGCAGCTCATCCAGCATGGCTGCGCCGCCAACTTGACCACGAAGCGCTGACACGACGTGACCTTGACTCAAACCAGTCCATGCTTATCTACCCCCTCTTCATCACCGACAACCCCGACGAAATCACGCCTATCCCTTCACTCCCGAACCAGAACCGCCTCGGCCTCCACAAACTGGTGCCCTTTCTGACGCCGCTCGTGCAAAAGGGCCTCCGTAGTGTCATACTGTTCGGCGTGCCTCTCGCGCCTGACGCGAAAGACGCACTAGGCACAGCGGCCGATGACCCCGAAGGACCGGTCATCAAGGGCATACAACTTATCCGGCGACACTTCCCGCAATTGTTTGTAGTCGCAGACGTCTGTCTCTGCGAATACACCTCGCACGGCCACTGCGGCATCCTGCGCGACGACGGCAGCCTGAACAACGCCATGAGCGTGGAGCGCATCTCCGACGTGGCCATGGCGTACGCGCATGCCGGCGCTCACTGCGTGGCGCCTTCGGACATGAACGACGGGCGCATCCGGGCCATCAAGTTGAAACTCATCGAAGCGGGCCTCTCTCACCAAGTCAACCTCATGTCCTACGCGGCCAAGTTCTCCGGCTGCCTGTACGGCCCCTTCCGCGACGCTGCGGGCTCGTGTCCCAGCTTTGGCGATCGGAAATGCTACCAGCTCCCCCCCGGGGGTCGGGGGCTCGCGAGACGGGCCATCGCGCGAGACATCCAGGAAGGCGCGGACATCATCATGGTGAAACCCGCGTCTTCGTTCCTCGACATCATCTCGGATGCGAAGGAAATCGCCAAGGACATGCCCATTGCCGCGTACCAGGTGAGCGGCGAGTATGCCATGATCCATGCGGGCGCGAAGGCCGGCGTGTTTGATCTGAAGACCATGGCCTTCGAGAGTACAGAAGGTATCCTGAGAGCTGGGGCAGGAATTGTAGTCAGCTACTTCACGCCCGAGTTTCTGGATTGGTTGAGCGCATGAGTGAACGAATGAATGGGCGGGATGGAACAGCCAGAGTAGGGGCGACCCTGCGAGCCTGAGCCAGGAGTGCCCTCTCGTTTCTACTGTACAGCCATCGATGTCGCAATTACTGAGTGAGTGGGAGGACGGGAGAGTGATACTCAGTGAGCGATAGATGGATTCGCATGAGCTGGGCCCAAAAACGACGTGACGTGATATGATACAAATCAAAAACATGTTGATACCTCCATGAGATTCCAGGTTGTCTCTGCGCCTTGAACTACCGTGTACCTGTACACTTGAGGAAACCCAAACGACAACGACACGAGCCCTCAAAAAGGAAAGATGTAGCAAACACGTGGGTTCCTCTCTGCCTTGGCCGTCCCAGTGAGACTCATTTCTCACTCGGCCAAATGGGTACCGTACCTGTACTGTGTGCCTTGACTATGCGCATGCCTACACATCAAAGCAAAGCCCGAGTCTTTTTCCCTTTCTTCTCGTCTGCCATGACTTGCAATCTTTGCTGGTCTGTGCTTCCTTGCGTCTCCTCTCCTCCTCCCTCTTGGCCGTTCAGCATTTCTCTGGCCACGCGTTGTTGCGCTCAACCTGCAGGTGGCCTTCTTCCTGTATTGATATGACCTGATGGCCACCACTCAGACTGCCAGCCAAGCTATTGTATTGGCACTATTGGCACTATCGGCACTATTGGCGGTCGGAATCTCTGTCAATTCCTGCATTACACCTCCGACACCTGCGTCTTTGTTGCAGAAATGTTGTGTAACGGACGGGATACGGTGGAATAGGCATGACGAGACTGGGCTGGGCTGGGCTGGGCTGGGCTATCTTTCTCCGTCTGGCGAGGCAGATACTGTAGCGTCGTCGATATATGCATTCGTGACACCAATGTCACTCACCTCGCATGGCGTAGCATTCGATCTGAGTGGACGGATCACGCGACTGAGCTGTCTGAGCAGGTAATCAAATTCGACGCTGCGGGCTGAGATGGAAGGGTTCGCAGTGAAAAAGAGAAAGAAACACGCAGGCTTTCAAAATGGATAAATACCAGGGAGGTTCGTGGCCTCCCTAATATGCCGTGCTGGCCGTGTCATTTCATTCATTCGCATCCACGAAGACTGCTGGTGGTTGACATGAAGCTCGCGCGCCTTTTCTCCGTTCCGTTCCGGCAGCGTCCTCTGCCTTCGCTTACCGCATCGAGCTATGGAGCAGGTCGGAATACTAAGAGATATGTAAAGTATCGTTCGTAAGTGTTGTCCTTATTCCAAGCTGATGAGTGAAGTGCAAAGCTCACAGCGGAATTAGAGAAGGAATGAGAAATAGTTCACTCCTTGACAATCTCATACTAACCGGCATCCTGCAGTACCCCAAAAATTGGCTGCCTGCTGATGGTAGATCTGTCACTGACAACGTTTAACACATGGTCCCCTGGTCTCAGGATCTGGATTCTCCTGCAATGAAAGCCGCGTTGTATTTTTGTCAGGATGAAACTATAGTCAATCCCTGTGACTCCGGAATTGACGGGTCGATCCCTGCCCGTGTACACAGTACCTGATCCTTCTAACTGCTCGACAGAATGTCCGGTAACACTGTGAATCGGCTGAGACTGACGATTCCTCGGCCGGAGTGACCAATGTGGTGGTTGGGTGCGGAATTGCGACGCTGAATCGTTGAGCTTTGCGTGTGCTCGATGACGACGTAACCCACGCAAGTAAGAGCTTTGCGACGGCAACCTCTCTTCCACGGTCGTCATCCGAAGCCTCGAATTCCATTTGTCAGGCGGAATGGGTGGGCCTCCGTATTCAGCACGTAGTCATCGAGGCTGATGAGATCCGGCTCGCTGAAGAGAAGATAGAAATATTTCAAAGTCTCCGCGAACCAGAAGCTTTCCATTTCATCAAGTTGTATCGGCCCTCTCTGGCTCACCCACACTTCGTTCTCGTAGGCTTGTCGATCGACGAGCTGAGTAGTGCTTGCAAGGGAAGCATGACCGTAGGGAGTCCGAGTATGTTTGATGATGGACTGGAACATAGTCCAGCCGACCTCTCGCCAGTGCTCATTTCCCGTGACGCGCCACATGATGAACACGGACTCGACTGCTTCAGGCCGAAGTCGGTAGGTTGGGTCGCTGACTTCAAGAAACCCGGGCGGGAGCATGTCGGTGCACGCGCCATTCAGACAAACTGGTTGTCCATGCCCCTCTAATACGCGGTAGGCATCTTCACAGTTAAGGGGGTCCTCATGCGGACATCGCATCACAGAGAAAGATTCAGGCATGATCCCCGTAGGGGTATTGAGATATGCCCACACACAGCCATTGGCGAGCTGAGTAGCAAGTTTTAGGTCTTGTGGCTCCTCGAATATTCGAGACGCCAGTGCAAACATGCCACCAGCAAAGCAGGCGAGATGTTGGACCTTGGTTTCAAGGTTTAGGTATTCGCGATTGGGCACTTTGACCGCGGTCCCGCTGAAGAGCACGTCTGTTCCATTTGTGTTAGGGATGGCTGGTCGGAAGAGCAGATGTTCTTTAATCCGCTCCGAGGCAGCTTTCCACATAGTCCTGTACAGGTCCGCCTGTCGACCCAGTAGCAAATGGGATTTGAGCAAATACTCGTATGCGGAGTCTGACCCAGCTCCCAGAGACCAGCGAAGGCCTCCTTTGGCAAAATAGGACCCTTGACCTCCCACCGAACTCGGATGGATTGATTCCGGCCAGAGTCCTGGGATACCAGAGTCTTGCTGGGTACGAGCAAGTATCTGACTCAGCAAGTCGACAGCGTCCATGTACTTGCCGTCCCCAGTGATCTGTGAGAGTCTCGCAAATTCCAGGCTCAAGGTACCCACCTCTGCTAACGGAGCGGTACTCGGCGCTTGAGGTCGTACCTCCCTCTGTCCCAGTCTGTATCGGGTACGGGGCATGCCGTTGGGGGTCCGAAACGCATCATGCAAGACATCGCCGAGTTCGACTAACTTGGAAACCAACTTAACGTCGTTGGTCAGGTCATATGCTGCTAACAGTCCTCCGAGGATCCGAATAGTGGATTCGAACATGTTCACCTCAGCATCGTCCAGGCATGTCGTGAAGTCGAGCGCAAGGCTGGCATTCAAGGCCTGTTGACATTCGTCTTCAAAACCCATGAGACACAGGCTGTCAAGAGCGTCTACCAGCGTCGCTCCCCACCCGCAAAAGTGTTGCGTTGGTTGTCCGGACAAGGGTTTCAGTGCATCCGCCATCCAGGCGTGGTCTTTGTATGCCTTCTAAGCGTACATGAACTCGTCCTCGACGGCGGCGCGCCGCTCCTGCTGGGCCAATGTCATGGGAGCGAAAGCATGCTGAATTCGACCACGTGTTGCGGGTCTAATCCAGAACATGATGAGTACATAAACGATGGGAAACGTGGCCGCGAGGAACAAGCCTGGTCGGTATCCTCGACGCTGCGAGGGCGACATATCGGTACCACCCAACGAGGATGACGGGATTTCGGTCGTAGGCCAAGAATCGCAGGGGCAACGGGAGAGGAGCAGGCGGCTCTTTGGTGGTCAGCATTTGACGGACGAAGCGGCCGCACGGCGGACTTGATCGATAGCTTGTCCCCGAGAGAAGAGGATAGTGACGGTGGCAATGACAATGTAGTGCAATTGGCGAGCAGTAGCGGCCTGGGCGTCGTCGAGCATACGGAAGCTACTGCTGGGTTTAAGAGCTGGTCCTCATCAGAGAATTAACCCGTGTGGACCTGCCAAGACGGAAGAAACCTGAATAGGCTCGATGCAGCGCCCGCAAACAGAGAAGAGCCGGAATCTACGGAAGACGTTCGACCGAAGAAATGAAAGCAAGCCATCCAAGCCATCCAAGCCATCCTAGGCCAGTGTAAAGCCTCTGGATTGTGACTGCGGTGTCACTGACCGCAACGCTAGGCGCATGAGTGCAAGTCCCCGCGCACAAAAGTACGGTCTATTAAAGCGAATCGGATATTTTGAGGCAGACTGGGCGGTGCGCGAATCGGCCTTAGGCCCATGGCCAGAGTTCCGGAACCCGCACAGGCGGCAGGCACCCAACAGTTAATGGCCGTAGGTGGGCCATAGGTGAGCCGTTAGGTGCGCCAGTGGAGTTTAGGGGGGTGGTGGTTGGTGGGTGCTGATTACCTAAGGCCCCCCAAGCTACCTCCACTCCCCCAATGTGCAATCTGCAAGTTGCCTGCGCCCTTTGGCCCCGATTCAACCTCGGTGCAATAGTTTCCCTTCGTGCACCACCAACCAGCGCAGTTGCCCTAGCTTTCACTTGGCTCGATGCTTCCCTTCCCTCTGAACACGCATACACAGTTGTCTGGATGCGACGCCATCTTGGAGCTTTACCTGTCGCCTGCAGAGCCGTAGAGTTGAACACACTTTCCCGCGGGCCGCCATCACAGCTTCACTCAGTCCTCATTGGGCAGTCATGGACGACTGACAACAAGCGCATGACTCGACTCTAATTGCACCGAGGTGCATGGCATCAGTGCGGTGCTTGCGAGAACGACGGCTAGATAGCGGACGTGTTTCGAACGATGAGATTGCTATACCGCACACTCCTCACGCGTTCAAAGATCGTCACAGCAGCCCGTCTTTTAGCGGTTGATCGATCGGCTGGTCTTGCCGCCTTGAGGTTTCGATGATGGTATTTTGGCCTTTCGCAGACGATGATCCCTCACTCCCTGTCACCTGTGCAAATTCACCCACGTTGCTGGCGGAGAGCCATTTACCTGCTCCAAGCAACCGCGGGGATGCGTCATTCATAGCAGAGGGACAATGTTGCGATGGCACACACAAACGGACACTCGATCGCGACATCCAGGCACCTACCAGGCTGGGGTTTCTCAAGCTTAGCTAACAGGCGTCGCCACCGTCCGCGTTACAAACACCACTCGCAAATTCCGCCGAATTCGCTCCTTGGCTCATATTGGCAATGGTATTGCTAAGGCGTGGTACCGGATCCGACTCGGTTCCTCCGTCCAATATCCGACATCTCGTTCGCTTGTAACCGCCAGCGCCCGACGGCGTAGAAACTGCGCTAACAACTGACGCGCACGACGGGATAGATTATGTATGCCCTGCAGATCGTATCTCGATCCGTCGCGAGCTGGGCAAGGAGCTGAAAGAGGTGCTGGTCGCTTGCCCTTGTCCTCTCTCTCACCGTTGCGGCGTTTCGTAGAGTCATATTGACCCAACGATCGTCCACCGGACCGTGGCTCTGAGAGGAAAATACCACCCTCGGTCTACCAATGCCATGGGTGAAGGTGGAGCACTGCCCAGCTCGTGGGATACCAGACTATTTGTTTTCGCGCAACATTTACCGCTCATGGAACCATCCGCGAGAACCGGGAATGTTGTCCTGGACTTCTGTTCAACTGTGAAGCAGCGGTGGAAGCGGTGGAAGCACTGCGTTGGACTTCCCAATGCCAAAGGCATCGCTAAGCCCTACCGCTCTAACCAAAGTGGACTTATGCTTTCTCCACCCGATGGATGACCTGCGTCTACCGGAACCTCCTGCTGGGTTCTCTCCAGTACCCACGTACCCTATCGGACCCACGAATATGGCTTATGACTCCTGCTTAGACGGACAAGAAGCTCCGTCAGCAAGAGCATACGCGGGTGAAAGCTACCATGCGAGGCATTTCCAATCATGCCTGCTAGAAACTAGCTGGCGCCAGATCTCGACCCCGGAAATCAACGGTTCTTTTGGCCCCTTTCCACGTCTATGGCTTTCCGTTCGCTCTCGTCTCTTTCTAAGTTGAGTACACAGCCCATTTATAAACAAGGAAATATAAAGCGCACTTGCTGAGCCACATACCATGACTTGCCCAGACCATCGAATGGGAGTATGAATTATCCCAGCTACCTTACTACGCTTGCTTCATCCCACACGACCAAACGATACACTGTCATTTACACGACCTGTCCCTGTCTTCGGCCCACCACCAGACTCAGCTCCAGTACGCTGGTCCAGCGCTTGACCAATGATGATACCATATGGACGAACGATCTGCTGTGGGGCGACCATCCAGGAACGCAAGGCCGCAGACACAGCCGCATATCTGTAAGTCCATTCGAGCATAGCATCGCGAAAGAAGAAAGCGTTCAGAAATACCACGAGGCTGAAATTCATGTTCCTGGGGGAATCTGGGACCTGGAGCTCGAACGGAACGAGAGCCCGCTGCTTCCCTTACCCCCTGGCATTCCCGCTCTTGCGCGTTCCCCATTCTCACATAAATGCACATCGACGTGGCGAGCGACCTATCCCTGACCGAACCTTGTGGTTGGGACCCTATCTTATTTCTCACCTCGCTAAGCGACTCGGGGGACGGCATTCAAAACAATCCACCGGACATTCACTAACCCAACTATTTTCTTTCTCAAGATATTCGTGTTCGCAGTTCCCAATTTGATGGCCTAGAATTTTGCTTCGCCGAACTACAGAGGCTCAGACGTTGCAACGACTTTCACTGCAGGCCGGACTATCAGATGCTCGAAGATATATCTGTAACCGCCATGAGCGCTGGTACCAATGTCACCCATTCCGATGAACATCCTCCACCCCCTCCTCGCACAATGCCAGGCGACAAAGTTCGGACGAAGAAGTGGGCTCCCAAGACTTTCAACGGATGTTTAACGTGCAAGTACGTGCAAGCAGCTCCAACCTCGAGGTCTCTATGAATAATAACGAGTTTCCAGGAAACGAAGGATCAAGTGTGATGAGGGCAAGCCGGGGTGCCAGAGGTGGGTGCGTCTCAACGCCTTATCACGTCCGTTACTGATGTGAGCCAGATGTATTAAATCTAACATAAGGTGTGGCGGTTGTAAGTTCCATTCATCACTGACAGACCAGTCTTTCCGATGGACCTAATCTCGTTGTTCTATCCGATGTCCGTGTAAGCTAACGAAGATCCAGATGCGCCACCTAAAATCAGACTGTTTGACCCAGCTTCGTCCTCGTCAACACCGACTACACCACCAGCAGCCCCACCGACGACAACACTGGCAGCACCTCCGGGCGAACCAGAGCCTGATCCAGCACCGCCACGCGATCCTCAATTCCAATCCTACTTGAGCTCGTACCCTCATCCCCAAGAACTCGCGCTTGTCCCGATATTCGGCACACAAGAAGATTATCGATGCTTCCAATTCTTCCTTGAAAAGACATCCAATTTGATATCCGTATACTCAAAACCCTACCTTTGGAGCGTGCTCCTCCCTCAAGCAACATGGCACCAACCTTCTATCAAACATTCTGTCATCGCGCTCGCTTCATTACACCAATCCCTCACCACACTTGGCGCACCATCTCAGAGAGCAAACCACAACTTTATGTTCCACTACAATGCCGCCATACGCTCCCTGGTGGCCGACAAGCCACCTATCGACATCGTTCTGGCGGCGTGCGTCATCTTCTGGGCACTGGAGAACTTCAATGGGAGCGGGCAATCCGCCGTTGACCACATGAAAGCTGCGATCAAGATCCTTGGGGAGTGGAAGAGCAAACGCCGTTTAAAAGACCCTGCCGACAACCTCATCTCGAAGTACATTGAACCCACGATCCGCGACGGCGTCAAGTTCGCCTCGAAATGCCGCATTGAAGAACTGACAGATCAGATGAGCGCACTGTCTCTGACCACCCGCGACGTCCGGATCATGAACTTCAAACATCCAGCCTTTGGCGATCTAGAGGACGCAGAGAAATACCTGGGGAGTTGTATCAACGACATTCTCACCCTGAAGAGCCAGATTCAAGCACAAGCAGCGCTTCACAGCACACACACCGTCCTGATTAGAGAGTTGGAACGGCTCGACGAGCTCGACGCCCGCCTCTACAGATGGATGCACCTGTTTCAAAACCTCACAGCCACTGGCCCCGTCTACATGCGCCGCATGTTGATCGTGCACAATGTCGCCGCCCATATCCTCCTCGACCAGCTACAGAGACAAGCCCACTACAGCGCCACCGAACCTGAGGAAGTGCAAGACCCCGATCGCGACTCTGCCCCAGAGTGCGCCGGGCCCGAACGCTGCCGGCACAACTTCATCGTCATCGAGGTGGAAGACGTGCTGCGCCACGACCCGCTCACCACCACAGAATCGTGTCGAAAGAACCCTCCCACCCTCGGGTTCATCGCCCCCATCTTCCTCGTTGCGATGTCGGCGGAAAACGTGGAAACCCGCCGCCAAGCCATCAACGCGCTCAGATGGCTCAACGTGGCCGAGGACTCATGGAGCACAGAGCACGCCGCGCGCATCGCAGAAGCGACCCTTGAAATGGCGCACGAGTCTGCTCTGGGACCAAGCAACGTCGACGTCCAGCACCTGACCTTCGACCTAGACGAGGATGACCAAACGCTCACAATGGAGTGGGAACGAGAGCCAGAACATAGAGCTGTAAAGTTAACGAAGAGTATCGATGCATCGGACTTGCCCTGGGCCGGACTGGTAAGTCACTTAGGTTTCTTCCACTGTAACGTTACATCAATCCTACATGCACACGCATACAGTACGTGTGAACAAGGCTGACTCCTCCCCTGATTTAGGATATACCCGAGCTGGTCCGACGATATGGATATCAGTTCTCCGCTCGGTCGTGACGCATAACGCAGGATCCACTCGCCTCTCCCTCTACGTACCTTCCTACCTTTTCCGCGCATCTCAGTTGTGGCCCCCCAAACTACGCCGGCTCAGGCATGGAATTGAGCCGGATCTGTTCGTGGCGCATCTGTCTTTATCGTTCTTACACACGGCGCGGGACAGGAGTTAGAAGCTTTGAATTTGGGACATCTACAACCGGGTACATCAGCGCCACCACTCGCAAATTGTCTGTCGGAGGGTTGAATTGCCCACTCGTCTGAGTCTGCGCTGGATGAACTGAATGGACTCAGCGGGGCTGGTCGAGCGAGTGTGTACGCAGGTATACAGGATGCGAGTATACAAGGATATGAAGTTGTACGGATAGCCATGGGTACGTTGGTGATAAGACACCCTAACCCCAGGATGGGCAGGTATGATGGTATTTTGATATGTGACCTGTGACATATGATCTGTGACGACTCTGACCTTCCCTTCCCTGCCGTGAGTGGCACTTCCTCCCCCCCGTGCTTCACTTGGGTCGGCGGGAATGTTCATCACTTACCTGAGCTGCCCATTTAAGCGTTTTGGTATCTGCGCGGGCAGCGACTCCCGATGAACAGATGCACTGGTTGTCGTCTGTTGATGTTCACCCGATTTCGACACCGTGAGACTGTAGTAGGACTTCATTCTCCGGATCAGTTGGTTCCTGCTCATACTACAGAAACAAGCAATAAAAGGAGTAGCAGCGGACAAGGCCTAATCCATCAGTGATATGTCTTCTACAGCATTGCAGACCACGGATCGAACGTCTCTGCTCATTTCATACTTCACACTTCACACCACATCATCTTACATCAATGTTCTACTTGGACGTCGGTGTCGGGGGAACTCCTCCAACCGTACTCGTGCTGTCTTGCCTCGACTTTGCAACCCCACTCCTATTATTACTGGTGCCACTACCAGCAGCCCCTGCCCCAGCAGCGGCCTCCTGCTCGAGGAAATTCTGCCACAGTTCCGCCAAGGTCTCGCGGCCGCTCGGACTCATCATCCCTTCCCCGCCAAAATATTCCCCGTGACTCAGCGCGGGCGTGGACGGAGTCCTATGCACAGCGGGACTCCCGCCCATACCCATGCCGCTCAAGCCGCGGAGACTCCCGAAACTGCTCGTTGGGGCGGGCGCGCCGGTCGTGGTTCCAGGCCGTGAGAGCCCAGCCTGTTCGCGCTGCTCCTCGGTCCAGCCCAGTAGGGCCGCGATAAGCTGCAGGATCTGGAATTTCTTGGGGTCGGAACGGTCGAGCGCGAGGAAGTGGAGGAGGTGGTTTGTTACGATTTGTCTGGGAGGCCACGGGGTTAGTGTCGGTGTCAGTGCCAAATGCCGGTGTCAACGTCAACGTCAATTTCGGTGTCAGTGTCAGCAAAAAGGACCGTGTTTCGCAACTGCATGCTCGCATATTTGCGGCTTGGCGTCGCTTAGATGTGGCGAAAGGGGAAAGCGTTGAGATTGGTACTGATGAATAGTCGTGCCTGAAATAGGGAATGGGAAATGGAAACTGGTGCTGATCCCTGAATAGACGAAGTCGATAGGGAGAAAGAGAGCGGGGAGTGATGCCTGGAGTTCAGGCCGCAGTAGCCGGGTGTGAGAGGGAGGTCTCAGCCTTGCTTAGCGTAAGGCATAACGGCGTCACAGGCACAAAGCAGCAGGCAGAAAGCATATGTAAGGTGGCAAAGAGTGACTCGCAAGGGTTGGTGATCAACAAAGGGGAGCCTCAAACTGGCCTTGCAGGAGAGAAAAGCTGGGCGCCGGTTGCTAAGTTTAGACTCCCCGCGTGTGCAAGAGCATCATATGCGGAGGAGCAAGACAGCAAGTGTAGCCGGGTGTTGTTGGAGAATCTGCCAATCTCTCGAGGCAGGGCAGTTCGGGGATAAGACGGAGAAGCGTAGAGAAGTCAAGGAAGACACATACCTGTCGACATTGTCCTCTGGCTTCCCTTTCTTGAGGAATCGTAGTGCTTTCGTGAGGTGGTCGTTGAGGATGACTGCTTCGTGCCGTAATTTGCCGATCAGGAGATTCTTCTCTTTAACTTCCTTCTCGAACGGGAGGGCGCGTTCGAGGTCTTTCTTCGTGTGTTCGAGTTCTGAGACGGTGGATTCGTGCGTCGCCTGCAGGTCTTGCAGCTGTTTCCGCAACGCTGCCTGTTCGGATTGATTCGTCTCGACCAGTTCCTTGAGTTCCTGTTTCCGCACGGTCTGAATCTCCTGGAGGGCTCGTTGGAGGCCGTCAACCGTTGATGAGTGCGTGTCTCTCTCGCTCACGACCTTTTCATACGCCTCCTTCAGAGAAGCAAGTTGTTCTTCCAGGTCGGCGTTGCGGTCTGTCAGGTCTTTCCGGATGGTGCGTTCTTCCATGGCCAACACTTCCCAGTCGTGCATCGCCTGCTTTGCGTTTTCAAATTCGTCCCGGATGTAGGCTTCCGACTCGACGAGTTCCTCTTTCTCCTTGAGCCAATTCTGCTGTGAGAGCGTCAGGCGGTTGCGTAAGCTGGAGAGTTCTTTGGCTTGTTCCGCGTGTTTCTGCGTGAGGTCTTTCGTCTGGGCAGTTAGTTCCTCGACTTCAGCGGAGCGGGCTGTGTAGCGTTCTTGTAGTTCGGACTTTTGTTCTTCAAGTTCTTCGATTCGTGTGCGTGCTTGGGCTAGATCTTCCTGTCGACCGTGTCAACGTGTCGTGCTGGCATTGGGAAATTCTGTACGTACTGCATCGGCCTTCAGCCTCTCGCCTAGCTGAGAGCGTATTGTGTTCACCTTTCCAAGTAGCGATTGGTATTGCTCCTCTGCGTTCTCTTTCTCCGCCTGTGTGTCTGCGAGCTCGCCCTGAACCGCTTCAATTTCCGAGTTGTGCTTCGCCTGGAGCTCCTCGAGCGACTGTCGCAGCTGCGTGACTTCTTGTCGCAGAGCGTCACGGTCCTTGACAAGAGCGTCGAAGCGCGCCGCTGCATCGTCTTTGTCACTCTCGACGGCGAGGTCTTTTACTCCGTTCGTTACGGTTGTCATTGTGTCTGGTGGTCCTGCATCCGGCGGCTCTTCTTTCACCGGTGAGGCTGGATCCCTATCGTCGTGTTCCCCATCTTCATCGTCATCATCGGGCCCATTTTGGGTGTCATTGGTCTCGGTAGGGGTGGAGGGGACATCTGCGGTTGCGGATTGCGCGGTGCCCTTCTTCTTGGACTTCTTTTTCTTTTTCGACTTCTGGTCTGGGAGAGGTGAGTTCAAGAACGATGCGACTGCCGCTACCTCAGGACATACCTCCGGAAGGTATCGATGTGTTGTTCGTCGACGACATGATTATGTGGTTATCCATTCCATGCCACGGTCTCGAGACAATGCATCTCGAAAGGTGTCCAGTGTCATGCTTGGCATGCCACATGTTTGCCCCGGATCGCCCTATTCGCTTATATTTCCACCGAAGCAAAACGGTAGACAGAATGACAAGGGTTGAGCAACAAGTGAACAGTCTGCGGAACTTCACTTCAAAAGGCGCCCTTGAATTGGTCGTGGTCATGAGCATACGGCTATTCGTTCTCATCACTGGATAGCCTCTACAAACAAAGCCCTCATTCCCTTCAGCACCGTCCCGATCTCTCGTGTTGCGTTCAACCGATCCACAACTCTCTCTACCCGAGCCGGCTCCAACTTAGGCTTCATATAGGTGACTTCGTATTTCCCGTGGCCTGTGAGCGGCACCAGCAACTCGAAAAATGCTTCTCTGTCTTCATGTCCCGAGCCAGAACCTTTCGACGGTGGAAACACAAACACAATTCTGACCTTGTTCTCGTCTCCGCTCCCTTCAATCCTACATCCCAGATATGTCTCCCAGAAATTCAATTCAGGTCTATTAAGTTGGCTTTGCCCGTCCTGTTTCGCTGCGTATTCTCTTTGCGCGTGTACCTTCGCGTCAATTTGTCGTTGGGTCTGTGCGATGGCGGACCTCAGTCGGTCACGTTTTGCTGACTGCTGCGTTGCGTGGGATTCGAGGCTGCTGATTTGCGAGTGCATTTCGTTCTTCTCGGCTTGCTCGCGTGCCAATACTTGATTGTGTGTAGAGAGCGTGGACTGGAGCGTGGTGATTTGTGTGCTGGTCGAGCGTCGTTCCTCTGCGAGTTGGGTCAGTCTACATTCGTGATCTTGTTTATGTCCGCTCGTGGCTAACTCACCACTCAATTCACCCAAGCGCGCTCGGAACTCGTTTCTTTCTTCTAGCACTCTCTTCCTCCCTTGCTCGATGAACGCGTCGAATTTTATTGTGAAGTCTGCCATGCGCTTTCGCAGGTCGTCGAAGTTAAAATCCACGGACGGCAGCTGCGTGAGAGGCGTGTCCGAGTATGACATGCTGGGCGCCGTCTGTGATTGCGAAGCGCGAAACGAGGACGTGCTCGTAGAGAACTGTGACGGATAGACTGCGGTAGACATAGCTGCCTTTCAGAGCTTGTGTTTGTTTAGGTGTGGGAGATGTGTTGTGTGAGCGCAGGCAAAGTCGAGGTGAGAACGGTGGTGGTGTTGGTGGTAGTTAGTGGTCACATCACCACCGCGGTCTGGTCGACCGGGCAACCAGCTCCAGCTTGCTGAACCTTCACTTTCACATCAGACTCCCCTCACTTCGCTTTCATATTTGCCAGACCTTGACTTGCTTCTGGCTCACCTGATTTACGCGCCAGGTCCTGAAGACAATAATTTGCTTACTTTTGGGTCGTGTTGCTTACTAGAACGCTCATAGTACAGTCCCGACTCACTTGAGGGAGTTGGACCGCAGCTCTTGGGCCAGCTCTTCCTTCCCCTCGCTATTTTCGCTGGTCGCGTCGCCGTCGACCAATTGCCCCAGCAGAGCCTCCATCCTCTCCATCGCACCTTCAATTTTGTGCAATCGGGTCAAAGCCTCTAGAATGCGCACATCACGATCACCATTGCTGTTTAAATCAGCAAGTGAATCCATCCGTTCGCCCTTCTTTGGCTTGCGGTATCCCGATGGAGCGCCATTCTCGTCGCCAGCATCATCAGAATCTCGAAATTCATTTTTCAGCTTCTGATCATTCTGCGAATCCTCCTTGGCTGTGTTTTCAACCTTGGAGTCTCTTCTTCGCTTCTTCTTGGCCCTAGGATTGACCGATAGTCTGCGGTTGGCATCGCTGGCCTGGCTGGCCCGTCTTTCTCCGGACAGGTGTGCAAATTGATCCTTTATTCTGGTGTTGGAGAGGATGCCCATATCATCGCTATGGTTCAAGTCGTCTTCCTCGGCAATCTTGTCCAACACCGACTGAGGAGGATCGATATCAAAGACCGCATGAATGTCTCCATGCACACTAAATCTCGAAATTGCCCAGTACTGTGTTGGGGTGGCCTTCGGACCATTCGCGTTTTTCCAGTCGATCTTCTTATTCCTTCCCCCTTTGTGCCTATCCGACATCCATAGAGTTCTTCTTTCGTACCACGCCACAAGCAACAGTGTTGGTAAGTTGATGATTCTGACGGCCGTCACGTTGACTTTGTGGAATATTCTGTCCGAAAGAGTCCACTTCAGGGGAAGCAAAATAACCAAAGCTAGAATGTTGAATGGCGGCATGTATGCAAAGATCGCGTCAGACTTGACTCCTTCGAACGTGAGCACCGCCCGTCGAAACTGGATCTCCTGGACGGCATTGCCTACAATACCGCTGAATGTGTTTGTCAACATTGAAACAAGGACGGTCAAAAACAGGGTGTTGCCGAGGAAAGCGAACAGCACCATCAACACAGGCCCGAGAAGCCAATGGAAGTCCGTCGACTGCCCGATGCCTGTCCCATCAAGCCCAAACCAGATCCAAATCATCCATTTCCCAATGGTACCGGCCTCATGTGCTCCAGCATGCAACCATTTGAGACTCAGGAGGAATCCGGCAAAACACCACACCGCTAATGCTGTCAAGGTCAAGAAATCCGACATCATTGCCCTCAGCGAGAGGAAGAGCATATTTTCCGACATGACATTGAACGCTAAACGGGGTATCAGCACCGGCGCTCCACAGCTGAGAACGTCCAAGGCCGTGCGCGCAATAGTGATAGACTTGTCGTCATTGGAGATGGAGAAAGCGTGCAGGCGAAGCCCTAGGTAAACGAGGAACAATGTCGAAAACATGACGTCCAAGAATGACCAAAGATTTTGGGTGTACACGCCCCAGCCGTGTTCCAGGATCGAGGCGAATTGGTCCAGTACCTATAACCTTGTCAGCCGACACGGTACTTTCAAGGGATAGTCTGCCGTACCCAACCTGCGCCATAAACATCAAACACCAATTCCGCCACCTCGAACTTTGTAGTCATGCGGTTCTCCCTCCCAGCCATCACTGCAATGTACAACCCCAACAACACCATAAACTGCAGCACCTCGATCAGATTTCGTGTCCTCGGTACAACGAGTCGGTATTGGTTCAACAGTGGCGCCCTCCTCGGGTCGTACAGAGAAATCGGCCTTTTCTTCCAGTGATCGGGGATGATATCCATAAAACTTGATGGTGTATACACGATCTTGCCGCGGTAAATCGCATCCACGACCTTTTGGCAAGCGCTACTCGCCAGGAAGGATTTACTCGCACTCACGATGGCGACCTCCAACGCCGTCAATTTTCTCTCAACCTTTCCAGACTGAGAACGATGCTGTGCCGCCCAGTAGTGCATCGCATGTTTGCTCTGATCTCTGACTTCGTCAGGGGCGCCCTGGAATGGCTCGAAACCCGCGACAAGGATGTTTGCCAATTTGAGCAGGCCGCGTGGGCCGGGGTTGTGTTCGTTGTAGCGACGGAGGATCTTCTCCGCGACCAGTTCGCACAGCAGAGCGCGTGTGAGGTTTACTGTCTGGTGGTGTGTGGCGAAGGACTGTTCCCGGATGAATTGCATGCGGTTCACGAGGAGGCAGTATACTTTGGATTTGTTAGCTCGAGTCAAGAGATAGCCCGGCCAGCAAGACGGACCGATAGACAGATCCTGCGTTTCATAGAGCGAATCGACCAACGGACGTACAACCGAGATGTTCATTCGCGGAGCTTTCAGCTGTTCGAGAGAATACGGGTCATCTAAGAAACGTGGCACAAGGTAAATTAGCTGCCGACCGCCGCCGCCGTGCTTTTGGGGCTTGATAGTGAGACTCACCAATACTCGTGGTGATATCTCTGCGTATCCTAAACTCCCATTCGAATTCGAGCGTCAGCACTTCCACTAAGCTCACAGGCCTCATCCTGCAACCCCCAAAGTCTGTACGAGTACCGTTCACGACTCTGGCCTCTCTCATCTGGGACTCCGCACGTCTTACTTCTTGCCCCAGCCATACTCAAGGTCGTGAAATGGAGGAAGACGACTCGGACTCACCTATGAATGTTCTCATAGACGCTGCACTTCCCGTTCCCGAACGGGTCGGCACTTTCAGGCGGCTTCCCACCACTTACCGCCTGATCGTGGCTCGTCCACGTACAATGCGGAGGATAAAGTCCGTCGCTGTCGGCGAAATGTTCCTCGTCATGCTGCTCGGCCAGCAGTGCGTCGGTCTCGGTCCTCTGGCGCTGCAGCCGGAAATGCGGCGACGAAGAGAGTTTGTTGCGCGACGTGGTCCGCGAGATCGGGGCGGTTGACGACCCACCTTGTGTGTTTGTTGATGCAGATGCTTTGGGCGCGGGCATCCTGACGGTTTTTTGGTTTGGTGCGACGACGTGCCAGGGCCGGGGCACTTAACTCGGTGCCGGCTGGTACTGTAAGGTTCGGGCGTCGGTAGGTTATTGTGCTCGCAAGGGTACGGGTCCGAGTACCAGTCCGAGTATCGCCGGCATTGTCGATCTTGGGTTGGGTATTCGGATCTGTCCGGTCGAGATCGGGATGGATGCTCACGAGTAGCGAGTAACGAGACTCGGACCACAAGAGGAAGCTGGAGATATGGAGAAAACGCACAGAGCATGGGACATGGCATTGCGGGTTTTGGGTTTGATATCAGAGTGATGGGGGCGTGACCAATCGGAGCACAGGTGACGTTAAGCTTATCACGTCAGGGGAAAAGCAGGGAAAGCTTCCGTCGCAGAGGGGTGGGGGAAAATGTCCACCAATTAAGCTGGCTGTGCAGTGCTGTGCAGTTCATTACCCAGTACTCAGTGTGTGACTGGCCGCCTGGCTCCTGTGCTGTGTCTCATAAATCGTAAAAATGCTGCCCATATATACATGGAGGATGCGAATGTTGCCTCCCTTTCCAGATCGGCCAATGTCATGGCAATTATAACAGGATCATGATCGTCGCCGTCGCCACCAACAGCACGCCCATCGACCAGAGACTGGGCCAGCCGCCCTCCTGCGCGGGCGCCGCTGCTTGATTACTCACTTGGTACACGATACTCGGCGTCTGAGTCTGTGCGGCAGCGTCCGAATTGACCATCACTATGACCAACCCGTTGCTCGTGATCGTCTGCAGGGGCTGAGGTCCTGGTGTCGTGGTCGTGTAGGAAGTCACGGTCGTGGTCCCCACCCAGCCGCCCGGTATGTACGTCGTGGGAGGATAGTAGCAATTGTTCTGGCACTGGTCGCAGCATTCCCAATAGACCACCGTCGAAGTTACCGGGCAAGGAAGGTATGAAGTGACGGTGACGATGACATTCTGTTGCGTGTACCATGTGGTGTAGGTCGATGTAGGTGTCCACGTCGACCAGTATGAGGTCGTCGTCGGCGTCCACCACTGCGTTGTGGTCGGCGACGGTGTCCAGTATCCTGAGTCACTGCGCCCTTGTCAGATCCTGGGAAGATTTGAAGACGATTGGTTTGTCGTATGTCGGTACACTTACTACCCAGCCAAGCCTTGTCGCAGGAAAAGGCTGAGGATGATGATCGTAGACCAGTTCATAATGATCGCCCTGCCCTGGTGGCGCAACAGCAAATCGGAAACAGGAAGTGGTAGGGTATGGAGAAGAGGCAGCAATCACCATGTGAAAAGGAAATGATATATTAGAAGCTTCTACATCGCATGACATGCAAACACGAGCTGGTGCTCATGGTTTACGTATTCATACCAGCCGAAGTGGACACCTCCAGAGCTTCCAAGCTCGACCGGAGCTCCTTGCGACTGCTTTCAGCTGGCGCGAGGTGCGCGAGCTGTACGAGTAGAAACTGCCCGGGCGACAGCAAAGGCAACGGCTTTGACCCCGCAGTGAACCCGTTGTCGCAGAAGAAATCCGGAAAAGTTTGCGCATTCAGTAGTGTTCAAGGTGGTGGGCGGGACGAAATTTCTTATCGGCACAATGATGGCTGAAAAGATGAACGAGATCATTCGTGGATAATGGAGCGGTGGATTCGCGTACGAGTTCTTGTTTTCTCTTCGGCCCAATGAGCAACGCCCATTTCAACACTCCTGAGCAAGGAAAGCTGCGGAAATGCCTTGCATGAAGCTGCACCTGAAAGTCCGTGGTCTAAGAAGCTGCATCATGATGTCAACGCAAGCTGGAGGAAGTTGAGCTGGAGGTGAAAGGATGTACATTGGCTGATCTTATTTCGCCGGAGCTCTGTCGAACCTCTCTTCCCCATGTCCAATTGTGGAAACACTCACATAGTACAATAAGGCCCTCGATGACACCGAGCAGATGGCAAGCGCAAACTCACGACGGATGCGCCTCCACGGAAATACTGACGCTGTTGGCTTGAGCCGGGCCTTCGTCCAACAGCCAGAGCATCATCGCGGGCGCCTCTCTTCGAGCCAGGGAGCATATTTCACGTCTCGCCATCTCTAGCTCTCAGGTTGATGCAGGTGTGTGCTGAGGAAGACAGTGCTGAACGCAAACAGTAGAATGTGAGCAGATTCGAAGAAGATGCACTCGCGTTCTGCTCGGGCATTCTTTGGGAATGATAAGGAACAGCATTGATCGCGTAGAGCTTTGGACCATCATTTTAATTCTCGTGCACGGTGTATCGTGTTCTCGTATCGACTAGTAGCAGGTTTGAACGGATGAGGATGGCAGTTCTATCGTTGGCCTCCTCTGCCGGCGCCGGGACCGGGACCGGCACCTGCGCCAGCACCTCCACCCATAAACTGTTGTGCGCTGTTGAACGTCAGTGCGATGTACCAGAATGGACCATATCACACTCACAGGTTGGCAATGTTGGGATCTTGCATCATCTGTTGGATTTGGCTCATATCCGGCATGCCGCCTCCGCCACCTTCTCTCCGGCTGTTCATCATATTTTGGATGGTAGGGTTGTTCATGAGTCCGCTTAGTGCATCCGGGTTGCGCATGAGATTCTGTGCCATGGACGCAAACATAGGATTGCTCATGATGCTTGACAGATCGGGCATGCCTCCTCCGCCCCGACCACCGCCGAACATACCGGCAAGGCTAGACAGGTCCGGCATGCCCCCGGCGCCACCACCACGAGTATCGCCAGGAGCGTCGTCCACGTCGTCTTCTGGGAGCTTCTCCTCCTCTGCTTCCATCCTAGCCAGCTCTTTCTTTGCGGTCTCCAATCCTTTCCTCATAGCTTCACTGCCTCCACTACCTTCGAAATTTATGCCTTGTTGGTATGCGTCCACACTTCCTTTCGCGTCACCCATGGCGAACCTCGCCAGGCCCAACCTTGACCATGCCTTTGTGTATTTAGGATCAGCGGCTACTGCCAGCTCTGCGTCCTTGACCGCTGAAGCGTGATCGCCGCTGGCCGAGTACGCTGCCGCACGATTGGAAAGGTAAATGGGATTGGTGGGAGCATAAGCAATCGCCTGGGTATATTTCTCGATGGCAGTCTTGTAGTCTTTCTGCTGCATGGCGGCATTTCCCGCGCTCTTGAGCTTCTCGGCCTCTGGGTTTATGGTTTTGGTGTCCGCAGACTGTGACGGAGCAGGGGCTGGCGTGCCTGCGGACGCGCCCTTGCCGTTCAGTTTTTCGTAGACAGAGAATATGTTAAGCAGAGATTGAGACCCAACGGCGTCCGAGATCGCTGCCTTGTCGGACGGGTCAACCTTGAAGACTTCTGCAATACAATTGCTGGCAATATCGATGTTGTCTGCGTCCTCTGCACTGAGAGTGCCATCTTTCATCGAAGATAGGAAGTCTATTATCGACAGCGCTAGGCGCTTCTTCGAGTCGGACAGAGACTAGACAGTGTGTTAGCATCTTCTGTGTAGGTGTACCGCAACAGCCTACCATGTTGAGAGTGATGGAAATGCGCAGAAAACTCAATCGAAGTTGGCTGCCAGCGAGTCCTCAGGACTGACAGACGGGAAGTTTGAGAACTCAGGCTTCACCATTTCTGTGCTGCGTGCGCCACCGTAGCTTCTGCTCATGTCTCGTCACTTCCACCTCACTTCCACTCCATACCCTGTATCTAATTTCTTGGATTTGGCTCGTTCAACAAAGCATGAGTAGTGCATGAGTCTACAACTCAACTGGAATAGGGCCGATCAAGGGAAGAATGCTTTGGAAACGGGTTGACTCTCTCTCAGCATGAGGTGTTGACATGTCGGATCAATCCCTCCCACAACCCTCACGATCACGGAGAAGGGTTTCATGCTCCTGTCCAACTTCCTCAGCACTTGCCGACCCCGGAATGACATGATTCGGCTTCCGGAGCTTCGCAAGCCCCTCGCGAAGGACCTTGTCTTGACGTCTTAGAAATCGCGAATGTTTTCACTGGTTATGTCGTGTGCTTACATTGGCTGACGGTCGTCCGAAGGAAGGCGGACAGACCAGTTCTCAAGCCAGACGCGGGAGCATGCCTCTCGTTCGGATATTGTTCTACTTAGAGATGTTCCTCTACGTGTTGCTTATGCAATTAGGTGGATCTATATTATAGATCAAGACTTGAGGTAGGTGGGCGTCTGTGATTTCTCTGGGAAACACACGTCAGGAGTGTGTGCGGAATTACTAAAACTCTCGTGCTCGAAGTGATCTAGGGACAGTGCTGAATAATGGTACCAATTGACATGGACTGGCCAGATAGCGAGGTAGGCACCTATATTTTGGTCTCACCCAGCCAGCAGTTTCACGAGGACCAGAGACAACAACTGCGTTCTTTCTGATTAAACACAAGACTCGATCTTCGACAATCCTTATCGGCTTTCGTCTTCGCCAAATCATTTCAGCCATACCATAGCCAGTCTGCGGGATGGAGCTACCGACATATACCAAGCAGTGGCATAACGATGTGTATCCAGACATTGACGCGTCTCGACCAGAACTCTCTGTCAAAGGGAAAAGAGTTCTTGTGACTGGGGGTGGTGGTGGCATTGGATCAGCAACTGCCAAAGCATTCATTGCCGCGGGGGCAGCAGAGGTCGTGATCCTGGGTCGAACGAAACAGACTCTAGAAGCCACCAAGTCGGCCATCTTGAGCAAACACCCGAACGCCAACGTTGTTTCCATCGTGGCCGATATTTCGCAGGCTGGAAGCGTTACAGAGGCCTTTGCGAGCATTGCTGGCAGAGGGTTAATCGACATCTTTGTCAATAACGCAGCTTACCTGTCCATTGGTACGGTTGGTACTTCAGACCCAACAGAGTGGTTCAAGGTCTACGAGACCAATATCAAGGGATCCTTGCTTGTCACTCAAGCCGTCGTGAAGAACATCAATCCCAAAGACGGAATCATCATCAACGTCACTTCCGCTGCCGGACACGTACCATATGTGCCCGGCTATTCGGCCTATGCCTCCAGCAAGCTCGCATCTGCGAAAGCCTTTGAATATTTGCAGCACGAGAATCCAGACTTAAAGGTCTTCAACATTCAACCCGGTGTTATCGAGTCTACCAGTCTCGGCACCAAGGCGACCGAGCAGTCCGGAATAACTTTTCCAAACCAGGACACTGGTAAGTCGAAGCATCCTCCGATTCCTCAATGCCGGCCGACCAGCTGCTGACTTACCTCGTACAGTTGAGCTACCTGCCAACTTCATGGTCTGGCTGTGCTCGCCGGAGGCTGCGTTCCTGAAGGGACGATTCGTCTGGGCCAATTGGGATGTGAAAGAGCTGCAGCAGAAAAAACAACTCTTTGAGAACGATCCGACGCTGTTGACCGTTGGTTTGTTGGGCTGGCCGCAGTGAATCGAATAGCGCGCCATCACAGTTTGGATAGTTGAAGCGAGATACATAAATACAATCCTTTGTCAAATTAGTTCAAGCAAAACAGAATAGCCATCTGGCGACAGCCTTGCCCACCAGCCTCGCGCTGTGTGATTGGTCATCACTCATTAGCGTGTGTTGTCAAGGAGCAGCTGCTCGGGGTTTAGCGGCCTTAAAACAGGTGTCTCAATAATTTCAGCGTCATCGAACAACAAAACAACAGATATCCCCTTGTTCACTCTAGCCCGAGGACAGCGGCCTACGCGCCATCTCGCCTGTACAAGATGTTCTCCACAGACGCATCACGAAGAGAATCACTGCGTCCGAAACGAACACGCCCAGCAGCCGGACCAGAAGACTCAATTAAGTTACCTCAGGCGAAGCGGAAACGATCAGCCCTCCGAAGAGACACGTTCGAACCCCTGACTGACGCAAGCCTCAACGAAGTGGCAGGACGCGAAGCGGTTGAAGAGAAGAGTAATGGATACGCAGTCACAGCTGTGCCCTCACGAGAATTGACTCTGCGAGGCGCGAAGAAGCCAGAGAAGAGATCTGAAAGAGCAGCGAACACCAATGCCGGCTTGACGCTTTCAAGCAACGACTTCTATGCTGTCACGCAGCTGCCGGCGCTACCTGATCAGATCAGAAACCAGCCTGCTATCCCATACTCTTGCATCATCTCCCCTGAGTATGGGTACGCGCTCGCGTTGACACACACCGATGCCATCATCTGGCCCTACAATTCAAGCGCCTCTATCCCTTCCTCGCGAGATATCGTTGCGTTCAAACTGCCGTTTCCACAGGCGTCTACAGACGATCCCCTGCCACTCGGGACGTTTACAGCAAAGGCTGCTAATGGCGAACCCGGAATTGTGGCAGTGTCTGCAAAGTCAGGCAAAATTGTGTATTGGGAGACCTTCTCTAGTGCCTCTTCTGTTATACCTGGCCAAACCTCCACCGTGCAAGGCTCGATACCTGGTATGGCGAGTAACGAAGTTGTGGAAGAGCTGGTAAATGCCGAACCCGCCGGATTCATCCTCTCGCTAAGCCATGGTCGTGTGGTTCACTTGACGATCCGTGATCAGATGGGCAGGCCCGGCATCGGCGTGCAATATTTGCGCAAATACACAAATGCGACAAGTGGCTTCTTTGGGAGCATCAGAAATGTATTTGGCGCAGACCGACGAAAGGGCGTACCGATCGTCAAGGCCGGCGGCTCCAAGAAGGGTCAACGCGATGTGGTCATTGCCACGGAAGATGGTGATCTAGAGTTCTGGAGCACGAACCTCCTTGTCGGCAATTCGCTTGAAAAGTCATTCAGCTTCAGGGAAGACGCTCTGGAGGCCCTAAGACCCATTCTGCCCGATGTGACGGACTTCAAGATCCTGGATGTTGAGCTTTCAGCAGGGCCCAGCACGGCACTAAGCCGACGGGATAGTCATGGCAACTCCATGATGGCCCTACTTTCCACGACCAAGGAAGGAGAAACCAGGTACTTTATCATCGAGATGCTCGTCGACCAGGAGGCCAGAATCAAGGTAGTGCACCCTGTCACCTGCTATTCCTCGTCGACTTCCTCCCAGATGACTTGGCGACCTCGGCTCTGCGTGTCCAGAAATCAGCCAGCGGCTTTCATTCTTTTCGAGTCAGCCATCGTCCTGTTCTCGCTAGTGAAGATCCGAGAGTCACCCTCGTCTCAACTGTTGCTGGAACGACAAGCACTCCCCGAGCCGTTCCAGGATTGCGTCCGATTTCGAGACGTTACTACCTATAGGGTCCTTGGCTACGCACTTGAAATGTCAGAGAAGCAGTCCTCTCTCGTGTTTGCAGTGCAGGGTTTTGGAATTGTGAAAATGACCTCACGTCTGCGTGATGACGAGGAAGTTGACGTTGACGAAGCAGATGAGAGGGATCGAATGAATGCAAAGAGCAAGATCGAGCAAGCGGTCTTTTTCGGCACAATCAAACAAAATCCGCTGGATCTCAACAAGGCAGATCGGTCATTCTCGCGCGAAGAGATTGAAGCAGCCGCGCTGGACATCACGTCGGAAATCCTCTCATCATCGTCCAAACACCTGCCGAAGAGTGCGCCTTCGATCGACATGCAGATGCGACTACGTGCTAAAGCCCTTGATGACCTGGCTGGATATTTGATGAGTCACTATCCTTCGTCGATCTCTCGAAATACTCGATTCCAATTATTGCTCGAAGCAGAAAAGCTAGCAGCGGCTCAAGCGATCTGGAAAGTTCAAGAAGAAATACAGCGAAAATATCCTCAAGCTGATCGCGAAATGCCGTACCTCGACTTTACCCTGCGGGCCTTGCACGAAACCCGGCAAAAGTACCCAGACCCAGACAAGGGAGAGAAGGATCGGGTTAGACATTGGCTTGTGAACAGTGTTAAGAACGTTGGCCACCTGATGTCAGAACTAGTCAGCTGCATTCCAGAGCTCGAGCCGATGGACGTTACAGACCCAAAGGTGGTGGCTGACTACTTGAAGGAAGCTGTGGATTTGTGGATTGCATCATATTCCGCCGTCTTTAAGTTTCGAGAAGATAACGCAGCCCTGTATGGACTCGGAGACGAGGTCTTCAAGGACGGTGTGCTCGTTGAGGGGTTTCCCACTGACATTCCCCATCCTTGGTCGTCAAGTCCGGAGCCCCTGCGGTTCAGTCAGAGGCTCATTTATGACATCTGCAAGTTCTTGAACGAGTGGTGGGAGTTCACTCACGGGCGAAGCAAGAAGAAAAAGATGCCAACAGACGATGAAGGAAAGCCCTACGAAGGTCCCGGCAAGGCCGTACTTCGGGAGTTGGCCGCTCGTCTACCAACCGAAGTGGATTTGTTTGCCCGACTCGTCTTCGAAGAATCAATCCAAGCGAAGATCAAATTCAGAGAGCATGAGAAAGATCCTGACGCTTTGAAGGACGAAATCAAGAATATCGACCGCGAAGTGCAAAACAGATTAGGCCAAGCGTTGCAAGCTGTCTCGGCGTTCAACATGCGAGGTGCTATTCATCTTGGGGAAAAACTGAAATACTACGGCGATCTGGTCACGATGCATCTCGAATATTACAAGAAACTGATCGCAGAGGCTGCCGCTGATCCGTCACTGGCTGAAAAGAATCAACGCGAATTGGAAGAGATGCGAGACCGCGCCGAGTCTTATTATGGCAAGTTCGGCAAGGGCTGGGCCTTTGCTGCTTATAGTCAGATGCTCATCGATGGCGAGTGTGGCAGTCTACTGCTAAAAGGCCAAGAAGATCAGCAGAAGGAAGAGTTCCTCACATGGTTTTTCAAGATGGCCCCTGTTGCTCACCAACAGCTGGGCAAGCTCAGCTGGATTCATGATGTGATCTCGAACCACAATTACCAGCGCGCAGAGCAAACACTCCAAGTCGTCACTGCTGAAGAACAAAACGATGTCTGGAACAAGAAGACGGAACTAGCTCTTGCCAAGTTGGTTGGCTTAGCCGCTGATGAGGGGACCGGCAAGCTCCGGGATCCGAAAGCCTACGACGATGGCTTGTCAATGATCGCTATTCAGGAACAAATCTACAGTCATGTCATGGCATCTGTTGGTGCTGCGCTTGACGACAAAGCGGCGTTCGACCTAGCTCAAGACACATTTGCTTCGCGAGTGGTGGCCAAGAGCCCTGCCCTTAAGCGGCAGCTGAAGCAGGTTCTCAAATCTTTATTGCGTCAAGTGCCACTGACGGCTGAGGAACTTGTCGACCTGTTGACCTTGATGGATCCTATTGAATGGGGCGGACTTCCCGAGGAGGATCCTGAGGTTAGTGGCCAAGAATTTGCCCTTGCGCTTAGAGTCGTGGATCTCTCCGGCCTGCCTGAGATGAAGCAAGAGGATCTTCGAGCGTCTATCTGGAGAAGAGCGATGGTTCGTGATGATTGGTTGGTGCTGAATGAGACTGGCGGTAAAGATGACCAGCGAGTGGAAGAGGAAATGCAACAGTCAAGCTTGTTCCGTGCCCTGCAACACGTCTTCGTGATGGAGCAAATGGAAGGGACACCGGTCCACCTGCTGTCTCCAAGCGACATTCTCAACCGAGAAGCCTTTCCAGCCAGCTTGCAAGATAAACTTGCGGAGAACGAAATTGAGGGAATTCGCAAAGACGTCGAGAAGGAACACGCAAGGCTCAAGAGCTTCGTCGAGAAGGGAAGACTGGAGGATCACTATGGCGGGTTGATCACTGCAGCCCAGAGAAACGTCAGGGATATGGTCGACGCGCAGGGTGAGCAGGTGGCTCAGCAAGCTTTGGAGCAAGAGCCGCGCAATGGTGACTAACGGTCGCTGTGCCAAAACAGATGCTTTGGTGCTGGTGGTGCTCTGTACTATTACCACAAGGATTGTTCCGCGACAGACGAGGCTGCACAAGGCTTAGTGTGTAATGGGAGCACGTGCACGTGTCACGCGCCAGTCGCGGAGTCGCGTTGGCTTAATTGGATTTAAGGTTCGAGGCTAGTCTTCATCAGGCAGCCAGGCGCTGAGAGCGACTCACAACCGCCAGCCTGATGTCTCTTTTCCATCACTTCAGCACTGCAAATCGTAGAGCTCCTCTGCATCTCACCCATTGGATCTTCCAGATTCCATCGGCGGCTTCTTCAGCTTCGAAATCAGGTTGAGTTTCAAGCCTCGGTCACAATGCCGATCCTGGACAAGTTCGAAGTACAAGTATTCGTCGCCGGCACTCGAGCGGAGGAGTTCGATGATGACGACGAAGAAGGGGGCACCTCGCGGCGGAGCCAGGAAATCACAAAGTACATTGAAGCAGTCTCCGGGGCTTTCTTCGAATTCAAATTCTTCGCGGAAGCCAATTACAGAATCACCTACGAACAGGCGATCAGCTTCACTGTGTTCGTGGACGGCGAACGCATCATAGGGACGTATATGCAAGGGGAGGATTTCCAAGACGCCACAGCCGATGGGACACGGGTGGAGGGAAGCTGCAGTGGCAGATTCTCTATGGAGTCTACCGGCTCGAAACTCTACAAGTTTCAGTTCGCCGACCTCGAAACCAGTTCGGAGCCCGAAATGCAGCTTATGATGTCCTCTAACGTTGTGCAGGAGACCTAGAACTGGACGACGATGTATCTAGCTTCAAAGAGAAGTATGGCGACCTAGGAACGCTCAAGGTTGAGGTGTGGCGGATCACGCTATTGGATGCGTGGCCTGCCCGAGACTACACCAGGAAGGACCTCGAAACCGTCCCCGAGAAAGCACTGAAAGGGCGACCTCTCGACGTTGCAACGCGGTCGGTTCAGGCGGTGCTGTCCACAGGTTTCCGCTGACTTTGCTAGGCTGGCTCCTGTCACGGTGACCAGAACGACTCCCAGTCGAAGAATGCGGTTTCTTGGAGATCGGCCACTGGCAACCTTCACGTTCAAGTATCGCACTCGGCGTATGTTCCCAGATGCTATGTTATTCGCTCTCCTGACCGGAAATAGGTGCTCTACAATCTCTGTTGATCGTGGGACGTTCTCCCACTCCGGTAGCCTTGGAGGACCGGCCGATGGAGGAGCTCACCAGGGAAGAGGCCCTTGAGTTGCTGAGGAGACAAAGAGTAAGCAACGATTGTAAACATCAGAGGCGGTGCTGACGGTGAGCAGGAGCAGCTTGATGTGAAACAGGAATCTGGGCCGAAGCGTGAACGAAGCGTCACGGTCACAGACGCCAAGCCTAAGCGGCCTCTCAAAACGAGCAAGGGAAATAGTGGAGAAACGATCTATCACCTCGATTCTGACGATGAAGGCGACAAAGATGCACTTGAAGAGCCACCCTCCAAACCAAAGCCCGCGAAGGTGGAGATTGTCGAGTTATTGGAAGACGACTGACTAGGGCGGCCAGACTAGGACGACGAGAACGATGATGATCGGATCAACGGAGTATACAGGCGGAATTATGACATGCGTGACGATACCTTTGCATTTCAGTTTATTTGAGTCCGTAGCAGCGGTTCCAGGTCTAGGAGATCTAAGTCTGGGTAATCCATATCCCCCACAATGGCATTTATCCAAGCAGCCAGCCTTCGTCCCGCCTTGTAGACCATGTCGTCAATGATCGGAACAGCCCCGTCGTAGTATTCGCCCGCAAGGTCCTGCCCGTGGACATCCCGTGCCAGCACATACGAACACACATGTGCATTCGCCTCGCCCGCCCACTCGAGCGCACACTCGGCGGCATCGCGCAGACACACGTCCTCATCCTCCTCGGCATCACGTCCAGCAGCCAACCTCTGCGCCCAAGTCCACGCCGCGAGGGTTTCGTCCTCGTGTCCCATCCCCGCATGCCTGTTCACGATCAACGAGTCCCACACGCTGTGCAGATTCGTGGCCCGCCCATCGAACACCACAGCGTATTCATTCCCGCCGCGGTCTTCCGCCTCCGTGTGCAACGGCTGGTGCACGTCGCCGAAGAAATGCAGCACGAACCGCAGACTCTGCCCGCGCTGCCACATGGGCAGGCCCGCGTCGCCGACGCGCTCCGTATGGTTGGCTATCGCGGAGACGACGCATCCCGTCTCCAGAGCGCAGTCGCGGGTGATGTTGATGCCGCATCGGGCTGGCGGGTCGTCCTGCGCGTCGATGTAGTGCCACGCCTTGGTGTACGCGAACGAGGGGATGTATCTGATCTTATCCGGGAAGAGGGCCGCCTCGGAGATGTCCTGGCCGTGGAGCAGCTGGTTCGTGAAGCGGGTTGATTCCGGCGTGAAGTACAGCGAGGCTAGGTATGCGACCGTGCGGTGGCCCAGGGTACCCCAGGCGAGCGTGCTGGATAGGAGCAGCGCGAGCGGGAGAAGCAGGACGAGGAGAGGATGCTGCATTTTTTGGGAAGACGAGGTTGGAGAGGGAAGGGAAGGGAAGGAAAGGACGGGGAAACCAAACGGAAGGGCAGGGAGATGATGGGCTTTGCGCTCTATTTGTACTGTCTAGGTGTGTGTGTTCACATGGTCGGAGGAGCGGTCAAGTGATGCATGTTGGCACCCACGTTGTGGGTGGTTGGTTTCGGTGTTGATGTTGACGTCGTTGTCATGGGAGGACGTTGGCCGCTTCTGGCCGCTCCGCGCCGCTGCGGCCTAGTGGGGGCCGATGAGCGAAGGCGCATGTTCACGCGTCGTGCCTGTTCGGGAGCCTCTCGCGGAGGATGACACAATGGTACGGATGGCTTGGCGGTCAATCTTCAGTTCTTCCGCTCGAGCTTATCTGTTTGTACAGAGTAACATTTTGTTCCTCTCATTTCTGATGCTCAACTTCGAGATACGGAATACTCTAGGCTCGCTCACTTTAGATTCAATTCAAATCATCCTCACTTTTCTTTCAGAACTCTCTGATAGAACACGAGTAATGTCTCTATCAATCCTGACTCTTGATGAGGTTGCATCTTGTCACGGCTGAGCCTTCAGTCCTCTGCAATCGGAGTCCAACATGGTGAGTGTTCACCTTCCTCTCCCTTCTTCTTTCTCCAACGATTAAAGCTCCTTTTCCCCTTCTCAAACGATCGAAGTTCCACTAGACCGCGACGTATTACCTCAATCCCGTCTTCTGGGTCGTGCCGTTGTCCATCTCACTCTTCTTTCCTGTTTGTCTGCGGTTCAATCATATTTCGACCATGATGGCAAGAACGGACCAGGTCAGAGTTAGTATCGTGAGCGGACGTCAACAGCTACGGGAGCATGATCCACCCAACGATGATCTGTCATCTATTGGCGCTGACGAGCTGGAGTGGCCTCTGGTCACAAAGGTGAAGTACATTGAAGCGATCGCCGGTGCTAAGTTCACGATCAGATGTGAGGTCAAGCCCGGCTTTCAATTCGGCAATGCAAACTGTCTCGACTTTGATATCTGGGTGGATGGACAGAGAATTATGGGAACGATGTGCCCCAAGTCGCTGGTCAAGTCCAGCAGATACGGTTGGACCGAAAACTACAGCGGAGAGGACTTCTGGACAGGGACATCCTGGGCAAGACGACCTTTCCGTTGGAGTAACCTCGTTACCAGTTAGTGTTCTTCATGATCACTGGCTTGTGCTAACGATTCTAGCCGACAGTAGTTACAGCGCCGAAGAGACGGAGAAGTATCACAACATCGGTACTATCCAAGTCGAGGTCTGGCGGTGCTGGGAAGAAGAGATAGTACCCAAAGAACGCCGTAAGGTTTACGACACTGTGGAGAGCGTCCCCGAGAAGATTGTGAAAGGCGCAGCTCTTGATATGTGTACCAAGTGAGCTGCTACGGATTTTTGGGAGTTACATACGCTTATTCTTTCAAAGATTAGACTCTCCAGTTATGAGTAAGGAAGAGCACGCAGATATGAGCTGCGAGACCACGAATATCGACGAAGAGCCCCGCGCAGTATTCATCTTCAAATATCGAAGCAAAGGTATGTAGAGTCGCCAGGTTAATTGAAGCAGTGCTTACAGCAGTTTGGTGCTTTGCAGTCTCTCGGCATTCTTGAACGACCAGCATCTCCGGAACCTCTGGGGGAAAGGGATGTGGAAACTCTAACTCCGGACGAGCTGAAAGAATTGGCGCGTCGGCTTAAGGTGTGTATAGATCGCGGATGGAGCCGCATTGATACTGACTACGGCTTGCAGGCGTCACAAGAAGCACAGAAAGTCAAGGTCAAGCAAGAGAAGGTGGAAGCCAACCTTGCTCAGCTTGCGGAGTTGAAGAGGGTTCGAGAAGATGGAGACGACGAAGATGATGAGGTGGAATTCCTCAGCCAGCGACCGGTCAAGAAGGTCTGCAGCGTCGGAGGCATCGTTGACTGACCTATGGCCTTGAGTTCTTCAGCAAGCGAGCAAGGCGTCAGCATCGGACTGCTCCCCCGAGTGTATTATCAGCAACGAGATCTTTTGCAGACATGACAACCAGCAGGGGCTACAATACTTTGTGCTATGCGAACTGGTCAATCGTGGATCGATCACGGTTTAAGACAGAATACCGGTGACTCGCTCGTCGTCGCAATATGCTCCTGTCCTCATAGTCACAGGCGGCGAAAGAAAACTGGACAACACAATCTTTACACTGGCCGGCTCAGGAACACTGCCTTTTTTGGAACACCAGCCCAACTCGAGATTGTCGCTCGGGTACAGCTTCGGCAGCTGCAGCCTCATCAACTACCCCAATGTTCCAATCCAGAGATATTCCACAGAAGTGGCAGCGTCGAAAGACCGAAAAATTATCTCTCGTTTCCCTTCAGGGTGCCTTTTCATGTCCTGGTAATCTCGTGATCAGCATCGCCCATCGCGCTGACTACCATGCCTCCTTCTTTCCGTCAGGCCACTCGAGCTTACCTTGCTATAAAAGTCAGGTTCAACGGAGATCGGTATGGGATCATGATATGGAAGACACAGTCCTCTCAGCTACAACGCTTGGTCGGCGGAGCAACGAGGACCGGATGGAAGATACATGAAGGACCTGTTCGCAAAATCGTTTCAGGTGGGAGGTGGTTGCTGAACCGGTGGTGATATCACAATGTGGACGAGAGGAATTTACGTGATGAAGCGATGACGCGACGTCCTGTTTGGAACGAGCACTGTATAGCTATTGCCGCACCCTCTTCTGAACGCGGCGGAGCGGACAGGTACCTTGTCGCCGAGATTCAGCAGCAAATTTCGGTTCTCCTTCACTTCTGTATCTCCGATGACCTGGTTCTCACTCGGCGAAATTTCTTCCAGTTCTTCGTCTTATCTCAAAATGGCGGTCATTGACAGCGTTGAGGTAACCATCAGCAGTGACCGCACCACCCTGTGCGAGTACGCAATACCAGCCAACCACGACTCTGGGGTTATCCATGACGACTACTCTCCCGCCACCAAGGTCGCTGTACGCTACATCGAAGCCGTCCCGGGTGCCAACTTTGAGATCAATTACTCGGTAATGGAGGATCAAGAGTTTGGGAAAGGCCGATTACTTGTCACTCATCACCTGGGTTGATGGCCGGAAGGTTCTCGCACCTGTTGTAAAGCCACATCATCTGCAATACTGTGACTGGAGCTGTTGTCGGGAGGGTCCAAGAAGCGGAGCTGGCGCTACGTGGGCGGTACAGCCATATACCTGGGCTGCACTGCTATCGAGCAAGTTGACCATGCTAAGCAATATCGCTTACTGATGTTCGCAGCGGACGAGACACCGAACGCGACAGTCGACGACATTAAAGCACGATACGGCAAAATCGGTTCCATCCGAGTCGAATTTTCGCGGAAGAAGCGTCTGGGGGTCACTCACAAGTTCGAGCCAGTCTCACTGAATGAAGAACCCATTCCAGAGGATGCTATCAAGGGCTTGGCCCTTGATCTTGGTGTTGGGTATGACACTGCAATGCATTTCGAACGGCTTGCTGACGTAGAGCCCTAGCCTACAGAATGCGAGGCCGATGCAGAATCAAATCAAAGTGAACCGCGGCGAGATAGTCGATGACGGCCCGCTTGCGATCTTCATCTTCCTTTACAGAAGTAGGAGTATGTTGTGCCGAAGCCGGAGACTTGCTAGTTGCCACTGACTTGTCACAGATGCATTACAGAGCCTTGGTGTCCTTCCCTCAAACGCCCCAGCCCATATCGTTGGAGGAGAGAGACCCTGCTACACTGAGTCCTGCGGAAATGTTGGAGCTGATACGCTGGCAGCAGGTACGTGCAGTCATCCAGGACGCGAAACAGCTACGAAACTGTGTTCGTTGACTTGTCTTGCAGTCAGAGCTCGAAGCAATGAGAGCAAATGTCAAGAAGGAGAAAGCCGAGTCGGACACGGACATGCCACGACTTGATAGCATCAAGAGAGAGGCAACTGATGAGGACGACAACCTGGCTGTTCTCCCTGTGCCATGGATTTGCAAGAAGGTGAAGGTCCTCGACTTAACAGATGATTAGACACCTGCTGCAGAGGAAAGCAACTTCGGGACCTGGCAAGAAGCGACAGTCAGGATGTGTAAGCTGCACGTCATAAAATCTCGATGCAGAGACTATTGTGTCGGAGGCTCGAGGCCTCCTCGAGAGGTGGAGGAAGGAATTCAAATGACGAGGCGATCCGGCTTGGGTACGGCTTCCATTGCTCTTTGTCCCTAATCACTTCATCCCTTCAAGCAACATCTGCTCTGTGATGTGCATCGATATCCAGTTCTCTCAACATGATCCGGATTGTTCACAAGCTGATTAATATTCTACCAACGCCTGACTCGTCTCCATTGTTCCCATTTTACAACCGTGTCTGCGAGCAACAAGATGGGACAGGCGCGGGAGAAATACAGGTGCTGGTATGAAGAGCATGCTGGCTGAAGCACTTACTGCGGCTTCAATTGACTCAGCAGAGCATGACGGAAAGACTCATGGAACCATTGATGGTGGCAGGGGGGACCAGCATCCTTCCTTTACGCTGTTATTGAGACTCGCCTGCCAACGATAGTCAGTGGACTGGTGGGTTTCCCTCTACTTTCCTCTCCCTCACCTGCTCTTCACTGTGCTTCTTCTTCTTCTTCTTCTTTGACCTCTGCCTGACTTGTCCGTCAGCCGGAAACACGTTTCTACTTTCGCTCTCCCAGTTGCGCTTCATTCTTTGCGCTTCCCGTGTGCTGCCTCACCACCTTTCTCCTGCCTCGCTCACCTTTGATACAAGCAAAAATGGCTATCATTGGCAATCTCGAAGTCACTATCACCAGCGGTGGCAAAGTCCTTCGAGAGTATGGCGTTGCTGAAGAGGATCAGGTTGATCGTGAGGGTGACCCAAAAGCTCAACGCGTCGGTCGTCGCTGCAAGAAGGTATCGACTGTAATGACAGAGAAGTGCTTCGCATATGTCGAAGCGACTCCAGACGCCAACTTCGAGATCGGCTACAAAATGAGCGGTAAACTAGCATTTGGCCGTGCAAGTCATATTATCTTCGGGACATCTGTCGACGGACACGATATCATCTCACCTTCTGTTGACAAGGAGGAATACCAAAAGTCTGGTGCCTTTTCAAGTGTTGACGAGGGCGATATGAGCACGTGTGGCTCCGAAACGAACCTGCATCGCTTTTACTGGGCACCACTTTCGACTAGTGAGTAACAGTTGAGTTCCCTGTAATTGCCTCGCTAACTATACTGCAGCCGATGACAACCCGAAAGTGACAGTCGCCGAGCTGAAGGCTGAGTATGGCAGCAAGGGTACTATTCGGGTTGATGTCTGGCGGAGACAAAGACTTCCCAGCATCCCACATGATAGAGCTACCCCTGCCATTTCCAGCGATATCCCAGAACGCGCCTTGAAAGGCCGCGCAGTGGAAGTCGGAGTCAGGTACTTCACACTACTTCTGGTACCTGCTGAATTATCACTCATAATCGACAGTTTTAGAAATGCGAAGCAAATCGCAAAAGTCAATTTCATCTACTCGAAACCGGTCGACAAGGAACCGTTGGCTACTTTCGTCTTCTTCTATCGAAGCAAAAGTGCGTCTCTCTACGCCTCACCTCCACAGACGCTAATCCTGACAGATGCATTACAAGCCTTGGACCTCATTCCTCGAACCCCCGAACCAGTCCCGCTAGAAGAAAGAGACGAGGAGACACTGAACCCCGCGGAGATGCTAGAGCTCATTCGTCGACAGAAGGCAAGTAACAGTTTGGCTTGGATGCCTAATCTTGTGACTCCAACGTCGCTAGCGAACGTTCGACTAACCATGACTGTAGGCAGAACGAAAGGCGGAGAAGGTAAAGATCAAGCAGGAGAAGGCCGAGGCAAACCTGAGACAACTGGCAGGACTCAAGCGCGAGGCCGGTGCCCTGGACGACGAGGATATCAGCATCGTAGTCCAGTCGGCCAAGAAAACTCGGCGTGAGGTGGCGGTCGTTGAGCTATTGGATTGAATCTTGGTCCACGAGGCTTCTTGCCATCAACCAACAGGCTGCGCATGGAATTGGTCTACGCCTTGCTTCCACAACATAAGCAAAGGCAACAAGGGAGACATCGTGTCATAAGGGCAGGTGGAATACCTGAGGCATTTTGACGAAGGCTGAAAAATGAGCAAATCTGGAGAAGCTTGGATGGGGAGGGTATTCGACTCGTCTAGGAGAATAGACCTACGACCGCACGGTTCTAGCCACCATGCGCCCAAACCAGGCAACGTCATCCCACACAGTCTTGGGTCTTTCTGGCGGCGGTTCCACGGAGTCGTCAAACCTGACACTCTGTCCAGCTTGCAAATCCGCATCTTTTGGTGCACCAGACGAAGCAGAAGCGGCAGGACTGTCATTCTGATCTTTACCTTCCCCTTTCTCCCTCACAGCCTTGGTAGCCTCAAGCTGACTGCCGGGGAAATCATCCTCCAACCTCAAAAACACGTCGACAAGCCCGTCCATCCACGCCCCGAGTCGATACCCCTTGATGCTCCTCCTCAGCTCGTCCTCGTCCTCACTGTCGAACTGTCCTTCAAAGTCCAATACACCATACGGGTCGTCGTCGGCGTCGTCGTCGGAAAAATCATCGCCAAAGTCCTCGTGATACTGCGCCGCAATTTCTGCCTGAGACTGTTCGTCCGCCCAATCAGGGGGTGCATCCATTTCCAGCATTGGCGTCGTAGAAGGGACCGTGGGCGTCATGGCCAATGATCTCCGACTGCGGCGTTTCTCTTGGAAACTGCCGCGCCTGCTCAGGTTGCCTGGTGTATTTCGTCCGGAGCGCATGCCTGTCATGGCCATAGAAGGCCGCTCCTCAAGCGGCGTAGCTAGAGAGGTCGAGCTGTCGCGCTTGGATATCCAGCTCTGACCCTTTGATTCCCGCGACCCTTCGGTGAGTGTGAGGCCGGTCTGGATGAGCCACGAGGAATCAGACTTGTGCAGCGGATGATGGCCCGTATAATTCGAGGCGGACTGCGTCGGGTGCGAGGAGAGAGACGAAAGTCGTCTCTCCTTCTCCTCCACGGAGATGGACTTGTGGCCCAGTCCTTCGCTCGTCAACGCGCCGTACGGGGCGGCAGCGGCGGCAGTAAGATTCCCAACCGTCCCCTCAGTCAGTGGAAGCGGCGCTTGAATCGTCACAAAGGATTTATTCTTCTTCCTGTTATTCAGCCGCGTGCGCGAATTCGCTCTCGATTGCACGCGGGAGTTTGCCGCGCTGCCGCTCCTCGACAAGATGCCGCCCGGCGATGGCAGCGACGCGACATGCGAGATCGAGGCCGAGGTGTGGAGTTCCGACGTTGACGGGTCGAAGTACGCAGAGTAGTCTGCCGGGTCGATCGGGTATTTCGGCGTCAGGGGCGCGAGCGAGAGATGTTGCAGGTTCGGATGGCTGCGGCGGTGAGAGCCGGGAGCAAAGGAGGATGAGCGCGAGAGCGTCGTCGGAGACGGTGCGGACATGGCGTGCACGGTAATCACATCTGGCGCGGTGGCTCGGGCGGCGTGTCTGGTCACGGACAGGCTAGGTTGAGTGAGTAAGTGAGTGAGTGAGTGACCGCAGGAAGGCTTGCGTCGGTGGAGGGGAATCAGTCAGTTGAGTGTGGAACAGCCAAAGTTGTTTGATTCGAAGTATGATCGGTGTAGGTACTGGCACTCGTCCGGAGACCAGAAGCCCAGGGTGGAGAGATGATGTCGTTCGGTGTTGCAAGTTGCAAAAATGGTGGCCGTTCGAAGACCGAGGCATGTGTGGCATGTGCTCTTCGGAAATTGGCCAATTGGAGGTGATACGGGCGACAACGCGAGCGGTGCGGGCGGTGCGAGGGTTCAATCAGATCATATAGCGGTGCGAGAGATAGGAGGGTTCAATCATATCATGCAGCGGTGTTCGCGCCAACCCTTCAACTACCGTGTAAATACATGCTCTCCGGTCCGAAGTCGGTTGCCTGCTTCAGATGTTTTTGTCAAGTCGAGTGGTAGGGAGGTGGGAGGGGCGTTTCACTGTGGTGTTCATGTGTCCTCTCAAAGGTCCATCCACGGTGCTTCACTCGTCGCGTATATGATGCTGAGCATCAGGCTCGAATTCTAAGCTATCGTATTCCACGCGGTCCCGGTCGACTCTCGACCACACTGATCACATAGATTCCAGCTTTACGCTTCAGTTTCCTTTTGCTGCCTTGATCTCGCCTTGATGAACCACAAAGGCCTCTATCGTCGAGATGGCCGACCACAACCGATTTTGCGCCTCCGGGAAGACCAACGATCTGGGTCCATAGAATACCTCGTCACTGACTTCCTCCTGGTGTCGGGGCAGACAGTGCATAAACTTCCAATCTTCGGCGGCTCCACCCCTCTTTGCCAGTTCTTCTGTGACTTGATACCCGGCGAACGCTTGTAATCGCTTTTGCTTCTCAGACTCTTGGCCCATGGAGATCCACGTGTCCGTCACAATGATGTTTGCTCCCTTGATGGCCTCTTCGGGAGTGGTCGTTTCAAAGATCGTGCCCGGTCCCGCGGCGTCGACCTCCTCTTTGATCTTCGCGGGGATCTCGTACCCTTTCGGTGTCGCGACTGCCATTTCGATGCCCAGCTTCCGGGCGCCAATGCACATGTCGAACAACACGTTGTTTGCGTCGCCGACCCAAGCGATCTTCAAGCCCTTCAGGTTCTCGGCCCGCGTCTCGAACGCTTGTGTCAACGTCGCAAAGTCGGCAACTATCTGCATGGGATGGTAGGTGTCGCACAGCGCGTTGATGACCGGCACGGAGCTGTCTTTGGCCAGATTCGCAATGTCCGCGTGGGGCCCAACTCGGGCCACGATGCCGGACACCATGCTGGATATGACGACCGATGTGTCGTAGAGGGACTCGTTCACGCCCAGCTGTATATCGTTCTTGCCCAGGAACATCGGGTGGCCACCCATGGCGACGACGGCCCCCTCCGTGGATACTCGTGTCCGGGTGGACAGTTTGGAGAAAAGCAACGCGATGGTCTTGTTCGAGAGCGCATTGCGCTGGGGCCACGTTGGCTGAAGCGCCGAGTGCTTGTAAGCCGTCGCGTTGTTTACTAGGGTGCTCAACTCGGTGGGCGAGAGTTCCGATATAGACAGAAAGTGACGGGGAGATTTTGAGGCAGAGGTCGAGAGCGAGCGAGCATAGTGGTGGAGGAAGGGTCGTGACCGTATCAGCGGCCTGAGGGGCGCCATGCTGCAAGATCTCAATAATGGACCTGCCAGTGTGCAGGACGCATCGCCAGCAATGCAAGACTTAACAACGGTAAAGGAGGGCCAGAAATTTGTTCCACCCTCGCAGTGCCCAGTACTTTTTGAGTCACGGTGACGGGAAGAAGAAAAGTGCAGCGTCGACTTTGATCTCCGCAGATTGAAGCTTCTGGTTCGTCCATCTCCGCGCTGGGAATCAGCCCACAGCCCTACAAGGCCACAATCACGCTCCCTACGAGTCTCGTACGCAGTATCACTGGTGGACCGCTCTTCTCCCCAGATCCGACATCATGAGCAGGTCGTTACGAGGGGAGCCAATTCTCGTGCTGGACGGCGGTCTGGGCACGACACTGGAAGATGAGCACGGCGTCAACTTTTCGTCAAATACGCCGTTGTGGTCGTCCCATCTGCTGGTCGAAAATGTCGAGACACTGAAACGAGTCCAACGAGACTTTGCCGACGCTGGAGCAGATATCGTCCTTACAGCGACTTATCAGGCTAGTTTTCTAGGCTTCAAGAACACCAAAGCCCCAAGTCAAAGTGGCATTGACGAAGACGAGGCACGAAGATTGATGCTCTCGGCGGTGACAATTGCTCGCGAATCTTTCAATGGGCGACCAGGATTGGTGGCTCTAAGCTTGGGAGCCTACGGTGCAACCATGATCCCAAGCACCGAGTACAGCGGACAATATGGATCCATGACGGAAGAAGACCTATTCGACTTTCACTCCAAGAGGCTCTCGTGCTTTGTAAACAGCCCGCAGTGGGAGGACGTCGACCTCGTCGCCGTCGAGACACTACCACGGCTAGATGAAGTGAGGGCGACAAGGCAAGCCATGCAGATCATCCACGGTAAACCATACTGGATCTCCTGCGTCTTCCCGAACAATGACGAAACACTGCCTGATGGGACGGGAGTCGAGGAATTGGTGACCACCATGTTAGAAGGAGAACGGCCTCCATACGCGATTGGTATCAACTGCACGAAGGTCCATAAGTTGCCAGGCCTAATTCAGAGCTTCGAGGACTCTGCTCATGCACACGATTTAGCCCTTCCACGACTGGTGATTTATCCCGATGGCGCCGGCGGTAAAGTGTATGACACGACCCTGCAGCAATGGATGGGCAGCGATGACGAGGAATCGCCCTGGGAGCAACAGGTGTACGACATCGTCAAGGAAGTGCAGCGGCGACGCAAGTGGAAGGGTATAGTTGTCGGAGGATGCTGCAAGACGACACCGAACCATATCAAGAAGTTGAAAGCGAAACTGGATGAATCGAAATAGAGACGCACGCTTCTGCAGGTTCCAGGCGTCAAGGAGACTGATGCATTGGCTTGGTAATTGCACAGCGAGTTTCGCCTCACGCTGCCTGAACTCCTCTGGCCGCCAATTGCCCCGTTTCAATACGATCTTCAACAAGACGAGAAGCCGCAGGTATGGGTGCTGGCAGAGTCATGAACCAGATGCTCTGTCAGACAGGGCCAGCAGCAAAGTGGTGTCGAGGTCGATGACGACAACGTCCGATTGTCTTCTGGCCCAGGTTGTGACCCCATGTGGGGTTCGATACAAACTCCTTGCGACGAGGACTAGGACTGACTTGTGCGAATCTGAGATCTACCTCTTCTTCGACACTGGCCCGTCTAGAACCATGGCAGAGACTCTGATGACTACTGAAGCATTGGTGCTCCCAGCGCTCAAAGCTCCCTTGCAGCTACAGAGAGTCCACCTGTCTCCTCTCCAGAAAGATGAAGTACTGGTTGAGATGCATGCTACGGGCATCTGCCACACAGACCTGTCGTGCATGGATGGGATGCTCCCCATCTCCACGCCCGCAGTGCTAGGTCATGAAGGCGCAGGTGTCGTCCTCGCCGTGGGAACTGACGTCTCGCACGTCTCAAAGGGCGACAAAGTCTTGCTGAGCATAAACGTGTGCCAGAAATGCCCGAACTGCTTGGCTGGCCATCCGAATTACTGCGACCAAGGCATGCCTCGAAACTTCGGCGGACGCAGAGTATCTGATGGGAGCACCACGATATCTATTGACACGAACACGGAGGACGGCACGGTCCCTTGTTTCAGCAGTTTTTTCGGACAAAGTTCATTCTCCCGGCATGCTGTGGTGGACCAGTCCTGTGTGCTGAAGGTCCCACAGGACACGGATCTGAGGTTGTTCGCCCCTCTGGGCTGCGGGATCTCCACAGGCGTGGGCAGCGTGGTGAATACACTGGACCTCAAAGATGGCTCGAGCCTGGCGGTATTCGGCGTTGGCAGCGTCGGCTTGAGCGTCGTCATGGCGGGCAAGCTGAGAAATGCAGGCACCATCATCGCCATCGACCTCAATCCCCATCGACTAGAGGTCGCGAGGAAACTCGGGGCCACGCATGTCGTGCATGGCAACAGCGCAGATGTCGTGGCCGAGGTGAAGGCACATGCGCCAAGCGGCGTGAACTACGCCGTCGACTGCACCGGCGCCGCAAAGGTCATTGAAACAATGATGGAGTGTTTGGCTGTCCGCGGCCGAGCTGCTCAAGTCGGATTGACCGCGCCGGACGGGACGGTCCCCATCAAAATCCTGCAGCATCTACTGCGGGGACAGGAATATGTCGGCTGCGCTGGCGGCGACTGTATACCGGGCAAGATGCTCCCCTACCTCGTGGAGCAGCAACAGGCCGGCAACTTCCCTCTCGAGGAGATAGTGTCCTACTACGACGCCAAGGACCATGCAAGGGCATTTGAGGATTCCAGATCTGGCAAGGCCATCAAGGCCGTTTTGTGTTGGACCTGAACATCTCCATCTTCAGCAAGTGAATACGCAAAATTCTGAAAAGAATGTTTATACAGAGGATGAGCCGTGGGGCTGGCTCGGTTTCGGAATTAGATGTGGCCGTTGGCCGCTATGCCATTCTCCTTGGCCACGCCATTCTGCTTCGCAACTCCATTTTCTTCGGCCGCCGCGCCGTTCTCGTCATGCACGACAGTGAAGCCTTTCCAGCCCTCCAGCTTCTCCCGACATTGTGCCTCATACATCTGGATACCACCCGGGTGCGTGAGGAGCTGGATTCGCTTGCCCGGGATATTGGCCCCGTTCCACCACGAATTCGTCAACGGGAAGAGCGTGTACTGGTTCATCGCGTCGATCATGTTATCCCACTCGTCCTCGGCATCCCTGTTCGGCTCAATACTCTTAGCGCCTTCCTTTTCAAGCTTTTGAATCGCCGCGAGGATGAAATCGGCCTGTGCTTCGATGATGGTAGGACCATTCGACAGAGCCGTCGGAGCTGGCGAGAGGTTAGCCATTTCGATCCGTCGGAAGCAAAAGGGGGGGAACAACGCACCATGAGGAGTGTAGACCATGAAGCAGTTGGGGAACCCATTGAACGTCATCCCCAGGTATGTGCGAATACCGTCCCGCCAGACGTCTTTGATATCCACGCCATCTCTATTCTTGAGACCCATTTGCGTTAACCTGGTTGGATTGGTCAGCCATGCAAATCTAATTTTCGTTTCATGTGAACGGGACTCACGATCCAGAAAACGAATCAAACCCCGTGGCAAGGACGACGACGTCAAAGTCCAACTGCTGGCCGTCCTCCAAGAGCATGCCCGTCTCGTTGAAAGTCTTGATGGGCGTCTCGTTCAGATTGACAATGTCGACGTTGGGCCGATCCAGCATCTCGTAATAGTCTTGCTCGAGCGGGCTTCGTTTCGTGCCGAAGTAATAGGGCGCCTCCTTGGGGACCATGAGTTCCCTCTTTTTCGGGTCTCTGATCCGCTGACTGATCTTCTTGGCCCAGAAGTCGTATACCACTTTGTTGGCCTCCTTGTCCAGCACCACGTTGTTGTAATTGCACATCAGGTAGTTGAACCCGCCTCTGGCCCAAATGTCTTCGAGGTGTCGTTCCCTCTCTTCGTCAGACACGTCGAACACGCCAACCGGCTCGATCGAGCCCGGGAACCCGGCTCTCGACTGGCGACCTGCCGTGAAGAGCGCCTGGAAGTACGACTTCCACCCCTTTTGCTCCTCGGATCCCACGGGCCGCTGGCCCATGGGCAAGCACAGACTCGGCCGGCGCATGAAGACCGTTAGCTGATCAGCCTCCTTGGCCAACTCCTGCACGACCTGCACGGCCGTGGCGCCCGCGCCGATCAAGCCGACTTTCTTGCCCTTGACGCTCATGTCCTCGGGCCAGAAGCCCGTGTGATGGACCACCCCCTTGTAGGACGTCAGGCCCGGGAAGTCCGGGATATGCCGCCGGTGCAGCAAGCCCGTGCACAGGACCAAGTACTTGCTCTTCGCGATGTGGCCCTGCTGTGTCTTGACCGTCCACTGGCCCTCTGCCGTGCTGTACTGCGCGTCCACGACGTGGGCGTTGAACTGCACGTCCTTGCGCAGGTTCAGTACCTTGTCCACGTGTGCGCAGTACGCCCGGATCTCCTTGTGACCGGGGAACTTCTCCGAGAACTCCCAGTCGCGGTACACCTCGGGGATGTTCAGTTGGTAGTAGGGCCACTCCGAGTCGACCCGCGCGCCGGGGTATCGGTTCCAGTACCACACGCCGCCGAAGTCGCCGCCGGATTCGAAGACCTTGGTGTTGAACCCGGCTTTGCGGAGCCGGTACAGCATGGACATGCCGCTGAAGCCGGCGCCAATGATGAGGACATCGCTGTGTACGATGGCGCCGACGGACGGGTTGATGTTCGTGTCGGCCATTTTGTGCCGAAAAAGGGTGGCCGAAGAACCAGAACCAGAACCAGACGCGGCAAGTGGTGTTTAAGGTGTGCCGTAGGGTAGCACCGGAGCAAGAGTTCCTTGCAATTCGAATTTCCAAGGCCGAGGTCGCCTGTCGGGTAGATGTGTCGGTTCTTATACCTACTGAAGACCGAGTATCTGGGTCTCTGCGATACCTCGCGTGACTGGGAACTCGTTGACGACTTGCATCTGTCAAGCCCACTGCATTGTGGGCGCTGATTCGCCTACACGATAGTCGTGTTGGACAAACGAGTCAATGTAAGCTGACTAGTAGGGCGAAGGATACTTGGCATGTCGGGCCTGGCCTGTGATGTACGTGGTTGTGGGATGTCTGCTGTATGTGGAACCGTGCTGGACATTGTGGAGTGAGGGGTTGCGCAGTGGGGGAGGGCCCCTTAGCCGCGAAGGGCTGAGATCTTAGTGCCGCAGCCGAGGTTGCTTCCAAGGCAGTACTGGGGTACACAGACAGCCTGCACAGAGCTGGTACTGTTACTTGTATGTGCCTCGACCTGAGACCTGGGAGAGGTTCCCATCAGGGACGCCGTGTTGATCGGGACTCTCGGGGTGCATCCACGACCCGAATCGAGTCGTGTGACACTCCCGCCGCCAGTGGGTTATGTACAATACCATATGTATTGTTTCCGACTAGTACGTGAGGACTGACAAAGCAGGGCGTCCGTCAGGTCCTCCACACGGTACCCACACGGAGCAATTGTCGCCAGTTCCACAAGACGGGATGCCTCAGAGGGAACTGCTGACCTGCACACCAGGTGCGAGGTTGGAACATCCATGGAATTTCGATGTAACCCCATGCCACAGTGGAGGGTACCGACTGTGTTAGGTGAGATGAGCTTCTGACCCAAAAGGGTCGTCACGTCCCGGTCCGGCGACTGTACCTCTCCAGTGCTTGAACTGCCTGGCTGGCAAGCGACGCTCGAACATGGTATCGATCTCTGCGGCGGTCCGTTCCTTCATTTCTGGCACAAAGAGCCAAGTGAGCACTAGGGCTAACACGCTGAAGCCGGCAATGATGAAGCCGGCTTTGGCTCTCAGATTGCCCTCGTCCACGTTGTATGCATACGGCAGACTAATGCCAAAGGCGCCCTGCGCGAACGCGCCGCTGAACCACCCTATGCCTTGGGTTTTTGCGCGGAGGCGAAGTGAGGATGTTTCGGCGCCGACAACATATGCGACGGGCCAGATGCCAACTCCGACCACAATCTGGGTGCATTTGTTAGCATGAATCTTTCTCTGTCGCTCGGCCGAGCTGGCCCGGAGTGGAGCTTGTAAATTGCAATCCGCGAACTGCCATAGGGGTCCAAACACGGGCTCGTCCCAGAAAGAATACTCACAATAATGACCATCATGGTGACTGCAGTGTACCTGCGCGGCATCAGCAAAGGCGTACAAGGGAGCACAAGGCCACTCATACCATATTACCACCACACCGTCGAAAATGCCAGCAATGCCCATGGCACCCCACAAGAGGATGCTGATAGCCAGGGTGGTCATACCCAGGGGCCGGCGCCCAACTTTGGTCACCATCCACATGCTGACGATGTTGGCCACCAGCCCCAGAGCGACGCCGAGCTGGAGGAACAGAAGAGCATTGTGCGCGCTCATGCCGACCACTTGGATAAAGTAGCTCGCGTCGGAGAGCAATGCCAGTCCGAAGAGCTGGGGCAAGAGATTTGCGAATATCACAATCAGGGTGCGCCGCAGGTTTGTCCCTCGGAAGCATTCCAGGTAAGTTGCCCGGTCGTGTCTGTCCTGTTCTTCCTCCTTCTGCAATGCAAACAGCAGATTGTCAATGTTTCTCTGCGTGTCTGTCTTGGAACTGTCGAGCCGTCGCTGTGACTTGAATGCCTTGTCGAACTTCCCCTTGCGCAAGAGGTACGCTGGACTCTCTGGCAATATTATCGCTATTATGAGCGGAACGGCGGAAAACGGCCATTGCGCGATCATGGGAGTGGTGTACGGTCGCTTCCCCGGAAAATCCAGCGAAGCATAGACGACAACCGCACCGATCAGCTGGCCAAGAAGCGTGAAGACAGGGAAGAAAGCCATGACCGAGCCTCTCAGCTTAGGCGGGAGAATCTCGCTGAGGTACGTCTGGGTGGTGCACAAGACGCCTCCAATGGCCAAGCCCATGATCAGCTTCGCAGCAAGAAAGGCGCCCCTGCGCGATTCCAAGTGGTCTATGTAGTGGGAGCAGAACACTGCTGCAACGCCCCCAGCTGACAGGACACTGCTGAGCCCGAGCGACAGACGTCGGCCCACTCGATCCTGCAGCCAGCCGGCGATAATGCTCCCTATCATGACGCCAATGGGACTTATCGCGTTCCACAACCCCATCCACATCGAAGGGATGATGTATCGATCATCCAGCTTGCGACCGTAGTCGCGTCTGGGAGGGGTTAACTCTGGATACAAGGGATAGACGAGACTCGGACTCTGGCGACTTACTGGAATTCGGGTATCGCCGAGACATTGCCCACGATGGACGTGTCAAACCCATAGAGCAAGATGGCCGACGTCAAGCCAAATGAGTAGCCTAGCACGCGGGGCCATTTCCTGATCGACTTCCACAGATTGGGTTCATCGTCGACCGGCGACTGTTCTGTCGACTGAGGCGATAGTTCCAGGGTAGGAGTCGCGATCGATATCTCCTTCTCCGCCATGACGAGTTAATTTTCAGATCCGTCGACCCCAGTGGTTGCTGCGTCGATACAGGCTTCCGCAAGGAACTCCATCTGAAAGCAGATCGTAGTGAGATGCGCCAGAGGACGTGATATAAAAGGACAGCAATCCCAGGTTCGATTTGCCCAGGTCACCCCGCATCGAGCATCGAGTAGGGTTGTGACCTGGTGGACCTCCTTGCACTATCCCTGCACGAACGGGGACCGATGGAGCTTAGGGGAATAAAGGCCGTGTCAGACCCGTTTCCCACCGTCCGGCCGCGCCCCCTAATGGCAAGAGCAGCGTCAGACTGGAAATAAATACGCGATATGCTCCTCGAAGCGGATGTTCGCTTTTGCTTGGCAGCCAATCAACCGTTGACAGACTTGATTGCAAATACTTGGCACAAGTGCTGATCCCCCCCCCCATCCAGTCAAAGAGGCGGCTTTCCTGTTGCAAAACCGACTGCTTGAATTGCTGATTCTTGGTCCTGGCACTGGCTTTCCACTCGCCGGCCAAAAAGCCCGCATTCAGACAAACGCCGACGCAGTCTAGATCTCTCAGTTCGACTAACTTGGTTGAGTGCAGATCATGCATCAGAACTTGGAATTGTCCATTGCATGCTTGGGGCTCACGCCGCAGAGTTCTCGTGGTGGAGATTAAGGCCGAGGCCATCTCAAATACTACTGTGGTACATCATCGACCACAGCACGTGTAGAGCTGAACTCGAACGACAGGGGACATGCTGTTTGGCCCTCTCTGTGCAGCATTCAGCTGGTTTCCCAGAAAAGCGCGGGATTGGGTCCCGAAACCTTTGTAGTGAGTTCTTCCCGGACGGGCCTGAAGGTAGGTATGATTGTCCACACCTCACGACGGAGGTCAACCAAGGCAACGCTCGTCCATCTCAGCGCGAAGCGATTGCCTGGACATTCTCCCTCTGTGTCGAGACCAGGAAGGCGAAAGCTGTATGTATGGCAGAGATGGTATAGCACCAGTATTCAGTGCTGTGACGCCAGTCAATGGAGGATCAGACTGGTGTCAGTCGTAATAAATGCTGCGACTGGTAATCGTGTGGTGATCCAGCCCATGTCGAGCTTTTTGTTCGAGACTTGATTCGCTCAGCCTAGCATGGCCAGACGATGACGGTGACGGTGCTCTCAGGGACACTTCATAGCTTCCCATGTCACTCGTGAAAATCCCCATTCGGGAACAAGCCCGCCCAACTTCTACTTTCCAACTTCGCCCGCTGGACAAGACGGGACATCCCCTGAAGTAGAGTGCTAGCCTCCGGCCAGCTTGGGGGCACAGGATCCTTCTCAATGAAAAGAAAACAATTTTAAATGGGGCTGTATAACCCGACGGCAAGGCGGAGGAAGGAAGAACTCACTCAGTATTTGTCGGCTAAGTTGCCGGTGCCGTGGACGCGTCTTTTCACCTTGGATCTCACACTTTCTTCACTATCGCCTCACTACTTTTTCACTACTTTCTCACTACTTTCTCACTGCTTTCTCACCACGGAGTACTTCTCACAACTTTCTCGCTACCTTCTTCGGTGCAGAAAGCATGTTCCTTGGACGCCACGCGCGATTGCATCGAATGCTTTGCTTGGAGCTCACGGAATGTCTACAGTAGCGCGTCAGGTCAAATCCTGCTCAGTGGGTCACAGTCATGTGTTCTGCTGTCTGCGTTGCCAGATCTCCCACGGGCTGAAGGCAAATTCGTTCCATCATACCACACACGGCACACCTCAGCCTCAAGGGGCTATTTGAGGGCTTCGTGCTTTTCTTCTTCATCGTAATGTCCCGATGGATCATCTTTCAATGATGGGTCCAACACCACCCGTGGATCATCACTCTCAACCCATCCGCAGAATGGCTGGCTCAACTTGTAGCCCATCAGTTGCTGGATATGCACCGGCATCTTCAACACTACCTCCCTGGGGATGGCAAGATATTGATTCTCTTCTTGACGCAACCATCCTTTGGTCATAAAGCAGCTGAACCGGTTAGTCTCGTACATGTCAGATCATTGAAGAGCTTACCTGAATAATAGACGTTCTTGATCACTTGTCTTGTTGGCGGATCCTCCATGGTAGCACGAGCTAAGCATCATGAAGGCATCCTATACACGACATCAGCGTGGTTCACGGTATTACCAGAAGCAACTCACGCCCGGCTCGAGCTCCGCGTGCACCGCAAGCTCATCCTGAGGAGGTCGGTCTTTGGACCAGAGGTGACTTCCTGGGATAAATCTTGTCGCCCCGTTTTCCTTTGTTGCAGGTTTGCCAGCGACGAACCAGCCAATCCCAACATCTCGGTCATAGTTGTCCGGATACACATCTACCTCCTGCTCATTGGTCTGATGGCACCAGCTGTCCCTGTGCAAAGGCTGGTCCCATGCCCCAGGTCCGATCGAGAAGCAGATGGAGTTGTTGAGCTGAGGATCCGAGGTCGCAAATACCTTCTTGCTTCCACTCCAGTACCAATTCTTGGTCGTCAAAAACTCCTTACAGACTGCTTGATAAAGCGGATGGTTGATGATGTGCTCCGCACATATGGGAGATTTGCCGATCATGCCTTCCACCCTTCGAGTCTGGATAGGGAAGAAATCTCCCTCCCATACCACGTCCGCTTCAATGTGCGGGCGCAACTCCCGCTCGACCTGTGCTAGCACGCCCTTGTCGACCGCGGATTTGACCTTGCATCCTCCGCTAATCTTCAAAGCTTTTATCACATCCTCCGGATTCGCGTCAACCTCAAATGTAGGGACCGGTGGAAGACTGTCCGCTTTGACGGGCAGAAACTGCCTTTCCGTCTGTATGGCCGCGAGCGTTGTTGTCGCCATCTCTGGGTTGGTTTCCTGTCCTCGTCTTCCCTGCATTGCCCCGATCCAACGAATCTGCCATTTTAATATGAGTCCGCCCTTGCTGCCCAGCAAGGCTCCCCTGCCTAAACGGGAAGTCCTGACTTAGTCAGTTCTTATCTCGGGACCTGGTCCAAGCCGGGCATCTCCACCAACTCTGTTGCCTTATCGGGCATCATCCTTGCAAGCTTCCTTGGCCCGGGAGCCTACCCAAGCTTGAAGCTTGACCACTGATATCTCGAGGATTGTCGTTCCGTCTCTCCTCAACGGCCTATTGTAAAGCTGGAGCTACACACAATGATTATCTCCCATGCCCAGAATGGCAATACTTTTGACCAAAGCTTATCTCTGACAGCCCTGCATTTTCCCAACTGACAGGATACATATCATGAAATGGCTTACCTTGGATGGAGGACAGCAACCTGTTCTCTATTCTCTCCGCCACAGGGAGGACAGCGCCCATCATCACCATGGCTGTCGCGCCCGCGACCGTTTCCAGTTCAGCACACGACCGAGAAGATGTGCATATTGACATCGATGACCTCGAGTTGAAGGCGCAGGGGTATGACCGGGCCATGCCTCGGCGGTTTAATCTTCTCTCCCTGATCTCGATGTCCTACGCCCTGCTTGCGACCTGGAACGGCTTTGGAAGTGCCTTTGGTACTGGATTTACCGAGGCTTCTTCTGCCGGTTCCATCTGGACCCTGACAATCGCTGCATTGATGACAGCCGTCACGGGCATTGGCATGGCTGAATTGGCAAGCGCATACCCTGTTGCCGGTGCACAGTACTATTGGTCTTATGTGGTTGCAACCCCCGAGTGGGGACCGTTCGCCTCATACATGTAGGTGAAAGCACTGGCATCTATCTGTGCCAGCTGACCGTGACTAGTTCCGCAGGTATCAGTACGTTGGGATGGTGGCTGGGCCTTGCCAGTGTGACAAACTTCATTGCGTCGGTACGGTTTGCACCACTCAAGTTCTCATTGATGGCTCTCAACCTGAAACTCGGTCTGTATCTCTGGTGATGGGTACGGTATTGCTGACTTTGCCCGGAACTCTAGATGATTACTGGTATTGCTGTTCTCAACCATCCAGATTATGTCATTGAGAGGTGGCATATCTGGCTGATATTTGTGGCCATCACTTGGTCAGCCATTGCGATGAATGTGTTCGGGACGAGGTGGCTTCCTCTATGGAACAAATTCATCCGTGCGGCTTTCCCTTTCAGCGTTCTAAGCAAGCACTGATCTGTGACCAGTTTTCTTCTCGGCGACAACGTTGATTGTCACGATGATCACGATTCTGGCTTGCGCTGCTCCCAAATTTCAGTCTGCCAAATTTGTTTTCTCCGACACGACCAACTCGACCGGCTGGCCAAATGATGGGCTCGCGTTCCTCCTGTGTCTCGTGAACGCCCTCTATGGTTTCCTTGGCGTAGATTGCGGTTCACATCTATGCGAAGAGATTCCAAGACCTACAGTCAATGTGCCGAAAGTGATTGTAAGTGCATTCGCGTCTTGGAGAAGACCTGCTCACGGATGTAGATGTACCCGGTCTTGATGGGATTCGTCACATGTAAGCCTAGGACACCAGGTATCGAAACACCCTGACGAGACGCAGGTTTTCCCTACGCAATTTCACTGTCCTTCGTGATTACCGACTTTGAAAAGGTCATTGCCACGCCAACCGGCCTCCCACTCATCGAAGTCTATTACCAGGCGACCGGCAGTAAAGCCGGCACTTCAATCCTAATGGTGGCATTTGCAATATGCTTCTTCGGGTGTGCCACAGCGAGTGTTACCAGTGCCAGCCGACAGATGTGGTCTGCCTCGAGGGACAACTGTTTCCCTTTCGCAAAGTATTGGAGACAAATCCATCCCCGCTGGCAAATGCCGGTGAACGCAGCATGTCTCGAGGGCACCTTGTTTCGGTGAGTGAGGTCCCCGTGTGTTTTATTAAGTGCTGACAGAATCGGAGCTGTACGGATTGATCTACTTGGGATCGTCAGCTGCGTTCGCTTCCATGGTGGGCGCCTGCATAGTCTTTCAAACGACCAGCTACGTCGTCCCGCAAGGCATTCTGGCGTGGCGAGGAAGAGACAAAGTCTTGCCACCAAGAGCATTGAATCTCGGCAAATTCGGCCTTCCGCTGAACGTCCTCGCTTGCGTCTGGGTCGTGTTCATTGATATCATTTACTGCCTTCCAGTATTCCGGCCGGTCACAGTCGGTAAGGTCTTCCTTCTCGCTGAGTAGCCTCATTACAGATGCTGTTATCGCTATCACCCGTTGGTATATGCACACGCTAATCAATCCTCGCAGAGAATATGAATTGGATCAGGTAGGTTGGGGCGGCTTCCTAGGAATACCGGCTACTAACAACGGATCAGTGTGGTGATTGTCGGTCTGGTGTCCTTCCTTCTACTCAACTGGGTGGTCTACCAGAGACACATCTTCAAAGGTCCGAATCTCAACATGGAGCTGCTTCAAGCCGCACGTCACGATGAGCTGCTTGGACATCGGACGATCGACGGGGTGCCCGTAGGAGATGACAATGGAATCCTCGAGGCACTTAGGCAGCGCTCTATTTCTCAGGATAAGAAGGCCTAACTAACTCGGGATAGAACAAAGCAGAATCGTATTGCCAGGCCTTGATTTGCTGGCGCGTCTAGGCTTGTCTGGGTGTGATAGTGTTCGTATGACTCCGTGATCGTGGTTCCAGATGCCATCCCCTGGTCCTCCTGTTTCCGTGCCTGTAGATGCGCGATAACGTCGTTCTGCTGCGGCCAAGTCGGAAATGGCAGGCTGGGCACAGGCCTAGACAGTAGATAGGGCCCAACAGCTTCAGATCGCGCCTCCCAATTGGACCGAGGCAGAAGCAAGATAACAGCCGTGCATCTCTCTTCCTGCTCCACCACCATCTTCTTTCTTCTGTGGCTCCTTCGTTCGGATGGCTATGAGGCATGTCACGCTCCTGCCGCAAAGCACGACAATAAAGAACTGAGGAGCTCAAGTCAACGCTAACAATGACCTCCATCCTGTCGCCCTTGCGGCCGCCTGGACATATGCCAACTCGCAGAACAAATTCCCTCGCCTTCGCCAAATCTGATTGTCATACGTGTGTTTCACTGAGGTTGCATTGTGATAGGCAGAGACCACGATGCTCGCAGTGCCAGGATGCGGGTCGATTGTGCCAGGGCTATTCGATGAAGTTGACATGGCAGCGGAATCACTCGGCAGACAACAAACCCCCCAAGGTCAAGGCCGGTATCTCTCAAGCGGGCACTCTAGATCAGCCCCGAGACGACAGTAGAGCTAGACTGTCATCAAATAACAGAGAAATCTCGAATGCAACCACGGCCTCACGAGAGTTCAAGTTTGTTGCTGGTCGACCAAGGAAACGACGAAAGAAGGACCATACGGCTGAAGATGTCGTGAAGCTCAAGTACCCCTTTGCCGTCAGCGAGCCAGGGGATCCTATGAGCTCAGAGTCTTTGCAAAGGTCAATGAGCCCATCACTCTCTCCGACCGAGTTTTGCAGTTCGCTGGCTCTGGCGCGGAAGACTTCATCCCCCCTGCCAGAACAAGCCATTTCCGCTGGCATTTGGCAATCCGCACTCTTAGAATCGGACACCGTCCCCGAGGTTCAGAACATTCACAGCCCGGACACTGAGAGTTTGGAGCACTGTCTGCAGATTCAGCAGTATACCGATTCTCCTGGAGCATGGAGCCAGCCCACGTCAGGGAGGACCACGGACTCATGGTCTGAAACGGGATACATGTCTGAGTCCGAATACGCGTATCAGGTCACTCCCTCCTATATTCCCCAGATATGCTTCCCGACACTCCACGACAAGTTCTCTGGTCTGCTCAACCTGTGTGCGTCCCGATCCACAGTAACTGAATCGGTAACTAGCTGACAGTGATTGTAGATGACGTTCAGTTCTGCAAATATCCGATCACCAATGACTTTGGTGTAAATCCATATCGATACAGGCCGGAGACGACCCAAGGATCACGGCATTTGTTGCACGCGATCCTGGCGATAACGTCGCATTTCAGGCTTCGATCACCTACCCAGCCGACGCCTCCGGCGGAAGCGCTGGCTCACAAGAACACGGCCATGGTGCTCTATCAATGCGCGTTGACGAAGACCGACCTGTACAACAACGGTCTCAGCCTGTTAGACACGGCACTGGCTCTTTGGCAACTTGAGGTGCGCTCCGTTTTGTGGTTATACTCCAGTGCTAATGAATTCGGTATGACAGGCGACCATCTCGGCCCTCAACATCTGGAGGTCTCACCTAACGGACGCGTACCAACTCCTCGAGCTCTGCGGCGGCCCGGAAAAATGGTCCTTCAACAAGCGAGCAAACGTCCAGGTGTCAATGGTCCTCTGGTAAGCTCTGCTCCGGAAAGAAATCCTCTCTTGAAGAGTACGGTTCAGGCGCTGATGGTCCAAGGTGGGACGCCATTGTAGCCATGCTCGCCCGCACAGAATGTATCCTCCCCTATACATACCTCGAAGCCGTCCTGCGACACGAAGGTCGGCAGCCCTGGACGTTCTACGAACTGAACGGCTGTCCGCGCGAACTCTTCGTCCCCATGACCCAGCTAGCGAACCTGTCGGCTCGGCGAGAGAGCAAGACTGCCACCCTCCTTGTCTCCCAAATCGAACAATCAGTGAAACGGTACGAGTATGCCGGAGCGGGCAGTGGGTTTTGTCCCGACAGCGAGACCGAGACCGAGACCGACGACGAAGAAGCCATGCATATCGAACGCGACAAATATCACTGCTGCGAGGGGTTTCGGTACGCCCTACTGATTTACATTCTGCGCGTCTTCACTGTCGCAAGGCAGAATCACGACGACCGGCATCAGAAACTGCAGGCCACAACCCAATCGAGGATATCATTCCTGTCACGCGTCTGCCTCGACCATGTGGCAGCCTGTCGGTCTACCTCGCTGATCCAGAAACAGCTTTTGTTCCCCGTGTTCATCGCCGGCTGCGAGACTCGCACCCTGACGCACCGCGAGTTCGCCGCCGAATACTGCAGGCGGTGGTTCCGCAAGTTCGGATACCAGATGTACATGACCGTGTTGGACGTGATGGAAGCCGTGTGGACCGAACAGGATACCGGCAACGAAGACTTCTGGTGGGGAGACGAGCTTGACGCCCGACGCGCAAAGGAGGGAGAGTTTGTACAATTCTGCTTTGGATGAGCCGCGGCGCGAAGCACTGTTCTTGAATTCGCTGTTTTTCTTCATCATCAATGAATGGTGTTGTCGTTCGGTTGGCGAACAACAACTTTGACCTTCTGCACATCTCCCGCTCGCGACTTTGACGGCTGCAGCATTCGTTTCCTGACTAATACAGTAATTCCCGAGTCATTTTCAATACAGCGACAGCAGACAGCATATCAACCTTGGGTGGAGGATCTGCGTGCTTTTCCAACAGACATTTCTGCTCTGCTTGCTCTGCTCTGCTATGCCGCAATCCATACGTCCATCGATCGATCGATCCATTCAACCAACGATCCCGCAGAACATAACTGTTATGACATTTCCCGGCAGGAGTTAACGTCCGTGTACACGACGAATATCTGGGCCTGAGCCAGGACCTGCTCATTCCCAGCTCGCACGCAGTCACATCCACATCCACGTCCTCACCAAGCCCCGATCAGTCATCACGGCATGTCGAATGAGTGGCCGCGTGGGCGAGCGGGCAACTGGTAGCATACCCGGTCGCGAAATCCACGACATGAATCCCGGCCTCCTCGAGCTCGGCTCTCGCGCACTCGTTGTCCAACGTGATTTTTGCGCTCTGTTCTATTTTTTCCACCGTTGTGCGGCGGGCGCGCTTTGTCTTTGGGGTACCGTTGGTGAGACTGCCGTTGCTGCTGCTGCTGCTGTTGTCGCTGTCGCTGTCGTCGTGTACAGAAGCCGAGTCAATCGCAGGTACTGATGAAGGTATGCTGCCGTTCTGAGGAGACGGTCCAATGGCCCAGAGAGATGAATGTGGAAACGTGCTCTGAGACGATGAAGACAAAAATGAAGATGATATCGCGTCGATTGCTGGGCCTGGTCCATTCTTCGCACTGTTATCCGGGTCCGACTTGGTCTCGGTCTCGGTCTCGATCTTGCGCGTGATGTCAGAGGACCTTTTCACGTCATCGTCATCGTCGACGCTGTCTCTGCTGCTGTTGCCGTGGCTGTCGTTGTTCCCTTCGCCTTGCGACTCATCGGTCCTTGAACGTCGTTGTACGGATCCCCCAGAGTGGTCACATGTTTTAGCGGATTCGACTTCAACCCCTGATGTCGGAGTTGGCGTCAAATGCGAGTGCGAGTGCAAGCAAGGAATCTGTCCGCCGGGGCTGCTGCTGCTGCCGTCAAAGCTAGTGTTGTTGTCGTTGCTGACCATATTGCTGTCGCCATTGCTTTCCTGTCGTCCCATATTAACCGGAGTCTCGTCCTTGTTCTTGTATTCGTGCTCGTGCTCGTGTCTGGCCAAGCGTCGGGCGTGGAATCCTCGGAACAATCCTCTCAGGAAGTCCCGTCGTCGATTTTGCTGTCGTTCGTTTCCCCAGGCTCGGTCTCGGTCTCGATTTGGCTGTTGTGGCATGTGGCATGTGGCATGTAATATGTGCTTGACTCGTGGAGGGTGTCTGGATCGTTCACCGAACGAGCGAGGGAGCGAGCGAGTAGGTGAGTGAGGGAGTGAGCGAGTGAATGAATGACTGAGTGAGTGAGTGACTCAGGCGACAGGGTTAAGGGTAGATTAATTGGCGACAGTCCCTGCACGCCGAGCGTAAGACACGGTCGACAACAGCGATGTGAATGTGAATGTGAATCTGGATTTGAACATGGCTTTGCGTTGCGTCTTGTCTGAATAATTACAGTACTGAGAAGTAGTTTGGCTGGTGGCGAGTCATTGATTGAGAGATTTGTTCTTTCAAAAAGTCTCACAGACTCGCAGTTTTGTCTCACAGTCTCGGATTTCAAGGGCCGAAGACAGACAGTAAAGCCCACAATATTGAGATCGGGGTGTGAATATCAAGACCTAAACACGTGCCGGTGTGGCAGTATTGTAAGTCATGTCAACGATGGAATGGGTGGGAAACGTAACATTCATGCTGTCCACTGCTTGCCACTGCCTGTTACTGCCACTCTCATTGACAATGCCCTTCAGTCAGTGACAGTGACAGTGATCGTGATCGTGATTATGGTTGTGATCGTGATGTACTACCTGCGGACAATATCCTTTTATATAGATGATGAACGAAAAGCACTGTCAATTTGTCACTGTCTGGCCTCATCCGGTCCGTGTTGGATCGACGAGTCGGAAGATCAAAAGACAAACTCGACGCATACCTGTTCATTCGCGTGCCTAGACTGATGGGGTACGTTGCATAGAGACCGGTATCATTATCTTTTGACCTTGGAGCTTGCGGCACAGCACTGCTGTCCGTTCAGTCAATGTCGGTTTGGGGTACATATGTAGTCCATAGCGCTCAAGTTTCAAAGTAGTTCATGAAGCCTCCTGATTCCCGAAACGCATGCCCCACCCTCTTGGGTCCCGAAGAGGTTGTTATGTCGGTGTGTTCCTCTGGATCGATCAACAAGCTGTACTGTGTATCTCTCCCTTGATGGTTGAGGATATCTCAGGTCGGTCATGTGATGGTAGAGCACTCTTAGCTCCGTCCTGCGACACTCAAGGTGAGCTGTCCATGAATAAACAATCAAAGTCCCGACAGACCGCAGCAAGCAGAGGCGCGGTGGTGACTGCTTGCGAGACCCAAGTCCGGTGATATTTGCAATCCCGTCCACAGAAGTTTAGGCGCAGTGCGTGATGTTGTGGAAGGGGCAAATCTGTCGCTCGTAGTCGAGTAACTCGGAACCATCGACTCAAGTCAACCTTGAAGCTTCTGCCATGTCAAGCAGCGTGATGGTCGTCTCCGGTAAGTTGGTTAAAAAACCTGGGCACGGTGACTGAGTCATTCATCGCATGTGGTGCCGGGCAACCCCAAGTCTTCATCTCTTCTAGATCTTCAATGTGTTTCTTTGATGACGCCCGACGCACACCAGCTGGCAGGAGCACGTCTAATGCAGCTCCAGGCCATGTCGAGGGAGCCGTATTTCCGACGTAATGAATGAGATATCTCATTTCAGTCCCCTAGCAGCCCGTGATGCCTCAAGACAGATCATGACATCTGATCCGACCGAGTTTGACAGCCCATCGTGATGTGATGTGGTGTGATGTTGTGCGAATGGCGAATGTCCCTTCGATCCATTCTCAAGCTCCCAGCAGTCCCGTCCTCTCACTCACTCCCACTGCCGCTCCCCTTATCACTCGTAATCGCACCTGTACTCACACTCAGACTCGTGCTGACACTCCCACTAGCCTCGCGCTCCAATCTCTCTTCCTCCTTCTTCTTGGTTCGTGCGGTCATCCTGTCTATCGCCTTGCGTCGGGTTGGACTCCACTTCGCGACCTCTCCGGCATAATATAATCGGTAAGCGACGTCATTGTTGTTCATGCCTGGCTTGACGGATTTGAAAGTATATACCAGACCGAATGCTGGGTCGAGAACAGGTTCGGCAACCATATCCAAGCCCTTTTTGCGGAGCTGATTGCTGAGAGTCTGAATTGGGTTGGTCGAACGGCGTGACATTTTGTGAATCATCGAGGTTGGTGGTTATTCTGAGGTGGAGGGATGATGAGACCAAGCTAAGCTGCAAATGACGTGAAGCTCATGAAAGCTGAAGCTCTGAAGCGCTGGAGGACAAACGGTGTATATATTACCTCTGTGCTTGAGCGACACGTGATCGGCGTTCCAAGTGTCAGTGCGACGCCGAACTTCCGCCGACTGCGAATCGCCTGAAAATTTCTCGTTCTCGCTTTCACGAATCAAGCCTGTGTGCGGAGTGACGTCTAGACAGTCTTCGGCCCGGAGAGGCTGGTCCGGGTTCTCACTGTACAAAGGCTCTACTAGTTGATCAGCAACGCGCTCAATAGTGTCCAACGTTACATACCATATCCAAAACTCCCTTTATAGTCTTATTTTCGCTCCCAGCCCTTTCCCTTCGAACCAGAGGTTTTCCTGCCATCGGCCCATCCGTACCCCAACATCGGCTTTGGCGTCCAATTTTAACGTCCCGCCGAGAGCGTCTCTGATGGTGCCCAAAGCATTGCCGCCCCATTCAACTGGCAGTCTAGGAGTTAGGTTCTCTCCTGGCTCGATTGCGAAAGGATATTCGTAGCTTATCGTGCCGACTTCGGAGCCATTGTAGTAGGCAGAGGCAGCAATGCTCGTGACGTAAAACGCAAGCGGCGACACCAGAATGAACGTCGCAGTGGAAGAAAACAGATGCATCTGTTCCGTCAGCTAGATCTCACAGATACTCGGACACGTACCGTTGTCTCCTTCAGTGGACGGGATATGATGTGCGGGGTTGGCACCGTCATCTCCATTTTTATGTCAGGGAAATTCGGGATAGACCCAGGATGGCTCTTGATGGTCAAACTGGTATTATATCCTGAAATATATTGAGAGAGCCATTCGGACCCAATTTTGCCCGTTTCCCAAGATGCTCGTGCAGTGAGATTGTTGGGCCCCGGGACGATATGCTGATCAGATACCCATGCATATCCAACTCGGGTATCGTTCACATAAATGCTGACATTGCAGTAGGGGATAGTCGCCGAGTATTCGGTGGGATTCGTTGCATTAACCCTTGCCTGCAGAGTTAATGACGTTTCCGTTGAGTCGACGATTTCCAAACCTTTTACTTCGGGTTGCGGCATCGCGAAGTCGCCACCGCGTATCGGCTTGATGAAGATCTCGCCTTTGGCTGGGATTCTTCGAACCACAAACTCCCCAAGAGCGGTTGAGGTGTCGACGTCGACGGTCGCTTGCACTCCGAGTGATGCTCCTTGGCCGAATACCAAGGCCTGTACCACCTCCGAGAAGAGGTCGTCATTCTGGATTTCCAATGGGGCATCCTTGACAATCGACTGGATCAAGAGATCACCATCCACTTTAGTGGCATTCGCCGCTTGCCACTTAGATAGATCCAGTCTCCCTAACAATTCACCCTTGTAGAAGACATTGCCATCTGCTTTGACTCTATTGACATCCATGTTGACATTCATCTCAGCTGGCAACCCGACCAAAACTTTCACGACCGCTGACAATTTCGGATATGATTCTGTCATTGGGTCGGGAAGAGAGAAATGCACATCAGCCAGAGAGAAGTTCTTGATCAGATTGTCGAACGGGTGACCAGGCAGTGAAAATGGCACCATCGTGTCCCGGAGTATCTCGCCAATCCATGCAGGCGTGTTCGGATCTTGTTCAGCACCACGGATGTAAACAGTGGTGTCCCGTCCAGCAAGGTAATCGCCCACGAAGCTGTCCAGCGGCGAGGACTTCGAGCCAGGGCACACTTCGGTCAGAGACGTGGGTAATTGCTTGACTAGACCGACCACGCTTGCGCTGATGTTTTGTTTGGGCAATATATGGATAATGTCGGTACTGGCCGTCCCCAAGCGGAGGTAATCTTGTTTACAGTCCGGCAGGAGGACCTCGAAAGCTAAAGAAGGAACGTCAAACTTGACGGGATAATGATTCATCACAGACACCACTGCCATAGCTTTGATGCCTTCCGGATGTCCAGGCATGCCGTATTCGGCAAATCGCAGTTCGTGGAGATCAGGTTGGGGCACTGGCGGCACATCTTTCCCCTGGAATTGCAGAGTCTGTGAGACGGTCTGCTTGCCTAGCTTGATCAGACCACTTTGGACTGGGACAGTCGCCACGGCGTTGACAATGACTTGGTCGAGCTTGTGATCCATAAAATCCTTTGCCAGTCTGCGCACACCATCCACGTCGCCGGGCTCGAGATCAGCAAAGATATCAAGATGGTTGTAATGGTGGTTGCGGATATTGACCTGAACGGGGGGAATTGTGACGGTTCCTAGCAGGACGTTGTCATATTGTGGTAGATAAACGTGGACTTCAGACTCTCCGCTCTTGACCTCCTTCGCGATCCAGGTGCCGAATTTCCCCAAGCGTCTCGTTGCTCCGTTGCGGACCCTCGAAGCGTCCATATAAAAATCGCCTTGCACTCTGGCGCGAACGCCGAGGCTGGTGAAAGAATCGATCGACAGCCTAGTCGGCTCGAACACGACACTCTCTTTCGCATACTCCTCGATAACCGATGGCAGAGTGAGTCCAAAACATATCAACACCACGGCCAGGCACAGCACCGTCAACGCTACGATGGTAGGCCATTTCCTCTGCTTTTTTGACCTTGGCGTCTCCGAAGAGTCCGATATCGAAGGCAGAACCTCGCCGTTGGCTTGATGAGAGTAGTTTGATCGGGCATCGTCTTCAGGCCTCGAGAGAAGAGGAGTCCGTTCGGAGGACTGCGGGGACGTCTGTCGCGAAGACATGGTGAGCAGGCGGGCGGCTGCTCCTGAGAGCCAGTTCAGGACATCGATGAGCGCAGGGAAGAGCGAGGAAACAACAGCGAGTGAAAGTGGTGGTGAAACTTCAAGGAATGGTGACGAACATGAAACGAGGCAACACAATTGGCAGCTTCTCTGCAGCCTTCCAGTGGAACGTTGAGCATGACGGCCACAATCTGCAGGAACCCTCACCCGCAACGGGCCAGCCAACGACCAGCCTAACGCACATGCTCTGCGTTGCGCCCGCCCTCTCCAACTAGAAGGTAGTCCGAGCCAGTCAGCTTTGCTAGCGCCTATCGAGCCATTAACACACCATGTACCTAAGCTTTGAGGCAGCACGACCTTCGCCTTGACTACGTTCTACCTTATTCACACCTTCGTACTCCCAATGGATTGGTTGAAATGTTACTGAACAGGGTTCCCGTACACCAGTCGCTCGGCGCAGAGTCTCCGCTATCCGATATATGGCTATTCGACATCTGACCTAACAATGTTTTCGGATCCATGATGGCCGACAGGTCGCGCTACACTGCGAAATGATACAATCCGAGTCGGTTGGATGCCAACACTAGAGAAAAGCTTGCCATGAAAGAATGGGTCAAGATACCTCTAGCAGTCAAGGCATAGACTGGAGATCCAATATTGGTGAAGGCGACGAGCGGGCGAGTCCTGCTGGACTGATTTCTAAAGCATGTACAGGGTACTCCAGCGTAAGTAAACAGTATTATCTACGCACAGACACAGAAGAAGTTCAGCCTTGAAGCGTCATCGCCCAGAAATCCTGGTCAACGCCGTGACGTCCCTGAAACCTCAGGACACCATACGCTCAAAGTCGAAGCAATCGGCGTAAGTTGTCTTGGGATTGTCAAACTTGAATCTCCTCAATCAGGGTCTTCTGGGTCCGATACTCCTTCGCCGCCACTTCCTCATGCGATAATCTATATCAGCGGGACGTGTTCGGCTCTACTCTCGCAGTGGATGCAATCACGGAGAGGTGATCCTGAAGAGTGCCAAATATAACAAGGTGGAGCTGGTGGTCTGGCTGTGCGCCTTTTCCGCCTCTGCTACTTCAAATCTACAAGGACCGAGATGGAATCTGGACAATCACTTCTGTAATCACGCCGCGATATCGACGTCTCCATTACTTCGACCGCCCTCTAGAGAATCCCACATCTATTTCATCGCAATCAGGCCGGTTTGAGATACGAGACCGGATTTGACACTCGACTCCCGACTCTTGATCCTTGCACAGGTCGATCTCTAGTACCTCCCCCCGTCACCCGGTCCCGATACTCCACAACTACGCGCCATCTCGCGCCGCATGCCCAGGCACAGGGACAGTCTCGCAGTCAACCAAGTTAGATGACCGGCCCGGCCTCCTCCCTGAACTTCTTGGTGCCCAACATGCTCGTATCATACCCATGCTGCTCCAAATAGCGCTTGAACCTCTCGTCCTCTTCCTCAATCATATCCTGCCCCACCTTCGGCAGGCCAAAATAGGCCACAACGGCGCTGAAGAGGCACAAGCTACTGCTGACCCAGAAGGGATATTGGCCCTGCTTGATCGGGTCGTCGCCCGCGGCATCGATCAACAACGGGAAAACGTACGTGCCCACGAAGGCTCCGACTTTGCCCCACGCAGCCGCGACGCCGTAGAACTGGCCGCGGATCGGGGTCGAGGAGAGCTTGGAGGCGAAGAGGCCGATGTTGTCGCCCGGGCCGACCTCTCCTAGGGCCATAAAGATGCCAGTCAGGATGATGAAGCCCGCGACGCGGGACGGCTGGTTCAGCTCGCCGTATGCGCCCGTCATGGCGAATCCGACAATACCTTGCAAGGAGACGCCGGCGATGAGGCACCATTTGGGGCCGATCCAGTCGGCGAGGAAAGCGCCAATCAGGGCTCCGGGGAGCCAGAAGCTGTTGATCGCGGTCGCCATGCCGAAGGACTTCCAGAGGGGAGCGTCGTTGGGGAGGATGAACACGAGCCACGAGGACGCAAAAATTCCGAACGAGTAGGCGGAGAAGTTCTGCGATTCACGTTAAGAAAAGGGCGTTTTGTCTCACGGATACGGCAGCTACTCACGTAGACGAACCAGATGATCGATATCACCGTGCACCTCCACCAGTAGAACTTGACGATCAACCAGACGGGGAACTTGTGCATCTTATTGCGGTTGTATTGTTCTGGTTCCTGGAGCTTGAAACTGCAGTGGAAAGGGGATAACGTCAGTATACCGGTGATTTGATTTGGCAATGTAACGTCAATGGCGGCGTACCGAAGATAGATGAGACTCAAGGGCGGGATGGCCCCCAGTGCCAGGCAAATCCTCCACGCCGCACGCAAATGGTTCTCACCCGTGGCAAGCACGACAATCATAGGCACGAATGCACTGACGACGAACCCCAGGTCGATTTGAAAGTCTGTAGCCAGAATGAACCATCGGTTGCGGTGGCCCTTCTTCAGCTCTCCGGTGGATTCTGCGGCGCCAACTGAGCCGGCAGGGCTATGGATGCCGTTAGCGACTCGCAAGGATAAGGGCCAGAGAGAGTTACTATTCTCCTCCGATACCTAGACCGATCAGGAATCGGTAGGCTGAGAGCGCCGCGAAGAGACCGTGCGTGCTCCCGCCTGCACCATACGCTCCGGCGCAAAGGATCGAGAACAAGATGAGGACTGGTATCAGAGGTTAGGTCCATATGACAGTCGTGAATAGTACTTCAAGCGCGCTTACTGATGGTTGAGATGAGCAGCGTGTTGCGTCGAGACCAATGGTCACTCAAAACTCCAAAGAAGAGATGCCCAACCACGGTGCCGGCAAACGCGATGCTAGGAACAGCACTCCTGTACGAAGAAGCTGTATACTGCTCCCCATAGATGATCTGCAGCATGGTCGATACCGAACCGATGACGCCGTTGAGATAGCCATCAGAGAATAAACCTGCTCCGCAAGCAATTACGGGCCACGAGCGCTCCCACCGGCCTTTGGGCACTTCAGCAAGAGGACCGGTGTAGACAGCGGAATCTCGTTCGTGGTCGGCGTCGTGGTCGCTGGAAGCAGGGAGCTTCGACTCCTGTACGCTCTTGTCGTAGTCCATCGCGTCGAGGCCCTTACCTAGGACGGAATGAGACCTCTCCGGTGTGTTCACCCAAGTGGTCGAGAGATAGTTGAAAGTGACAGGTCAGCATCCAGCTGTTGGCGATCCCGCATTATATTGTTCTTTCACACCAACACGAGGCACCTCCGGGAGGCGCCCTCGCGACCGCCACCAACCCGCCGACGAAATTTTTCCGAAGGTCGATCGATGTAGCATCTGGCTTCCAACATCCAGGAAGAGGAAGGAAACCTCTAGGGGTGGGCTTCGGTTGGAGCCAATCAGGTGCGAGCATCCACGCACACCTCTGATGGTCATCTTATCCCGCGACGGACATGTTCGCTTGCGGCGACGTTGACTGCAGTCTCATAGGTCAATTGCCTCGATAAGATGTACTTCACGTGGTGGCGTGCCGAGAAGAGGAATTGAGAGCTTCTTCGAATGCATACCACACGTGGCACATACTCGTGGAGAACGTGGAATGGGCGACCGAGACTGGCTGTCGGTAATGCGGCATGCACAGCACTTGGGTCGAAAGAAGAAGAGATCTAGAACCCTTCAGTTCCATGGTTCTAGTAGGCGGGTCATGATTCCGGGAATAATGTTGAAGGAATCTATCTCAGCTGTCCTCTGCAGCTGTTCGATCAAGCAAGACGGATCGCTGCGCTGCTAGCTGTTCCGTCTTGGCCTCGGAAAGACTAACGGTATGTTGGCTAATCATAGTAGTTCTGGACCTTGAGCCCGTTGAAGTCGAACGACGTCCCTTCGCGCTTCGTTATAACGGTCTTGTGATGGACATCCTTGACTCTAGCTCGCACGTACTCAGTCCCCGTGGGCACTTTCTTGTTGGGATCCTTGTCGTCATCGGTCAAAAGACCAAGGCGATCGAGAAGGGGAGATGGCACTGCCCTCATTGGTGTCTGCGGACCAGGGCGACAGAAGTAGAGCAAGCCCAGCCGGGGGATGTTCATTTGATCCTTGGGCGGAGTAACGACTCGGTGGATAGTCGACTTGATGAAGCCTGTAGACTCGTTAGCGGTGTTGCCAGTCCGTAGAACAACGAAGATTCACCTTTGGTAAGGAAGGACAAAGTATCGGCGGCGTTGCAGGTTATTCCACCCTGGACAGGCTTGACCCATTTCCATTCTCCTTCAGGGGTACGGATCTGCAACCCGGCGACGTGCTGAGAGAACAGCAAAGTCAGACTGCCAAAGTCGGTGTGACCTCCCTTGCTGTAATTCTGTGCCTTGTCCCATTCTTCCTGAGTCCTAACGTTGTAGATCATGTATCGAAGATGATCGTCCGATTCCTGCTCGTAAGCATGAGCGTCCACCAAATAGTTCTCTGGCAACTCGAGGATAATGGCAATCAGGACAAATAGCTTCCGAAGGACTTTGTCCCACAGTTCTCGGTGAAAAGCAGAGATTTCCTCCCAATTCTCGCGAACAATCTGGTGCTTAGGAACGTCCTTTAGAGCCTCTATCGGCTTTTGAATATTGAGCTGTGCAGTGTGAGAGCCTGAGCATTGTAGTAGGAGTGACGCGTACCATTTCAACGTTGTCCTTGACGCCGGTATCACCGATCCATCGAGAGTTCTCTCTATATCCGAAATACTCCCCCTCAGCAAAGTTGCAGGGAAAGAAGCGCTTTTCTTCAAGTGATTGCTTGAAGAATGTGTTGCCGAAACTGAACTGTCGTAGGACCTTGTTGTCATCAATGCCACTGTTGACCACAGTCCAGAAGCCAACCCTAGTGGCAGCATCATAGAGCTGCTTGGCAAGCTCTTCCTTGCCCCCAGGCTCGTCGAAGCGAGAAAGATCGATTGTGGTGAGCGGTGCCCATTCAAGATCCTCGGTTGTGTATTGTGGGCGACTCCATGGCTTGACCAGGATGTTCTGAGCCGCCTGAGCCAGCGGCTTGATGTCGATAGCAGACGGCGCCATGCTTCAAGGATGGTCTTGGTGTCGAACCTGGGAGATGAGTGCCGTTCCTTTCACGAGGCTCCTCTGCGATACGATCAGTAAATCGAAATAGTATCCAAGCTCAAGCAATATAAGCATCGGCTATCAAAAGTGCGGGGTCATCAACAATCGGCCAACCGCGCTGCATGATGGCGTGCTTTCTTCGGGTAAGACGTGCTCCTTCAAATCAGAATATCACTGTGGTGATCGATGCTCGAGCATTAATAATGTTGCTGGACTTCTCCGAGACCATTTCCCTTGACGTGCGGGCGGTTGGTTTCCTTGACATCTCTTATCTTGAAGCGTCCCGAGGGTCAATGACAACCGCGGAAGCACTCGTGCCTCACCAGCAGGTTAGAACACCCTCCACGACAGCAGCACTAAGTCCTGTATTAGAAAAGCTTGTCGATCCCGGCACGGTCACAATTCTGCTCCGGCACTTACGGCGACGACACGTAGCAATGCTTGACAAGGTTACTCTTGTGGTCAAGCACAAGACATACATAGCCCATGACGCTGGAAGAATCGGACTATCCCACGGTGGGTGTTTGCGAAAGGGCTTCTCCGGGAGGCTGGAGGTGCTCGTTCCACGACCTGCGAGGTACAAGGTGACGATGTGTACGGGGAAAGTGGATTTGAGATTCTGAGCATGACCAAAACGCGAAGGAGTTGGACACCGTCACCAAAGTTTGCACTGTTTGCACTATTTTTACTATTTGCACCTTCTTTTGGGAGTTTGGTCTGTTTGCAACGTTGGGATGAGCATTCCCGGGCGTGAACTAAGAAACCAAGCTTGCAAGCAATTTCCAGAAGTTTTGTCGCTTCTACGACGCAGCAGTGTTGATCCTCTCACACCAAAAATCAACGCACTGAGTATGTGATTGGAGTCCGGGTCCGCAGTGAAAATGGTTGTTGGCCCCGTCATCTGGCTGGCCGGCAAAAGAGTGTTATGTGGTTGCAAGCCTCGAAATAATCACACCAGAATGACCTGCTATTCTTGACTGGCAACCTGTTCAAGGGCACGCGGAGATTACGGTTTGCTAGTCTCTGAACTGAAAGTCCTCACTTGGTCTGCGTGATTGTGCCTGCTTCGAGACCAGCCCGCATCAATGGATTCTCAGTTCCACTAGCCCTGGGCGTATACGTACCCCTCAACGTCCACCGAACCCGCGTTTCTGATAGAAGCCGTGCCGGCCAACCGAAGAAACGACGCAAACCGGACGATCACCTTCAGGATTATGCTTCACCCTCTCTAGTCCTTTCTGCACAAGTCCTCTGCCGGACCCTCTTCCCTGGTAGATGGGACGCATCCCAATGACTCCCAGTGACCAGCGGGTTAGTCGATCGCGGGCGCTGAATAAAGGAGCCACAAAAGGCAGCGTGTGAGGCAAGAAATTCCAGAACGTAAGTGGGTCCTGCTCATTTACTGTCATAGGAGTCTCTGCTGGAATGGGAAACGACGTCGCCGTAGAGTGAAAAATCTTGAAAGCAGTGGTTTTATCAGAAGACCTGGCACGAAGAATCACTATTCAGCTCTTGAACACGACAAGGTATTGTCATTCTTACAGTACGAGGAGCCCACCATGCCCCTATCCCATATACATGCTCTCATCCCCTGGCCCCCTGGACAAACCCTGTGGCGATTCCCTCTTCTCACTCTTAGGCAGCAAATGGGAGTGGTCATTCGGTCTCCGCCCAGCACCATCATCGCTCGTTTGATACGACTTCAAGAAGACTTTGTGCTTACTAGTCGTACCACTGGACCTGGAAATTCTCTATCCCCTCTGATGAAGTCCCTCCGGCTGCTCCTCCCCCCTATGATGGAACATGGATTGCCGGAGGGGATCCGTGCCGAGGAGGCTGCCCATATCTCTGCCGTGGCCGGTATATTGGCCTCAGTGACGAGCCGTACAGGCATTTCGAGGACGATCTACTCTTACGTCCGATTCGAGGCAACCCAAACAACGGATGCTCGCAATGCTAGCGAAAATAGTCTGAATTTCGTACCGCCTTGTTGCTTGGAGACAGGATATGCGTTACTCTACGGAAGTTGGCAAGTCTCCTCGCCGCAACTTAATTCTGCTCTGCGAGTTCACGCCTTGGGACACTTTTGAAGACCTGGCTAATTCTGTAGCCACTCCACACCGTAGATGGAAGCGCGGATGAGGAAGGCCGTGGGAGTTCATGGATATATCACTGACATGAATCGATCATGTAATGGTGCTGGCGTTAAGGCGGCCAGAAGGCAGTGCTGAATCACTGTCCTGTTGTCGATCGATGAGAAAATGCAGAGACTGTGTTATTCAATCCATATTCGAGGATTCGCTCTCCAGCTGCAACGCCGAACTGATCATCACTGGGGACAGCTGCCCATCGATCCTTCCCCGAGATGCTGCGGCCCCCATAACGCAGGGCAATGCAAAAAAGTACCGCACAGGCCGGCTAGTGTCATACTCGTCTCAATCCTCCATCTTGACATCCTGTTTCGGCATGTTGCCCAAGTTCTTCAACAGATAACTCCTCTTGAAGTACGTGTTTGGATGTACGATTGTTTCCAATTCCGCAGGTCCCCAGATCCCTTCGTCTTTGACCTTCCTGATCTCTTGTTTGTGAGCCCAGTCAAAGACTCGATTACAGGCAATGTGGAACCGCTTCTTTTCAACATCTTCTTTCACCCCTCTGAGGACGTCTCGGTCGTGAACGCCCGTTGCCTGCAGCATGGAGGTAAGATTGTCCACAGAGAAATGGCGGTAAGGGCATCCATGCGCTTCACCGGTGCCTGGCGGGTGTTCAGTCAGAATCTTCTGGCACGAGTAGGGCGCATAGCCTCGACCCCGGCGATTAGCGTCTCCACCGACATCGCCATACGCATGGCGGACGTTGTACCGATATTCTTTGTTGAACTGATCATCGGTAAGTACTTTGAACGACTGGCGCCAGAAGAGCAGGCAATCTTCCAGCGTCAACCCTATGCCCTTGAGGAAAAGTGTGTACTGTAGACGACCGAAATGCTTGAGGTGGTTGTTCTTGCGTAGAGTATTGTGCAAGTGTTTCATGCAGAGCGGGAAATGTTGAGATAAATTGTCGACGTTGGCCGCTGTGATGGGAGCTCCGGGCACAGATGAATCTGAATCTGAGAAGCCGGCATCAGGAGTGGCGAAGTTTTTGGACAAGTGATTGAGGATTGGTGTTAGGCGATCGTCCTCGTCGAGTCTAGGTAACGCGCGAGCAGTCAATTCTAGTGCCTTGTCCAAACGGGCCGTGAACTCGGTAAGAACCATGCTCGTTTGTTCGCGCATAGGTACATAGGCCTTGCCTTTCCGCACGAGGACGGTTCGGTGTTCGACAAGCTCGGGAACACACGTCCAATCGACTTTGAACCAATTCTCTCCGTCTATTCGCCGGAGGCCTGGTGTCGCCGCCAGGAGTTGCTCTGCCAGTTCTCTCTTCTCCTCTTCCTGGACACGCTCCCAGTTCATGTTCAGACTTTCAATAAACGCTTGGCGCTCGCGGGTGTCGTCCTGCTGAAATCGCAGACGAAAAAGCATGGTCTCGACCCTGGCGAATCGTCTTCGAAGGTCTTCCGTCCCGGAGAATGCTAGTCGTAGGATGTAGTGCGAGTAGTGGTCTTTGCGTCGTTGATTCTTCAACTTCTGATCCACGACCCCACCGGCGGCAGCAGTGTTTGAAGATAGCGGTAGATATTTCTTGAGTAATGGTTCCAGATGGGCGGACGTCTCTTCGGGGGACTTATTCCTGAACGAGCATGCCTCGATTTCGGCAAGTACTGATGACCAGTCAGTGGACGGCTGTGTGCATCGCAGTGGCAGTCCTTACTTCTCAGTCTGTCAATAGCCCATGTTTCAAACTCCTCCAGGCTGATTTCCTGCGTAGGAGGAACATCATACAGAGAGAGTCGATTAGGGTACTCGTTCTCTTTATATGACGCGGTAGCGAACTGAGTCTTCTTATGGTGGATAAGTTTCCGCTTCGGATCGAAGCGGTTCTCTGCGGTCATCGTGCTGTCGGTGGTCTTAATTTTCAGTTGTGTTAGCGATGGTGTTGTAGGATGAGATGCAATGATTCTGAGGCGGAGGAAGGACGCGTCCACCGCGATTTGACGCGTCTGGCGGTGACGTCGCGGGCCTGCGCCCAGGCATCCACGCACCTTCCGCGGATCGGAAATTCATGTTTCCAGCGACCTGCAATTCCATCCTTAGAATGTCGACCAGCTGGAACTACGACACAGAGACTCCTGTGCGGTGGTCATCACTTCAGTGGTTTACCAAAAATTCCCTCTTTTCTCTCTAACACATTATGCTCTGACAGTCGTGCGCATCTGCCGGCCTGCCAACCATCGGAAGCAATGGGCGACCGGAGATCCGCAAAACAACTGACTGGCTCAGTTCTTACGGGCATAGCTCAACCGAAACTCGGCCGTCGCTTTCCCCACGTTTTCTTCCATCTTTTCTAGCATCTAGAGTAGCTCGGGTAGGAGTTCGTCCTTTCATCTGCTCCTTCTCCGCAGTTTCGGGTCGCTCACTTCTTCTGCTCTTCTTCCCTGGAGGGGCTCATTGGCCAGCTACCTTTCTCTTTATCTCTTATTCTTGTTTCTTTTTCTTTGCCCTGGGCCCCGGACTTTTGTTTTGTCAGCAGTATGATGGGCACCTAGTAGGGGCGCTCACGGCGATCGGCCACCCGCGACTCGACCGACCTCACGCGCCTGTCCTTCTTCGTACACAGTACCATGACCTTCTCGACTGCCACCCGGAAGCTGAAGCGAGCTGCCAGGATCATCTTGGTCGGAGCTCCAGGAGTTGGAAAAGGCACTCAATCCGAGAGGCTTATGAAACGATTCCCGCAACTGTGTTCAATTGCCACGGGAGATTTATTACGCGATAATGTCAAGAGACAGACTGCGCTCGGTACACATACGCCCCAGACCATCACATTGAATGCTGTTAACCATTGCATAATGCAGGCAAGCAAGCCGAAGCGCACATGAAAGACGGCGGCCTCGTCCCAGATCCTCTTATCCTTAATCTCATCCTCACCGAGCTCACCTCGCGAAAATGGGTACGAACTTCCGATACCAACGAGAATGTCATAGCCGCCCTCGCGCGAGGCAATGGCTCTGCTTCGCGGGTAGTGCAAGCCTCGGAGTCACCCGACACCTCTTTCATCCTTGATGGCTTCCCCCGTACAGCGACCCAAGGCAAGGCTTTGGCTCACTTGTTGCCCATCAACTTGGTCTTACAGCTCGTCACCCCAGTCGACATCATTCTCTCGCGCCTGGCCAACCGCTGGACACACGCACCCTCTGGAAGAGTGTACAATGTCGGATTCAATGATCCGAAAGTGCCTGGAAGAGACGACGTGACCGGCGAGCCTCTGATGCAGCGGGACGATGACAGCGAGGCCACTTGGAGAAAGCGACTGGCAAAGTTCGAGGAGACCAGCAAGAGTTTGCTCGATTTCTACCGCGAGCAGCCAGATCTAGTGGTCACAGTACAGGGCAACAGCAGCGACGAAATCTCGCCACAGATATTTACAGAAATTGAGAAGCGATTTGGTTGAGCGAATAGACATTTGAAAAGAACGATTCAACTCTGAAAATATTTGTAACCCCAACTGATTTTCCAAGACTCCTGGCACTCAAGATGAGTTCTAAATCCCAGATGCCCAGCCAGAGGTTGTAAAAGTGTTAATCTGCGCTCGACGCGAAAACAACCTCAGCATGGAGAAATGCCCGAGACTGGCGATGTAAGTAATGCATTTTGTTTGTCGGCGGATGTCTAGGGAAGAGAACAGAGAAGCAAAACCGGACAGCTAGAAAGTATGAAGTGCCGGTGGCCTGCGGGTGGAGCCTTGGCATGTTTGTAGCATTGGCCTTGGGTGACGGGTACTGTGTACCGACTTGATTCTGCCTCTCGCTACAAGATTCGACCTTGCGCAGGAGAAGACTGTGCGTACGCTGCTCCAATGTGACACAGCATGCACCAGTGGCGCATCATGCATATGGGTTTGAAAGTTGACCTCGATCTCATGCGACCGAAATTGAACATCGGCGGGCTCAGCCTGGAAAGCTCTCCGACCTCAAAAGTCTCAGATACTTCCTTGACGCCACAAATCCGCTTCATTGCAGTTTTATTTCTGTGTCGCTTCGAGTCACTCACATTCCGGCACATCAACGGCGCCGCAGGCTCGTCTTTTACAGGCGTTTGAGCATGCTCCCAAACCTCGGTTGACTCTAGAATACTCTTGATTCCTGTGAGAGGATTATCGGCTCCAGGACATGGTGCCACCCGAGTTATCAACCTGACCGGGCCTGCCGAAGACGTGCGCTCTACCCGCAACGCAGTTGCAGGTGACCGCAATGTGTTCAGCATGACTTCGCACAGTCTTATCCCGTTCCTTCTTGTACCATTGCTGTGGTTCCAATCGGCTCAGGCGCATGCCGTTAATGAAGGCCAACGACACATCTGACAGCCTTGTCATTTTCGTGACTGGGGAAGGACGGCGCTCGATAAAGATGGTAACGAAGATATTGCTGTACGACCTGGAATATCCTGTCCGCTTTTTGGCTTCGTGGAGAAAACCATATCCCGCGATAGGAAAGTACACAGTATACTAGGTGTACTCACCCCAGCTGTCCGCTCATCCGCAAGCCAAATCTGTGGCTCGAGACACTTCGCACGTTCCTATTTGACAACCAGTCCAGAGCAGGCTAATCCTTGTCCCTACCGCCCTGTCTCCCCCTCATGGCTCACCTCCCAGTAGTGTGGTTGATGATTTCTTTTGCTGCATAGTCACGCCGCGAGAGAGGACTCTGCTGGTGACCAGTGAGCAAATCGCATAGCTGACTGGATTTTGAACGTCTGAAAGGAAACCTCCGGCTCCAGTTGAACCACAACCACGATTCATCGATCGACCATCTGTTGCTCATATTAGCACGGCCAGCTCCACCGGGGACTCCACCTGACCCATCGCCGCCCGCTTCATCGTCATCACTAAGCCCAAAAGGCGCGGAGGTGGCACAAAAGGGCGCCTGAAGGAAGCAGCTGGGCGTTGAGCCAGGCTGCGGTAGCCCAGTCATAGTGCCGTAGATGAACCAATAAGGCTGGCAGCCACCAACGTGACACACCCAGCTGCGGGAAACTGACACACCCAAGACGCGCTCCGCCCCTCAAGGCTGCTGAGGCCAGCAAGGCCAGTAAGCCTTGAAGCCAGTCACAGACCGCCAGGAGGCATCCCGCCGACAAGGGACAGGACCCATTTAGCAAGCCACACCACTTGAGCAGGGTTGGCGTCTAATGAAAAAATGATGGTTCAACCCGTTCGTATGAATGGGGACTGTAGCTGCGGCAGCCATGAAGCCAGAACAAGTCTCTTGCAGACTGCTGCTTCCTGGACCTGACCAGGGCAACAAGCAGCCGTCATAGCTGGTCTGTTTATCTCTCGAAGATTTTGGGACAATGACCCAGGTCTCACTCCTCTGACGAAAGTACCCCGACTCGGATATCGAGCGGACCGGTGGCATTCCAGCAGCGCCAGAGTTACTTTCCATGACCGTGTGCTCATACGCATCCTCCCGCCGGGCTCCATATCCCCATCTCCAAAAACACGTCGCCAATCCTAGCAGATCCGCCGCCCGCTGCCCCCCTTCGAGCCTAAACCTCGCAGCCTGGCGGCTTCCCGCTGCTCGTTTGAAATCAAGAGCCACCCGTGGATAACATTCAATATCCCTTGCGTTGTGCCCTCACCCTGATACCTTGCGCCGACAGGCACGGACCTCAGGCTGGCCTCGGCCAATTCCTCGAAAAGCCAGATACTCCCGTTGTCACATCCCGAGCTGGAGGCTGCTATATCGACAACTCTTCACTCATGGTTGTGCAGGGATCGGTACGCAGAAGCAAGTCTGGCGGAACACAATGAGCGTCGGCTATGGGAACAGCAGCAGGCCCAGTTGCCTTCTCTCATCTTCAAGTGACCTGAAATCCTCGAGAAGACCTCCTACGATAGCCTTCGAAGCGGGCTGAAATTTACCAACCCTACGAGCCCACTCGTTCTCATACCCGAGCTCATTTAAGACCCTCCACAGAATGCTGACGACTCCTCATCGACCAGCGAACATCATGGATCCAATCCGGGATCCCAATTTCTACCAACGCCCTCCTATCGGTGCCGCTTCCAGACAGTATGCCATTCCTGCCGGCTCCGGTATCCCGCAGCACGGGCGCCAGCGTTCGACCGGGTTGAGTTACGCTGAACACGAGATTTTGAGGCAACGCAAGATACCCAATGGGGGAAGACTGTACGAGCCGGACACAGCTGCACTGGACAAAAATGTTCAGATCCCGGCCACCAAGCATCTGCTCTTGTCCTCCTCACCAGCCTTCAGACAAACCATCCCCTCGCTGACGAGTTCCTCGACATGGCCAGAGGCGAAACACACACAGCGGAGAGGAACCTTCGGCGGGACAGAGTTCGGAATGGAGAGCAGGCATGACGTGCACGTTCAGCCCTATGAAACATCCAAGGGGATGTCATGGCGCCCAGCGTGGGACTTCCCTGGCGGACTCGATTCAATGCTGAACCAGAACCTCCCTTTACAACCGACGCAGAGGTATTATGTGCAGCAAGGCTCGAACATCCCGACAGTCCTCCCAGCTACTCTTCATTCTCAGTTTGGCCCCACGGCGTCTGCCGGGCAGGAGTTATACGGGCCATACTGGCCGGATGGCACATACAATCCCTATCGCCCTGCTGCCATCAGAGACAGCCGTTTCTTCCCTCGCGCTCCAGCAGAGAGGTTTCCTCTGGACCATCATTTCGAACATCTACCGCCGCTTCGACGATCCGGTCGGCTTCCCAATGTCCAGAATAATGCCTATCTGCCGAATATACCTCAACCAACTCTGGACAGCCACTTTGGTCCGGTAGAGCCGGCGACACCAACATGGAATTTACCCCAGAACAATTACCACGGTCCCCAGCACGCTTTTTCTCTCCACTACT